GGAGGGGTAGGAATCGTCAATTTTATGAACAGGACACCGGAGCGCCCCCGGGTCATCCCATGACATTGGTTCTCAATGTCATGGGAACCTTCCCCATACAAAATAATGTTCAAAAAATTAACTCTCAAGGCAAAAAAAGGAGGAAAAATATTTATTTTTCTTCTCTTTTTACATGAAGGTAATTATAGTACGGAGTAGTAACTAGTAACTAGTAGATGTCACTAATTTTCTCATTTTTTACTATTTACAAACACTAGTTATTGTTCAATAGCTATGCATAGATGAGCACTCTTCTTCCATCAAAGCCATCCGTTGCTTTGCAATGAAATCCTCAACTTTTCGTCTAAATTCTTCACTGCTCATTTCCTCCGTGGCTGCCGCCACCGCCGGAGCTCCGGCATCTCTTTTCCGGTGACTTACCGTCGCCGACCTTCTCAGCTCCTCATGTCCTCCTCCCCTCTTCCGATCGGCTCCTCCGCATTTTACAATTCCCCTGTTTCTTCTTCTTCTTCTTCGTCCCCTGTTCTCCAAGCCAAAATTCTTGGTTCTTCAAGGATTGCTTCAGATGTTCCTCGTACAAATCGAGGTTCTCGACGGACCCCTGTTTTTCCTGGCCGGACCGGCGGACCAAGACGAGGAATATGGCGTTTCCGACGAGGAACACGAACCTTGGGCTGATCAACGTGCCCGAGAGTGTCTTGATGAAGTCCCCGCCGGAGAGTTTGACAACGCCGGTGCTCAAGTGGCCGGAAAATCTCCAGAAAACGGCAAGAAACATGCAGAGCTCAACCAACCGGAAAGCCACGGCGGCGATCATTTGCATCTTCTGTATCTTGTGATTCTTCTTCTTCGTCTTAAGGTTGTCCGAAATCATTTTTTTTACTTGCCGGAAAATTATCAGTGGAGTTGGAATTGTATATATATGAGGGAATATTAAATTATTAATTTCTAGCTCGATTTCTGGACCAAAAACCTGTCTGGGAACACTCTGAGAAAAGAAAAATTATGGGTTTTAATAATCATATTGAAGAGTAATTAAAGAAAGATCATGCAGTTAAAAAGCTGAAGCTAAGAATTTGAAAACTAAGAGGAGAGAAAGAGGTTAAGTTTGGCAAGTTATTTGATTAGTTTAGCTCTCAAATGGAAATCGGGAGTGGGAAGGGAGTTGAAATATATATAGCCTCCCATTTAGTCATTTACTAGGGTCAAATCTTATTCAATTTGTTAGTCTATTTTCGTGTCTTATTTGGTAAAATAATATAGTCATGTCATCAATCACCACTAGTTTTATAGATTTTTTCATGTAGTTTTTAAATATGTAATTTTTATTTTTAAATTTTACACCATTTTTCATATAAAATGATTTGAAAATTATTTCAGTCAAACATCGTAACGCGCAACGAAAACTTTATTTATTGACGTAGAGAGTATTTGACTTTCTACCGTCTACAATTAAGCTCCTTGATCATTAATAATTAAATTTATATAAGATGTTAGAGTGTCATTCAACATCGGAAATCCAAGAGTAAAATAATCGGTATATAAGCCTTGAGTTGAACTAACTAATTTTTTGGATTCAATCTTTGAATGTAGTTCAGCCCAAATGTTTTATTGTCTAATCCAGTTATCCTTACCTCATTCTAAATTCTATCATGGTATCGCAGCCAGGTATACAGATTATTAAGTTTGCACAATAGCTATGTAGTGAATATTTTTTTATATAAATTGTGGTCAAATTTTGTAAAATTTGATTAAAACCCCAAATGTAAAACTCTTTTAAAGGGGAGGGAGAATTTTATTTTTCAATTTACGGATGGGAGTATCTTTTTTCATTGTATCATTATTGTTATACTCCCTCCGTCTCCCATAGATCTTATCATTAGCCCTTTTGATTTGTTCATCATAGATCTTCTCATTACTTTTTTTTAACAATTAAAATATCATAACTACCCCACTTACTTTATTTATTACACCTTACCCACCTCATTTAATAAACTCCATCCATTTTTTCAACTATCCTTAAAAACCACAAAAAATCAACACGAGAATATCTTAGGCGGACGGAGGGAGTATATATTATGCAATGGCTGGCTATATATATATGCCTAAATATTCTTGGGAATATGCTCATTTATATGTTTTGAGTTAATAATACATTTATATCGACATCCCATGATTCATGAACGAAAAACAAAGATTTGATTCTCCCCTTCTCTTTGTAAAATACCCATTTATCTACCTTTTGTGAATTGTGAGTACGCATATTGTCATGATTTATATAATAGTTTAATTTTTTTGAGATAATTGGAGAATAATTTCATAAGTTACTGCCTCAGTACTTTTTGATCAATGTTTTCAAACTTGCCCAAGATGCACAGAAGAATAGAGTTTCTTGCGATGATTACTCCTGAATTTTTCATAAATTGCACGTGTTCTCCTGAACTTTAAAAAATTGTACCAATGTTCTCTGAATTTTTAAAAATGTCGCACTAATAGTCTTTCGGCGCTAGGTTTGAGCGCGCGTTAATCACATGTTTAATTATCAAAATACATGTTCGAGCTTGATGAAGGTGTCGTGAATTGAAGAAGAGATCGATCAATTGATGACGAGCTTTATCGACCGATATCTAACTTTGGACTACCCCTACCCCTACCTACTCACCCCACCATAAGCACCCTGCATCCCTCCCCATTTTGCCCGAATGGAGGGTAAATAATTATTAGTGGCGAAAAAGAAGTGCACTCAAATAATAGGATGACCACCCAAATTAAAGCATGCATGCACTTCGAGCCTTAGTAACTAAGAAAAATGTGAAAAGCATAATAACTAACGTAACGTCGTCTCTCTTTCCTTAGCTTTTCTAAATAGGGTGTAAATTAAACATTACACTAATCTGATATGCTTATCTGATATATATGTTGATTTTCTTTGTTGGGGAAACCAAGCACCACAATAATAATTATCTATGACTTTGTTTCCAAGAACATTTTTTTAACATAACAACATTATTAATTAGTACTCCTTCCGTCTCAAATTAAATTGCATATTTATAAGATAATATACTCATACTACTATTTTCGTTAGTAATTTGATAAAATAATATACTCATGTCACTACTAATTTTGTAGATCTTTTGATGTAGTTTTTAATTAGGTAATTTTTACTATCTTTTAATTCTACACCATTTTTTATTTAAAATGAATTAAAAATAATTTCAGTCTAATATCGTAAACTGAAACAGACGATTTAAATTGGTACGAAAGAAGTATATAATCACTAAAAAATATGGGAATGTCAATAAAAAAAATATGCTTTCCTTATTTTGCTTAAAAGTCAAAATGTGTAAACTTTTTGAGACGGGGAGAGTATATTTGATCTCTCTAGAGAGTAACTTTTTGAAATGGATTTCTTTTTAACGTGGTGCAATTGACGGAGGTGGAGCAGTGGCGGATCTAGAAAAAAATATGACTGAGGGCAAACGCACGCTAAGGAGTATGGTGGGAGTTTAGGGGTAGCGCTCTCGATTTTTTTAAAGCATTTGATAATAAAAAAATAAATAAATTTAATTTCAAACAATTATTCAAATAGGAAAAAAATATTTTTAAAGTTGAATAATGAAATATGAAATACTTCGTATATCATAACATAATATAGTTATGATATTTCAAATATTTGACATGTATGTATATCTTTTTAAGTTTTTTTTACTTTTATACTAAGATTTTCTTTTGTGGGTGGGGGCAAACTAAATTTTTTACCATGATTGTTCTTTTTAAGTATCTACAAAAAAAAATTATTTTAGCAATGTGTATTGCGGAGTAAAAAAGTTGATCCACCCTTGGGGTGGGGATAGGGGTTATTGAGAGCTAAGAGAGGTAATAATCATTAATTTTTCAAACGGAGTATCATAATGACTTCAAGTCATCTAATGACATTGATTCTCAATATGATAGAATGAGAACCAAATTTTTAGTATGAGGGGGGAGAAGAATATATTATTGTGTGTTCCTTCAAAAAAAATATAAATTATATGACACGAGTCACACGACGTATATGATTGATTCGGAGGCGAGATAAAAAAAAACGTAACTATCAAAAATGCTCAATGAAACATTCCGATGAGTCGTATATGTTTATGATTTATCATCATAATTATTATATTTATTTGTGCACACGCTATTACACGGTGGAATAAAGGGGTAGCTAATGGAAAGAGTGGTGCTTTTTTTGAATAAGACTCTTAACAATAACGAATAACCATAAAAATAAAGGCGTAGCTAATGGAATATTTATTTGTCTATTTTTGACTTTTTCAATCAAAATTGATAAATTTTAAACTAAAATTAAATAAAAATGGTATTACATATTGATACAAAAATAGTTTTATAAAATTTATTATATCAAATATTTTCAAACTATTATTTTATCTAATTAACATATGATATATATTTTATTTAATTATAAGTCAAACGTTGAAAACAGTTAACCGGAAAAAATCAAAACTGACAAATACTCGAGGACGGAATAGTATGTACTTCGTAATTATGTTATGTACGAGTTCGTTTCTTATATATGTACTCCGTATATACAGAATATAAAAGACATGAATTACGAGATTGTAAAGATGCGGGGCAGGGACTATTGTAAAATTAATAAATTATGCTTTATTGCTTGAATAATAGAAGAGGAATACAAAGTATGTATTTATAGGTGGAGGAATATATTCTAGAATCCTCCACATTAATGGCTAATTATATAAGGTAATATTATATAATAATAACTCTAACTATAATATGTAACAACCATAATTATAATATATAATATTAAATATATTAAATAATTGATATATTTAACAGCTATTCTAAGATAGGACTAATTGACTTTCAATCACTCTATATTGACCTGCTATTTTGTTTTATCCACCATTTACATGATCATCGTAATATTCTTTTTAAATAGTTATGTCTTTTTTTTGTTGAACTCTTGGTCTTTTTTAACTACAAAGTACTGTATATAACCATAATTTTATAATTCTGCACTAATATTTAAATAAATTTCTTAAATTAAATTTTAATAAAAGATCGTAAATCAAAATGATACAAAAATAGCAAAAAGAAGGGAGTATTAGCCTTTTTTAATGGGTGCATTATCCATTTAGATGCACACATAATTAAGCCTTTCAAGTGGCCCAAGGCTCAGCTCTTTTAATTCCCATAGTCTTCATTGCGTGCAACCAATTGGTAAAGTCTTTCACTGAATTGTTAGTGAAGCTAATGGTTCGAATACACATATATTATATTTCCTTGCAGAGTCGCATGAAGCATCAAGAAATAAAGTGGCTAAAGATTTGTTGAATTGTGTTTAAATGATTTGACCATAAGGTAAGAATTGCTGAACATAGTTTAACTCATTGTGCATTTATTTTGCACTTGCGTTGAGATACATTGAGCAAAAGATTCGCTGAAATAGTTTAACTCATCTCATTTCACATAGTAAAACTCATTCTACCAATGTACGAATGAGTTACAAAAAGCTCAATTACTATGTGTAGTTCTGGCCGGGGACCTCGAGTATACTTATAAATGTGAAGGTATCGTAATTCGAGTGAGATTGTCATGGTACAAAATCAGATATGATATGGTATTCCCTTATTCCTTATATTGGTTATGTTCTTTAATTCTTGTCTAGTTGAAACTAATTGAGCTTCATTTGATCTCTTAAAAGCGGGAGCTGGATCAGTTGTGGGTATAAATCTGTGTCGCCCTTATCTTCTAAGAGCCTAATTCATTCAAGACATTTATGTACTATGGTTTCATAAAATGAGTGTGGATCTTAGGATCATTGAAATAATTTGTCAATGTGTTGTTTAGCTTTCTTATCCAACCTATAATGTACCTGAACTTTTAGCAAAACTTAGACAGTAATTGCGAAGTTTTTAAATTTTAATATTAATTTTTTTGTTATTCATAATTTAAATTTTGATCAAATTTCTTCTTGTATAACGCACGGATACAGTAGTTGATCCAAAAAACAATTTATCTAGCAATTAGTTGATTAATCTTTGGATAATTGTACGGAGTATACGAACAATAATGAATTTAAACTTCCTATCGGCCCAATTTAATTATACGAAAAGCCCAACCCGTCTTGGGATCTCGATGTCCATGTTAATATCCGGGCTCCGGAGTATATAACAGATGCTGAAAGTCCTAATTCTTCACCCTCGGAGATCCTCTCAGCCCTAGCTAGGTGCCGCCGCCGTTCTCCGACTTCTCCCCGTTCCGAGCAGCCATGGTACTTCTATGCTCCTCCCTTCTCATTGAATGATCGATTACAATTGTGAATCTTTGATTGCAGTTTGAAAATGGCGATATTGATTGCAGGCACCGAAGAAGGAGAAGGCTCCACCTCCGTCGTCGAAGCCCGCCAAGTCCGGTGGCGGCGGAAAACAGAAGAAGAAGGTCTGCTTCGTTGATCTAGCTTTCTGTATAGTATCCACTTTATTTGATATGGTTTTCGACTGTGTATTTGTATGGACTAGTAAGATCTATCGAAGTGATAAAAAATCACTCTTTCAAAGTAACATATTGTCCGCATTATGTGATTGTGAAATTGCAGAAGTGGAGCAAGGGAAAGCAAAAGGAGAAGGTCAACAACATGGTGCTTTTTGACAAGGCCACTTACGATAAGCTTCTCACTGATGCCGCCAAATACAAGCTAATTACTCCCTCTGTGCTATCAGAACGTCATAGGGTATGTGAATATATGCTTTTGTGATATTCTCGAAGTCATATCTCATATCATCATATATGTAGCATTGGTTAATTTGGCTTATCTTGCTTATAATCAGAAATAACATTGGTTGTGAGTTGATTATTTGACTGGAATGGGTTTAGCTGACACTGTGATTCCAAAAATTTAGCATGTTTTCTGTCATTTTCACAAAACAATCATTATCAAACATGCTCTTATTCACTGAAGATGACTTGCCTGAAGTTTTAGTCTGTTTGAAGCTTGTGTGACTTATAAGATCCCATGTAGTTGGGTTTTGAGTCGTATGTAGTTCAATAACTACAATTGGATTGCGTTTATTAGGTGTAGGACATGTCCTTCAATGGCTGGTTATTCCCAATTCCTTTAGCTGAAGTAGGTGGTTGGGATGGTTTGTCGCTTTGCTGGATGTGTTCAGTTTGGATATTATCACTTGCTTAATCCTTTCTATTTGAAATATTTTAGTTATGCCTCACTCCTAAAGCAAATGCAGGAGAATGGAATGGATACTGATGTGCTTTCCTAGTATAGAATGCAAGCATTTCTCATTTTTATCTAAATGAAAGCTGAATCTTGTGAGCTGCAAAAAAGAACACTAGCTCTGCTCATTTGTGCTTTCATTGAAGCAGAAATGTGTTTTTGCAGATATCTTTATCTTCATATATAAATCTGTAAACAAACATATTTAAAATACTCCGTGAGGGAGATTGACAGGTTAAAAAATCCCAAGAGAACTTGCTTCATACTCCCAATAATTGTATTTGGAAACCAACTATTCTTAAGAAATTAAAACACGTAGTAGGTATGAATGTCAATACTTATTTGCATAGATAGGAATCTTCAAATGAATGTGATTTGCCTTGCTACCCAATGAACTATTATTGTGTTTTTCAATTTCCTTGTTTTTCATTGACACGTTATTCCATATTGTTTGTCTTTGGAACTGTAACTTGGTCGTTATTGTCAAACAAACATTGCAGATAAATGGCTCGCTTGCTAGAAAGGTAATCATTGAATTGGTGGAAAGAGGGTTGATTAGGGAGGTGTCTGTACATGCAAGCCAGCAGATATACACCAGAGCAACCAACTCTTGAGAGATTCAACCTTTGTATCGAGAATTCATGTGGTCACTCTTATCACTCTCTGCTCTTGTGCTTTGAGTTTAGAATGTCTTCCCTTTTTTTGAATTCGTGCATGTCTACATTTTTCAACTACTACTACATGACTACTAGTACCAGGGATGAAGTTGTTTTGTTCACATTTTAGACTTTAATGTATTGTTTTGGCATGTTGATTTTCTGGTGTTTTCCCCATGGCTATATTTGATTTCCTTCATCTTTATGAATTAAGATGAATACTTGTAGAATTGTTGGGGTTTGGGAAACTCAGTTCATGACCTCCCTCCTCTCACCACCCCTTCTTCAATGAGGCCTTAACCATCAACGAGGCCTTATTTTTTCTTTGTTTTTCCTTGAAAAAAAACATTCTACACCTAATCTAATCTTTTTACACACATCCACAATACACATGTATTGAACAATAAGGATGTTCGTTGATATTAAGATGGGCTCCTAGCATGGTACAAGTGAAAAATGTCTATTTTCGTTGTTTTTATCTCGTGCTCTGCTATTTTCTGTGGGGTCTTAATCTTTAATTTTTAATGGACGGCTAAGTCGTCAACAATTCATTGATTAAGTTTAAGTGTTTGAAAAAAAACTTACCATGTTCCTTGTAACAATGTTTAGTTTTAACGTTTCAAAATTAAAATACTTTGTACATTATTAAAAAAGTTATCTAAGATGTTAATGTTAATTTAAAAATATAATTTTCAAATAAAGCCTAAATAGCTACTCTTCACTTTCAAAAATTCAAAGAATTTTTCCGGAGATCCAATAAAGATGCTTCCTGCACTTCAAAATTAACTTTTCATTTATTTCTGTTGGAAAATATTTTCAACTTTTAATAATATAAGTGTGTGATAGCTTTTGTTTTTATAACTTTGAAAACTTTTAAAGTGCATTTTTTTAAAACCTATATTCCGTATTAAAAATAAGTGGAAATTTTATTTTTGCACATGGTGAGGCATTGTATTTAAGTGAAATGAACACTTCATGTATTGGAGAAGTATAAATTTTTGAGGGGGGGCTTGTGAAGTGGGGGGGGGGGAGGGGGGGCATTCCCCACATTATAAACTTGTACTCATGGATTTGTCCGTAAGTGAATGTTCGATTGTTGTTTTTATCAAATCTAATTATCTCAATTCAAAACAAAATCAATGCCAAATTGCCTGAATTTGTGTCATATTGCCCTAAAATATCATAAACATCATGGGTTAGAGTTATGATACACATCTCCTACTTCCAATATAAATATTTCGAATTTTTTTTACAAAGTTTAAGAAAAAATAAAATTGTATGGTGAAAGTTTATGTAAAGAGAAAAAGTGATGTTTTTTTAACCCACAAAGATAGGAAAAGTAACAAAATAAAAGTTCATGTTTTTTTACACACAAAACAAGACTATTATCATGTACTCCGTATTACGTAGCTATTATCATGGAGTAGCATTTAATAGTAATGTTTGGTATTATATGTTCATTTTATTGACATTGTAATTCTTATTCTAGAAATAAAACATAGAACTTTTATCTTGATATTTTTATAATGTTTTAATCTTTTTCTTTATGTTTTAATCTTATTTTGGTTTTCTTTACCATTACTCTAGAGTAAATGGTAAAATAGATGCAAAAAGGGATGATGCCTAGGACTCTAGGTATAACCCATGTCACCGGCGATGTAGAGCGATAATAGTCCACTCGATCCAAGGGACGAACATTTGGAATTTTCTAGGGAAAGATAAAAAAAGAACATTTTGCTACCTTGTTGTAATTGTATAATAACAGCAGGTAATGTTGTCTTTTTGTTTTATTAGTAGTTAAAAAAACTTCTTGAGTTTTTTTTTTTAAAAAATGTTTTTGTTTGTTATTTTTAATAAATTTCTTGAGTATTTTTTTGGGTGACAAATCTTGGAAGAGTTACTGGAAAGTAGTTATTCAAGTATTCCAAAACAACAAAAAGTAGTATTTCGATCGTAAAATTAATTGTTCCTACCCCTAAGCCCCCATACCCAACTCGTCTCTTACGCACATCCGCACCCCCTCCAATTGCACTATCCAAATTTTTGTTAACTTTAAGGTTAATTTATATTTATTGTTTAATCAAAGTTTGTTGAGTTTGACAGAACAAAATCAAATTGCATGAATACACTTGAACAAAAGTATATATTTTAATGTACATTTATACATGCATTTGATCACAATACATACGTTTTACAGTGTTGCCAAATACAGTACAACCTGACATTTGATCATCCACAGTTACAATTCATTTCCATTGTACAATGAATGAGCAATCACCCACTTGCTGCTCAAATGCATATAAACCAAAATAAGGAGAGTTTTAACATTAAGCCAAAGAGGCAAAAAAACAAAAACAAAAAAAAGTTACTTTCTAAGACCAGATGTTATTAGGTCATCCAAACACCAATCCGCAAACTACTACCTCATTCCACCGTTGGTCCCGACTTTCGGTGGTTTCTGATTTTATGCACGACTATGAATTTCTTGTCACTTTGGTCTGTTTCAGTCACATTGTGAAATCAACTGAAAATTGTAAAGGACCAAAATTGGTAAGAAATTTATAGTTATCTACCAAAACTCCAAATGAAGTGGAAAAGTGAAAGTCATGGACCAAATGTGCGAATAAACTAATAGTCGTGGACAAAAAGGGTAAATTTTTTTCCCTTACATGGGGGGCCCCGCCAAGCTACCATCACGAAATCACGCCATAACAGGAATTCCCTCTTGGTTGTTTGTTTCAGAAGCCACTAGTTCCAAACTACGAAAGACCCCTTATTCTGAAACTTGCAGGGTTGAAAGCCCTTCATGCCTTTTCCCATCAATGCCATGGCAGCTATGCTGGGAAAGTGTCGCTTTTGAATTTGCTCTGCTTCCAAACATGCACTCTCGGGCTCATAACCCCCCTCCACTTCAGGAACCTGCAGAGATTTAGTAGCTCTATCACGAAGCAACCTCTGAATCCAAGGGTATGAAGTCAGTTTATCTCTACACGACTTCAAGTTCTCAGCAGCAGAAGAGGACTCGCCGACATTGTTCCTAGTAGTACATTTATCTTGAACCATCCATTCTTTGCCTTTATTTTTATTAGACGTCGGTTCAGAGCATGCTTTACCATGAAACCCGGTGTGCTGCTGCTGCTTATACTCATGAGATGAATCCTCTTTTATGTTTAAGCTCCTTGTGCCAAGGGCCATATTGTAGAGATTACTCAATTTCAAACGCTTCACGAATCTGCTGCTTGGGTCAGATCCTGGAAGATCGGACTGAAACAGGACGGGTTTTGAATTGTTGTTCTGGTCATTGTGAGCAATGATGAATGATTCCATGTCCAAACTGTGCGTGTTTGAACTTAGTTCCAAATTGTCTGATGAAGATGCTTCAGCTGGTATGCCAGGAGTGTACGAGTTTACTATATCATTAGGTGTCTTGTTCTTCTTAATGCCATCACATCTAACTCCTCCCATGGGTGTAAGATGGCATGATTTTTGGCCTCTTTCACACTCCTGCAATTAAGCAAGTTACTCTTAAACAAACAAAAAAGATTCGCTTGACTTGTTTTAAATTTTATATATGCATGCATAGATAAACATATGTATGCATGCATTATGTGTGTGTTTGCAAACACACACAGATATTTTTAACTATCCCACACTGATGGGTGGATTATGGAACCATAGTCTATCTTTCACTTGTATTATTTTCATGCAAAACCTAAGCATGATGAGTGAGGAGGATTAGAGTTACAAAACTTTTCTATACATCAATTCTTACAACGTTTATATCTTTCACTTGCATTATTTTCATACAAAGTCTATTTCGGGATTGAAAACTAATAACACAGATCACCGTACTAAAATTTCACAAATATAAAAAATTGTTCTGTAGTTCGTACTAAATCATATCACACATTTTTTAACATGTTTTATGACTAGATATTAATCTAACATTATCTAGTTAAATGAAGTATGAAACAGTTTTGGGTTATGAAATTTTAGGATGATGATCTGCGTGTTGGTAGCTTTCAACCCGACTGTAGGTTTTGCTTGAAAATAATCCAAGTAAGCATTGTTGATGCGAACCGGAAAAGAGCAATACTTTTACTATCACGATTAAGAGACGTCCAGTTGAAATTATTATTTGTAATGATTGGGATGATTGTGGATGTTGGAAACACTTTAATGGGCTTTCAAAATCACATGGGGGCATGAAGCCTGATCCAAAATATTTTGGACTGAACACAATGAGAGCTGAAAAATAATTTGTCTAGATGTTAATAACTTAATATTATGAAATACTGAAGATTTTCTCTTGAACCGTGTGACTGAAACTTGTGAGAATTTCAAAAATACATATATATTAATGCAAAAGTTACACTTTGCTTGTTCCAACAAATTCTAGAATCAAAGTATTGACTAATGGTGTCAATTACCACATATAATCCAGGGTTGCATTAGTTGTAAAAATGCATCTATAAAAAATGTTGTAGCTTTAACCCTTCTATATAATTGAAGAGAGCTGGATATATTTCGCTTAATAAATGCCTGAGTAGTATTAGTAAATACACACATTTTTAAATATTAAATTCTGCAGAAAAACAAAGTCAAATCTCATCATCATGATGATAAGAGACAGTATTATTTAGAGCTGAGATACAAGCTTTGGGTGAAAGTAAAGATTAAATGGCACTGTATGCATAAGTTCGTGTATAGTTTAACTTTATCAAGCGGTTAGAAGTCGAAAATCTTCACGCCCTGAATGCTATTCTATAATGCACTTCATGTTATGATTGTATTAATGTTATAGGTAATGAAATTTTATAAAAGTGAAACTGAAGCTTCAATTTGTTCTTGCACAAACAGAAGTGTGCAAATGGGAAACTAGTCGTATCTTTCTCAACACGAAATATATGATGGTGAGATTGATATATCGTACAAATAATTTGGAAGACTAGTCGTATCTTTCTCTTAATAAACAGCTCATACTCCTCAAAGTAGAGGGTAATGCACTTTACATTATGTGAATATGACATCTCTTGATTTTTAAACTTTTAGTTGAGCTTTATTGTTTATTTTTTGCGCTCTTATTTATCATATGAGCTTGGTTTAAAAAGTTTTTAAAAAAATTGTGAGTTTTATGTTGTATTGTGGTGCTTGAGCGGGAGGTCTCTTCTAATAAGTCTCTCTACTTTTGAGTACCCCACGCCCTACTTTTGGGGAGATTCTTCTGGGTTTGTTGTTATGTTATATTGTGGGATTTGTGGCAAGCTTTTCCTTTCATGTTATTGAGTTTTGTATTGGTTAGTGGTGAGCTTAAGCCTTTAATGATTGGGTTGGTTAAACAATAATGAGAAAAAAATGAGTTGGTCGAAAATATGTTACATTACTGTGAGCTTAGTATTGCATGTTAGTCAGCTTTATAGTTGCAAGCGGTGGTGGGGTTAGGTTGTGTTCTGTTCGCCTGATCTGATTTTTTTGAAGATCTGATCAAGTTTAATTAGATCTGATCTGGTTTGATTGCAGTTATAATTAAAGGTGTTTCTGATCTGATGTGGTGTGATTATAATAAGAATAAGTAATAAGAAGAAAAAATTAGTTGAACGGAATGCTGCCTTTGTGGGGAACCATTATTGATCTATATATATATATATATATATATATATATATATATATATATATATATATATATATATATATATATATATCAACTGGGTTGTTGTTTATATATATATATATATATATATATATATATCATAGCTTTCATATAATTGAAATACATAAATGAAACTGACTTTGCCCTAATTTCAAAATAATCTTACTATCTCTGAGCTTGTTTTAAATTTTTGTATCGTTTTCTTCCAATAATTCCAATGTTCTTCTTCAATTCCTCCCTATTTTCTCATTTAATATTTTATGAGTTTTGAATGGACTTTAAAGTGATGGGTATATGGAGAATAAAGCGGTAAGCTATTCATGAGAAGTGAAGGATAAGGTATTGTACCTTTTTAAATAGTGAGGAAGAACTAACACCTGAAACAATATAAGTGAGAGAAATTCATTTCACAAAAAATATTCATACAAAAAGGAATATTATAGATTGTCCAATATTTAGCTTATCAACACACTATAGATGCTAGAGCACATAAAATGGCAATCAAGAAGGAAGAAGCAAAGATGTATGTGTGTACCTAAGAGCTGGGTATTTCCTGGAAAGGCATCAAAATCCATGGCATCAGTTTCAGCGGACGATTCATTCTTTGCATCAACTTCTAAAGGCTCAACAACTCCAACGTCTTCTTCAAGTTCACTGGCGGTGCAGCTATCCAGAAGCCGAAGCTTTACACCTTGCTGCTTCTGACTCAAAGCGGAAGGCAGTTTGTCTAAACTGCTGAATATTCGTTTATTGAACTCATTACATGCTCTTGAAGTACCAACAGTTTGATTCTGTTTGCAGATATTCACATCGGATTCATTCATAATTAACAAACTGTGTGTTGTTTGAGAGAATCTAGGGTAACAACCCTTTAATCCCACAACAGAATCCACAGTAGTGCGTATTCTCATTGTCTTCATGTCATGCAAGGAGTGAGGGAGCTCTTCCGGCATGCATATATTATTTAGTGTCTTGTTTGGTTCAGTTGCTTCTAAAGAAGCATCATTGCTTTGGAACTCTGCCAAACGAGACCCATTCTGCAACTTCTGGAACCAGTCCCCGTTCACTTTCAGAGATTGCCTTCCACTTTCCATCTGGCTTTCATGGTTATGTTTATCTCCAAGCACTCGGCTACTGTTTGGTAGATGGCTTTTAGAAACTCTATCAATTAGCAATGGCATCTCAGTCAGGGTGGGATCATCTTTAAGCTTTCCATAACCAAATCTATAGGGAACAATATGCGAAACGGATTCAATGCAATTGCCAACAGTAGGCACTGATGCAACAGTGTGGCTATGTCTGAAAAAAGAATGAGGTTTCACGCGTCTGATAGGATTCTGAAGTGAGGCTTCTGACTCGGAATAGTTCTTCCCAGATGAGATAGCAGTTGCAGAAGTAGTGTTTGGCTCATTATGAGGCTTAAAGGAAAGACATTCACGAGGTTCTTGACAGTCCCTAAGAGGCAACTCATTTCTACTGACCATTGACATAGTGGCCGAGTGATGAGAGCTTTCTACTTTAAAGTTTCCAGAAAATGCTCTGAAACTCTGGTTCACAACTTGACGAGTTTGAGATCCAATGTTTCTTAACTCTCCAGCACTCTGAAGTTCGACTTCATCGATTTTCTTCTTGCTCTCAAAAGGATTGTTAGGAGCACGGAAGCCTTGTGATGTGGAATTTTGACCGGATCCAACCCATCGCGTTACCCAAACAGATTGAATTGATCCGGTTCTCTCATCACACTCTTGATACGATTGTGCAATGCTCTCCGACATGATGAAATATGGAGCTTGAGGCTTTACCCTTTTCCAATTGTATTTTTGCCTTCACAGGTTCATGTCAAGCTCATTTCAATGTTCTGATAAATTAAATATGCAAATATGAAAAAGAAGGAAAAAGCGCATAAATCCAATAGCTTATTCCATTCATTCCACAATTTTTTTTTGAAGAAAAAAAAGGTTCGCCACTAAATCTCTCTTACCTCATTCAGCTTACACTTATAATTCTAGAACTACAAACCAAATCCGAATTGGTGAATCACCAGAGTAAGTAAAGAAGAGCAAAAATGATCGAATCGAGGACAAATATTATAAACACGAATGAAACAGAAGGGAATCAGGCTGTGTTGACTCGAAGTAAAACCTAGAAAGTTACCTCTGGTATTGAGTCAGAAGTTGGCTGGTACATAGGGAGCAAGAGGAGACGGAGGTAGGCACCGTACAAACAGATCGGACCACGGCGGCGGCAAGCTGCGACAAAGGTGAAAGGAGAGAAGGAGCGAAGAAGATGGCCAGCGACACCTAGAAATGGAATAACAGCGCAGATCAGAGGTCTTTCCTGAAGATTTATAAACCTGTGGCTGAGGTTCCTCAACATCTTGTCCCACCTACACTCTCTCTACTCCATAATTGGTATAATTGGTGCTTTTCATATTTAGTCCTCTGTTATCAAATATTACCATTGTAGTCCTTTTTTAAGGGTACATTTCCACAAATGGTCCTTTTTTTATCTTCTGCCGTGTTGGTATTAATTTAAAGGCTAAAAGTATAATTTGACATCAACATTATGTCTAGTGATGTGTTCTGATATTGGTTAAGCGGATAACACAAAAATAATGACTATGATTGTGGGCTAGGATTCTGACAAAAGACCACATTTGTAGACTATAGTTGTAGTAAAAAACGACTGTAATTCACAAACGACGTAAACGGAATAGTCTTTAAAATTGTGTATGACAAAAAAGATATATTATCATTGTGAAATTACACTTTTAGCCCTCAAATTAACACCGACATGATAGAATATCAAAAAAAGGAGTATTTGTGGAAAGGTACCCATAAAAGAAGGACTACTGGGGTAATATTTAATAATAGAGGACTAAATAATGAAACCCCCCTATTATAAAGGACTGATTATAGAATTTACTTTACTTTTTTCTATGAAAAAATTCATACATTGATACTCTGAAATTGAATAATTTACACTACTGCTTTCAGGAATTATTTATTCCTATACCAATACTTTGGCCTGTCAACGAAATAGAATATGTGGCATTTTAAATGATGATTGTAAATTCTTAAGTATGTGTTAGTAACTACGTAGTGATATAAACGAACAGAAAATAATGTTTCAGATAAAATAAAGAATTTTAAAATACATATTTCATAATCAAATTTATATTCATTGAAAATATTCTTAAAATATAAATTCTGGACTATATAAACTTTAAAATTTTCTAATTGTTTATCTGAAACACTATTAATAATTTGTCCGATTAAAATATAAACACTTCATTTTTTAGTTTTAATGCATTTTTATTTTAAATCGACATGGAGGTGGATAATTATACACATTCAAGGTATTTTATTTATTTTTGTAATTCATTACCAACTCATACTTAAAATTGTCTAGTCACCATTTAAAATATCATGCATTCAGTTTAGTTGGCACCTTGGAGGATTGGTGTAAAATTAAATAACTTCTGGGAGCAGTAGTGTAAATTACTTAATATCAAAGTATCATCATATAGTCATAAATTTCGTAGAGTATTCATGTGAATTTTTTTCTGTGGAATACTTAATTTTTCATGATTTTTAATACAAAATTTTAATTATTTATAATTTTATTTATATAAACATAGGTTACAAGTATATGATACTTGAAAACTTTGTTTCAAAATGAATATTTTATACTTTAAAATCTGTATTACAATTTTATGTTTTTTTTGTAATTTATAGACAAAATATATAAATTTTGACTACATAAAATGGTACTTTAGAAGCTTGAACCACGATTGAAGATGGAGTACTATTCCATTGTAGACGGAAGGGTCAATCGCCGCACGAAACGGTCACCGTGACGGTCCATTCCAGTACGAAAAATTCAAATTTTAAAATTGTAAAATCTTATTTTGCTACTTTTCAACTATAAATCATTATTGCTATCATTCCAAAGTTGAAAATAACATTTCGATCCATTCTAAATTTAAATCATTGAGTGACGGTAAGCTATGAATTAACACTCGACGTTAGACTGATACTTATCATAGATGTTATATGATGATGATTATCAGTAAATATTGATTATGATGATTAAAATAGTGTCATGTGTAAGTTTGATTATATAAATGATGATAAACTTATCTTGATTAAATATCAAAATATTATTAGGAATAAAAAAAACCATATGATAGTTGTGATTGAATATGTTTGTGTGAACATCTTGGTTAAATGATGACTGTTAACAACTAAGGCTATCTAGAAGAACTTTAAGGTGGACCACATGTGACCAATTTAGTTGGACCTTGTGGATATGATGTTTGGTGGTCAGGGTTAAAACGTACGTACGAGATCTACAAACAAAACTTGAGTATCCAGTCGTTTGGGAGTACCACCCAAACCGACAATGACTAGACCACTGCTCGGTTTTGAGCGTGACCAGACTCATATGATAGATCATCGATTCTTGTATTTTGTCTTAAACAAATTATCAATATAAAGTAGCCTTAAACTAATTATAGTTTAAGAGTCTCATTATCAATATGAATTAGCCTTAGACTAAGAATAATTTAAGAGCATTCTTATGATTTGACTTTAGCCTATAAGAGGTTAAGAATAATTGTTTATGGTAAAGTTTGATATAAAGCTATCTGTGACAAATGATGAATATTGTGATAACTAAAATGACACGTAATTGTTGTGAGTTGTGGATGAACGTCTGTACAAACCTGAATGATAGATACTCCGTATTTTTTAGTTAACTATATTCGTTACAATTTACAAAATAACAAAGACGATTTTTAAATATAAAGAGTGAGTGTTTGAACAGATATATGTGATTGATATTGTGATAGAAATTATTCTGTAAACTCTTTTGTTGTAACATGGTACCACTCAGCTTCATTGCTGAGTGTGTAAATTTTTCATCGTTCCATACATAGGCATGAGAAAGAATAAATGTTGAGCATATCATAGAGGGTACTGAGATGAAGGTGATGTATGAACGTGCACAAACTTACTTTTATCACATGTTAAGTTATGGGTTGACCATACTGTTGTAAATTACAAATCACTTCCGCACTGTTTTGAATAATTATACTCCGACGTTTTTCCAAAATATTTCGCACAATTTTTTTAAATAAAGCTTTAAATATTTTGAATTGTGATGTTACCAAATTAATACTTTAGTCCGAAAGGGGTTACAGACCTAGACAGATTAGGATGTTACAAAATCAATTTATTATGCTATACAACTATGAAGTATATTTTTCAAAATTGTATCTCCCTCAAAGAAATAATTTTAAAATGCACCAAGTTACATTAAAGTTAACGTGTTAAACTAAAAACTTTCCTCACAAAAAAAGTTAAACTATAAACCAATATTTTTTCGGATGCTAATTATGGTCAAAATTTATAACCAAATTATAAAATTTATTTTGGGACAATGAGAATACCACACCCTATAAAATATAAATGGAGTATTAATATTATGTAGATGAATAAATAAAAAACTTATTTGTATGAGTGGTATGACTCATTTTAAAATTCGTTTTTTTAGAGAGCCCTATAATTCAACCCGGACAAAAGCAGTATATTCATTTACGCCGTATTTATTTTTGTTTATATCCAGTGGTTTTCTAATTTTCGGATCCAAAGTCTTGTTGTTTCAGAATTCCAGGTAAACACAGTCGAGGAAGCGAAGCAGGTTATACAGATTCCGGCGACACTTTCCGATCAGATCTGCTCGTCTTCTCCTCTCTCGGCTGCTCGGAACCTACCGAAGGTGCGACTTCCTATTATCTATCAACGAAGAACACATGTATTAATCATATATTCACATGCTCTCTTGTTGCTGCTCCTGCTCGTGGATCGTTAATTTTCCGATGATTTGAATCCCTGACGAGTTCGCAAATAGAACCGAGTTCGGATTTATGATATAGATGATTAGTTCCTGTCCTGGATCTCATCCCGGTCCACTTTGATTTTGGATCTGTAGGACTGGGAGTTTGATGGAGGGCGTTGGAGGCAGTGCTGCTGCCGCCGTGAACCAGCAGCGGCATGAATTTTCGAAGATTTTTCAGTATTATTTGGACAAGAGCACGCCGCATGCCATGTATAGATGGATTGGGACTTTTGCTCTAGCATCTCTCTACGCTTTGAGGGCGTATTATGTCCAAGGGTTCTACATTGTGAGCTATGGTTTGGGAATCTACCTTTTGAATTTGCTGATTGGTTTTCTGTCACCTCTCGTTGATCCAGAGCTCGACCCTTCGGATGGTCCTATGCTCCCCACTAAAGGTTCAGATGAGTTCAAACCTTTCATTCGCCGCCTCCCGGAATTCAAGTTCTGGTATTCTTCTCCCTTACTTTTAGTTCTAGGCCTCTATCTGCAAGCCTGCAACTGATTTCTTTTACTTTTTTTTGTTATAATGACTTTGGGATAACAAATTAACTGTCTTAATTTTGTAGAGCCCTTGTAGGTATTGTTTTTTACTACTCACACTACACAGTCACTGATTTTTTGTAGCCCTCTTTGAGAGTCTCTTTATTTCATTGAGTAGATAATAGATTTAAAGTTTGCGTACATCTTGCTTCCTAAACCTGGGAAAATCATACTCTTGTGTGGTATTTACGGTGTTTATTTGGTTTGATTTGATAATAATCTATGCTGAAGCAATCAAACAAGCCCAAAGGTTGATAATAATACATTGTCACTCTTGGTTGTCCATAATATCTGAAAGTAATTGATACGGAGTAGAATAATTTCTATTGTTCTCCATCAGTAGACTTTAAGCTTTCATAACTGTGTTGGTTCAGGTATGCAATCACAAAGGCTTTCTGCATTGCCTTTGTCATGACTTTCTTCTCCATATTTGATGTTCCTGTGTTCTGGCCTATATTGTTGATCTACTGGATTGTCCTCTTTGTCCTCACTATGAAGCGCCAAATTTCCCACATGCTCAAGCATAGATATATCCCATTCAACATCGGAAAGCAGGTGAGCTCATTAAGTTCTCCTATGTCCATATCATTTAGCTAGAGCTGTAATTAGTAGGGCAAATGCACACGATAAGCGTGACAACACATATTTAGAGGATGTTTATGTGTGCTTAATTTTTTTGAAAAGTGATTATTTTGATAATAGAATCTAAACCCTTTTCAAAGTTGCTTCTAAACTTTTGCTTCTTTGTCTCCAATACAAATTGATAAACAAACACTCCAAAATGCTTCTATTCAAAGAAAAAGCTAAGAATCATTTTCTAAAGCAGTCGCAATAACCCCTTGGGGCATGTTTTCTTCAACTTATTCTTATTACCTGTTCTTAATGGAACAAGATCAGACTTGATAAAAAACAACTTTAAATTTAACTACAATCATATGAGTATTAGATTAGACTAGATCACACCAGACCTAATCTGGATCAAATTTAATAAGATCAGACGAAGAGAACATGCCCTTAGTCTCTAGTCTTGGATTCTTTTGATACTTGGTGCACGATTACTTGATTAGTGACCTTTTTTTGCTTAATCAGCTTAGCCTATCAGTCAAACTGTTTCATGAAGCACTAACGTATTCCATGAATTTGTTAATAATGAAAATAAGTAGTGCAGAATATATTATTTTAGTCATTATTTTAGTCAAAGTTTTGAGAATGAATTATAATCACAGTTCTGTTAGATTTAATTTGGTTTGTTCACATATAACCGAATGGGTTATGGCTCAATGTTCAGGTCACTTAGTTTGGAGTCAGTTAGCGTGTCTTTCATACTTAATTAATTAAAAATAAAAGCAGCTAGGTAGTTTGCAAAAGATAGGTCCTGGTAGTTTCTTAAAGTTGTGTTGGTTTGTTCTTTCTTTATATTTAGAGAACACAAAAATATTATTCTGTTTTGCTTTGATCCGATTCTGCCTATCAAGTTCTACCCTCAAATTTAAGATATTGATTTCTATAATTTATTAACGTATATGGCGTATATTTAAACCAATTCATTATGGTTTATTTTGATGATGATGATGATGATATAACAGAAGTACAGTGGGAAGAGAGGAATAACAAGTGGGAGAAGTCCGAGAGGGGACTAAATTTTGTGCATGTTTGTGCTATAGAGTAGAAGTTGCTGGAATTTGTGTACTTACAAGTGTAATATGGTACCAGTAGTATATTACTCCCCAAAAGAATGCAATTTCATTTCTGCATTATTGTTGACAGTGAATTGGTTATACTTAAGATGCCCATTTATATATGTTTGCCCATAATTTGTTGCATTTGTATTTTGTAGTCTATTGATTCCATGTGATTATTATAGTGCCTTTGACAGTCTGCACTTCAGTTTTGGCCTTTATTTCCACTAAGGTTAATGAAAAAGGATGAGCCCCATTCCCAAGGGTCTCTTTCGACCCGGTTGGACGGTCACTGAGAGGAGGTAAATTGGACTTTAATTACAGATTGGCACAGTAGAACCTACACCTGAAAAATTACTAGTGATTGATATCTCCAAGTAATTATAAGCGATTGATATTCCCCATTAATTACAAGCCAGTATTTTCTGCCAGTATTTTCTGTCCCCAAACCATGTTTCGACTCCCTTTCTTCCAATCAAAATTTGGCATATGACCTACTCTATCCCCTCATTTCACACAAACTCACCTTAGGGGTAGGATAGGAGAGTATATTTACATGCATGAGGAGATGTCAAATTTTGATTGGTGGGACAGGAAGTTTGGACATGGTTCGGGGACACTGAATCCCGGCCCTTGTTTACGAGCGATTGATACACTACAATTTGTTTACATTAAACAGATACAACACAAATATGGATTGAGTACTTCTAAAGAATGCATTTATTCAAGTAAAAGTGTCACACTAGAGTTATTGGGATGTGGATGTGTGGTGTTGTGTTGGTCAACTAAGGTGTGATACTCTCATCTCAAAGCAATTGTAGGCATTGCACACATTTGACATGCCAAATAATTTAATGAAGTTAAAGATTATAATGGAATATAATTAAATAAGTAGACTAAAAGTAACAAACAAAAAAATAGTTCGAGGAAATAGAAAGATTCATTTTATTACAAACATGGACTGGATATACACGGTTATTCCAAACCTCACCAACATGTACTTTCGAAACATATGGCGAAGGGCTTCGTAGTGATAGGCTTACACACATATACTAAGGGTAGAGATAGGTTGACTCATGATATCTTCAACCAAACCAAAGGAAAAAAAACTATGAAAATTCTCACAAACACTTGACAACAAAAGGATGACCAAGGGGATTAAATAGTAAGGGCGTAAGGCACATATAGAAATGATTTTGAGAATCGCTCTCACGCTCCCACATTGGTATTGATATACTCTTCCACGCTTGTATATTTGACATCGGGATAAAGCTCGGATGCCTCCACTCCGAAGGACGGTTCAATTTCAAAGTTTGTGTGGTCGCCCCTCACAAAGGCGGAGTGAGAGATTGATAGCCCCACATTCAATGGAACCGCGGCTTCTGTATGCACCAACACAAAAAATATCATATGTATCAGATCATATTACAAATTCTCTCATGTGTGTTTGTAAGTTTCACATGTATTTGTAGCATTTGAAGACCCATTGACAATGTGGAAACCCCAAACTCATATTGTAGTAGTTAAGGCGAGGAGAATCAAACATTTATAAATGAATCTAGACTATAAATAGAATTCAAGATGTCTTTATAAAACTCTAGCTAGAGTTCGCCAAAATCTTCTCAATTTAGAAAAAGATTCAGTTAAGGGGCATCATAGTAATGCACAAGAAGTTTGATGCAGAGAAAAGAGAAGATGGGATTGACCTTTGATGTTCTTAAGAACTTGTTCTTCCGGAATATATTCCTTTTCAAGAGATTTGCCAATTTTCTTCTCGTAGATGGCGACGAGGTCATTGAAGGAAATGATGTTTTTGGGAGGCCTGACATAGAGGATTTTGTTCAATGTCCTTGGATCATCCACTGCCTTGATGGTATATGCAGCTATGTCTTCTTCCTTGTTGAAAACAGCTGCAAGATATTACATTCATCAACTAATCAATTAACACTCCTACTCCATAACTTCGGGGTTTCAATGGAGGATAACAGTTTAGCTTCAACTTGCCTTTGGCAGTGCCATCGCCCAGAATAATAACTTTGTCTGTGGGGGGAGATTGTGAACCAGGCTGGGCCAAATTCAGAAGGAAGTAACCGCTGAAGAAGAAATTCGCAACGAAAGTGTGCGGTATTCCTTCCGCCTCAACCGCCCTGCGAATCCCTGATTTCACCGCGAACGCCGATTTCGCCGGCTCCACCGCATTCACCCGATCCACATCCACCCCAAACTCGGACGGCAAAAACCTCTGCAAAAAGTTTTTTTCCTTACACTCGATCTAACAAACAGACGAAATTTGATTGCTCCATATTGCAAATCAACGTCAATTTCAAGCTCAATTTTGTAGCGCGTACCTTGACGTTTCCGGCTTCCTTTATAGCAGCGATGATCTTCCCCTGATCGGCCAATTGAAAGTGTCCCACCGTCGAAATCACTACATCCACTTGTTTGATCGCTTTCACCAGACTCGATTGATCGTTCAAATCACCCTGCAACAGTATACATTAACATATACGGAATTTGATTTTAAAAAAAAATATTGAGCAATTCATTACGAAACGGATCGGAATCTACGGACATGGATGAAATTGACGCCGGAATTCTTCAATCTCTGGACGACTTGCGATTTGTCGGGGTTCGAGAGCGTGGATTCTCTGACCAGAGCGAATGTGGGGTGACCGGCACTGGCGCCGGCTTCGGCGATGAACTTGCCGATGTATCCGGTGGCGCCGATGATCAGAATTTTGCTCTTTCCGGCCATTTTCGAAGCAGGGCGACGATGAGACGGTTGCAATTGGGAAATTCTGAGGAGGTGTGAGGTAGCTTACGTGTTGCGGGAATGAGCACTGCTGGGACCTGCATTTTAACTGTAAGGGATTGAGTGAAATTACAGAAAAAACCCTTTGTTCTCCCATCAATTACAGTTTTGCCACCTGGGTTAGATGGGTGTACTTGGCCGGTTTTCCGGGAGGTTCATGAACCTGTCCGGTTCCAAACCGATGGAGTGTCATTTTCTTATTCCTACAATCTATATATGAATTTCCATAAATTATTTACGGTTACAAATTATTTCGTTTTTAAATATATACTCCGTAAATTATATTTTTAAACTAAATACCAACAATAAATTAATGTAAAAATAAAATCCGTCAATCTCATAAACTGAAACAAACAATTTAGTATCACTACTCATTTCAAAAATCAAAATTAGGGAGTAAGATATATGGACCATGACGATTAATTTATTGTTGGTATTTAATTACTACCTCCGTCCCACTCTTTTTGTCCAGTTTTGACTTTTGGAACTATTCATCTAAGCACTTTGACTCATCAAATTCTCTCAATGTGTAAGTCTAAAAATAGTCATGTGTGATCTTGTTTGATTTAGCTTAACATATAGATTATTAATATATAATTTTTATAATTTTTTAATATACAAATTACAAGATAAAATGAATTAAAGAAGTCCATTGGATGGTGTGCAAAAATGAAAGTGGACAAAAAGAGTGGGACGGAGGGAGTATGTTTTTGGTTGGCGTAAAATTAACAAGTTTTGGTTTTGGTCCCTACAAACATTTTTTTGTTAAATTATCCATGCAAAATTATTATTTTTCCAAATAGTCATCTCCTAATTTAAAAATATTATTTTTATCCTTGTGAAAATTATAAATTGTGCTTTTAATTCCCCCAAAAGTTTTTTGGTTCATTCTTCCTCTTCTAAAATTACTTGATACACCATACAAGATTAACTTATTTTCCAAGTCAAGATATACTTTATTAAAATGTCAATGCCATTGAAATTTTTGAAGTTTTACTTAAATAACTACTCCCTCCATCCCCAATTTGATTACAAATTGCGGGTTACGGAGTAAAATTTTCTACTTTTTGAAATCATTTTATTTATAAATTGGTATATCAATAACATATACAAATTAAATATTAAAAAACTACGTCAAAAGTTCTACAAAACAAGAGGTGACAAGAATATTTTATTTTATCAAATACTTAATTAAATCGCGTAAATAAACAAAAGTTATCGAGAGGAGAAAGAAAATAAAATTGTAATCTATTTAGGGACGGAGGGAGTATGTTTCTATGACTTTGTTAATTTGTTTTCTAAAGTAATACTTGTCCAGATTAATTAATTAAATCGAAAAAAAAGAAATAGAAAAAAAACAATAGGAAATCAAATATGTTAATTTTGCTGATCTTGCTTTTGGATGAGAATTGGTGACCATTTATCATCTAACATGCTTTTGTTGACTTTCTCTTGAATTGCGTGATTGATGTTTGGCTATAAACATGGAGGATTGTGAGTGGTTTCCACACACGGCTAATAGAGAAGGAGAGTGAAGAGGGAGGTGCTACTAGGGGTGTTCATTCGGTAAAACCGAACCGAAATTTCGGTAAACCGAAATTTCGGTAATATTATACTTGTACCGAATACCGAACCGTATTAAATCGGTTCAGTACGGTTAATACCGAAATTATTTCGGTTTGGTATTCGGTAAAACCGAAAAAAATCAAAAATTTCATTTTATTTTCATATATACTTCACTTTTTTTTATTTTCAATTTGTACCACAAGCAATCTTATTCAACATTTAAAGAAATTAGAAATACTTTATATTTTTTAGCTATAGTTAGTCATAAATTACTTGATTTTTCATATTATTAAAAGATTATCGAAGCACATGATTTTGATCTTGTAAAAAAACTGAAATATAAAAAAGAAATAAAAAATTTAAAATATAGAAAGTATTCTATCAAGATGTTTAAAAGATCTTACCTTTAGCCATCGGTAATTTATTGCCCTACGAAGTGAGGTCAATGTATTGATCATTTAGAATAAATGAAACAAAAAATTGAAGAAGAAAGAGTCAAATAGTAAGCATGAGTAAATTTAGCTATATATGAAGTACTGTATTTTTAAAAAATTAAAATTGTGAATAAAAGGAAAGATAAAATACGGTAGACCACTATATTCAACTTCAAAATATTTAAAATAATAAAATGAAGTAATAATTTGATATTCGGTAAAAACCGAATTACCGAATTACCAAATCAAACCGAAAACCAAATTTTAGCAAAAAGAAAAACCGAATACCGAACCAAATTATTCGATTTGGTTTCGGTACGTATCGAATTTTCGGTTTCGGTACGGTTTGGTCAGTTTACCGAATTGTGCACACCCCTAGGTGCTACACAAGATTTCACCAAAAATTCCTATTTTAATTTTTAAAGCATTTAAGAAAAATGTATTTTGTAGTGACTTTTCAAAAATGCTCTTTAATGTGATGGATAAAGTAAGATGTGATGAGTAGATTAATAGAAAAAAAATATGTTTTTGAAATGTTCATAATTAGGTATTTTTCCCAAAACTGATAATTTCTAAGTATATGTTTTCCCGAAATAGAGCCAATGAGCCGTCTCGGGGTGGATTCGTTCATCTAGCAGTCACCCACTTATTATGAAAGGATTATTTTGAGAACTTATTCATAATTTAGATAATAGAAAATACAAAACTATTCTTTGTTTAACTGTTATTTAATAAACATTTTTGATAGAGGATTGTTTATGAAATATATCTCAATTTGAAAATATCATATTGATAGTTATTGTCTTTTTTAAGACTTACTGAAAAAACATCTATTGAAATGTAAATTTTATTTTTTATTTCTTTACCAATATGTAAATAAAATGAATTTAAAAAAATTAATATTTTATTTCAGGAATACAAGTGTGCCAAATATTTAGGAACGGAAGAAGAATAACAAACGAGCAATTAATTTTAGGATACAAGGAATTACGGAGTATGAGGTTAATAGTAGAAAAGGTCCAGTGTGTGTTAGGCCCAAATGTAAGGCGATCCATTTACATGCGGAGTACCACTCTTTTATAGCCCATTTTACCCCATTTTATAATTCCCGTCGCTCTATAAATACATCAAAACCCTATCGGCGACCACTCACCATCATCCGGCCGCCGTGCTTAAGAGCCTCATGCTCTGAGAAAATTAGGGTTACGTTTATACGCTCTTTGATAATGTGTTTTGTGGGATCGGAAAGAGGAGGAAGGCGATGATGAGGGTATATATGTAAATCTCGTTAATCTGATTCGTATATGAGGATTATACTTCCCATCCATTCATTTTTCTCACTGAGCTCCTCCTCTCCGATCCGCCATTTTCTGTGTTCATTTTTCTCTGATTTTATTTGTGTAATATGAATGCTTATTTTTTGCGACGAGTTTTATATTTTGCAATTAAGAGGTATTGAAGTCCAATTGATTTCACTGAAATTTTCGAATTGAAAGTGTTTTTTGAGGGTCCGTTTGGTATACGGAATCAGTGGAATTGGAATTGAATTGGAATTGTGATTTCATGAGATTCGATTCCGTAGAATTGAATTCATCAATTTCAATTCATTTTTTGCTCTATCAATTCCAAATCCAATAATATTTGTTCTACCAAACACCAGAATTGGAATTGAAGTCCTCACTTCCAATTCCGTAATTTGAATTCCTTGTACCAAACGGGGCCTGAATTCATTTCAGTTTTTGTTGGTATTTGTCTATTTGGTAGAGAAGATTTGAATTTCACTGCTATAGATATATTTCAAATTGGTTATGTTAAAAGTTGTTTTTAGATAGTTTTTTAAATATCGTGAAATTTAATTTTTTTTAGCAGGGCTATCATTTTTTCTTACACAATGAAGAATATGATAGTTATTGGTATAAGCGTTTACTGCTTGGAAGGTAGGGGTGAAGATATCTTGTGAATCATATCGACCACCAGTGGGAAAAGCATGAGGTTAACTAAGACTTATAATTTGAATAATGGTTTTTATTAGGAATCAGCATATAAATTGAGAGTTAAAAATTATTGAAATGTTTAAGATTGCATGTTTGTTTACTCTTTTTATACCAGTTATTTTGAAATGTACTATATTTTATTTTACGGAGTTATATTTTTGTACTAACTATTTTTTATATAGATACTTGGTTTGCTTCACAGTTCAAAAAAAGTGATTTTTTGGTTAGGTAATAAAGAAAAGAGGGGAAGAACTAAAAATCATACTTGCAATTAGCAGATCAGAATGAAAGTTTGTTTTAGCTCCTAAGTTTTGCCTTGATATACGGCTTCTCTTGGAAACGTATGAAACTTAGGAGCCAAAATAGGCTTCCATTCATTCTATTCTGGTTTCCAGCATGGTTTTTTTCCCTTTTTTTTATCTAATTAAGAATTCCAGTTTTTTTTGAATACTGCCACAAGCTGATTCTTTGTTATAGCAAATTTATCAAATTAGATTCATATACTAAGAGCCAATGAAAATGCAATTTTTTTATATTTTAATTATTTTTAATTTTTGAATTATTCTAATTCTGCATATCTATGTATTTAATGGTAGATCTTGTTTAATCCCATGTTTTGCCACTGGTGGTCGGTATGTCTCTCAAATTGCACACTGGGTGGCTTTGAAGTCCTTTCGAACTCATGAAAGGCCTAAAAGTACGTGAAGTCCGTGTATTCAATTCAGATTCTAAAAGATTTTAATAGATTATTTAGAATACATAGATAATGTAAAGTCCATAGATTATTTTAATTCCACATAGAGTTTGATAAGTTTTAATGTGTTTTTTGAGTAATATTTTATAAGATTCTCTCAAATTGTTCATAATCAATGAATTACATAGAATTCGTCTTATTTAACATAAACTTGAATATATTCAATCAAATTTGCAAGCAAGAATAAAAAACATTAATGGAAAAGGATTTAGAAATCGAAAAAAATGCTTGCAAAATGCAATTTTGTTTGAAAAACGGCAATGGAAAAATAGCAAGAATAAAACCAAAAGAATAAGAGTAAGAATAAATAATTCTAGAACTCTATTTTTTTAAAAAGAAATTTATCTAAATAGAATTAAAATATAATAACTTTTTCAATGTAAGACTATATGTTTTTATTTTTCAATGTAAGACTTTTGGTCATTATCAAGTAGTCATTATTTAAGTAAATGTCGATTAATACTGGACATTATTCCTCCTGTTAGGTTATTATTAAGTCCTATTTAGGGAATAAAAAAGTTTAAGTCTTACATTAGGAAAGTCATTTTGTTTTAGTCTTATATAGTGCAAATTTTACTTTTTTTAAATTCTCGTACGTTTCCAATTCGGGAGTTGTTTTTCCACAACACAGTTAGAAATCTTCAACATGAATTAGATATAGGTCGCAAAATGATACTGGATGCAAAAGTCTAAGAATTTAATTTTCCATGGAAGAAGATATAGTGAAGCTGCACGATGGATATTGCAGAAGATGGCACAAGGTTGCAGGTGATCTGGAACGAAAGAAGAGTCTGGATAGAAATCTTTAGGTTTGGGGAGAGATTTCAAAGTTGATTTTCATTTATAATCAAAGCTTGGAAATCCACCAAAATCCATAATTTCATGATTTTTTCAAAATCTATGAATTTTTTAATACCTTTATAATTTAAAATCTCAATTAAATACAGTTGGATTTTTAACTGACATTTTAACGTCTAAATTGAATACTCACATATTTTTAGAATCCTAAGAAATACTATAAAATCTATATTCAATACTTAGTTTTTCTAGTTTTATTGCTATCATTTATTTCATTTTAATGAGGATTGAAGATGTATTTTCCATATTTTGGATTAGATTTTTTTACTCCTTTTTTGTAAGATGAATTATTTTCAAGTGGTGTAATCATTGATACCTTTTGATTATGAATTGAACCGTTGATTTGATTCATATATGAGGATTATAAATCCCATCCATTCCCTTTCTCAACTTTGAATGCCTTTCTTTTGCAAGATCCATGATAGATGTAGTTGATGCAATCTTATTACTCCCGTTACAAATTAAATTACTTGTTTATTATTCTTTTTTCAAATTTAATTTATGTTTTTTTATTTTTATTAATTATTTGATAAAATAATATAATTATCTTACTAGTAATTTTATAGATTATTTAATATATATATATATATATATAAACATTAATTTTTATGTTTAAATGTTATTCTTGATTTATGCATAAAATGATATAAAAATAATTTTATTAAAATACTGCAAAAATTGAAACATGCAAGGGAGTGATAGTAATGGAATCCGAAATTTAGTGTCCATTTGGTATACAGAATTGACGGAATTAGAATTGAATTAGAAAATAAAATTATATGTAAAAGATTTGGATGAAGTTGAATTTTCAAATGCCTATTCAGCTTTGACACTTCAAAGTTGAATTTCACATATTTTTGTGTTGTCAAATAATAAAATTTAAATTCTTATTTTCAATTCTAATTTCATAGTTCGGAGTCTTAATCTCTTTTAAGATTATTAAGAGTACTTTTTAAAGAAATTCACTTTTGAAGAATTGATGTGCTATATCTTTTAATAGGTCTTTTGAAACCAAACTATTTTTCTTTTGCGTTTTTACATTGGGACGCGATTATGTGCTCACCTCAGCTCCCTCCCCCCTCTGCCTTTGTACTCGCAATCGCGATTATGAAATATAGAAATTTTTCTATGCTAAAATTTTGTTATATGTTATTGCTATATTTATCTTAATTTGAATATTTTTTTGGTTTATGGTAATTGACATAATAAAAGTTAAGATGAATTTTAATAATCTTTATTTCAATTAAAATGATTTGATAATTGAGGTGGATTTATAAAACTCTGAATTTTATTGGATATGTAATATGAAAAATTAAATGTTATATACTCTCGTTTTGTAAATTTTTTTTGTAGTTTATTAATATGTACGGATTAATTTTTATTTGATATTGATATACCTATTTCTAATTTAAATGATTTTAAAAGACAAGATTCCTAATCAAAATAGGCATAGGAATTGAGGGTGATATAAGAGGATTAGGAATCTCCTCCAAAAATCATAGAAATAATCATAATTTCAATAAAAATCATTTGAGAACTGAAGTGGATTTATAAAATAGCCTTATAACCAAAAAGTATTTAATAAAATACTCCATCCATTCCAAAATATTTGTCACACTTGTTTTTTCAACAGTCGCGGAAACTTTTGTTTATTTCTACGTTTTCATTAGTTATTTGGTAAAATAAAATATTCTTGACACTTCTAATTTTTAAGAATTTTTCATGTAGTTTTTTGATATGTAAATTTTATTTTTTATTTCTATAGCAATATGTAAATAAAATGAATTGAAAAAACTTAATATTTTATCCCGAAAATACAAGTGACAAATATTTAGGGATGAATGGAGTATGTGATATGAAAAATAAAATGTTTTATCACCCCTCACTTTGTAATATTTTTGTTGTAGTTTATTATTCCGAATTAGTACGGGAGTAATTTTTATTTGGCATTAATATACTCTTATTTATAAATTGAATGATCTTAAAAGACAAAACATTCCTAATCCAATTAGGAATAGAAAGTTAGCATAGGGATTAGGGAGTGTATAAAAGGACAGGAACGAGCCTCCAAAGTCCAAATCGATTGGGCGTGATAAGAGCCAGCCATGGAAGAAGACAGGGTCTTGCGATTGAGAGAAGCCATGGCGGAGAGCGGTTCGAGATCCGATCACCCGATTCTCTGCGAATTCTGCTTCGGGGAAGACAATCCCCGCATCACCGAGGTATGCCCGCATATCCCTGATTTTGGTTTGTCGACAATTTGTTTTGTCTTGAAACATGACAGCAAAACATGATTTGGATTGGATTGCAAGGTTTGATATGATACCTATGTTTTGTATTGCAGGCGCCTTACGATTACTCTTGCAAAACGTGCGAGCGACCCTTCAGGCGGTTCCGGTGGAGGCCGTGTCGGGACGGGAGGTACAAGAAGACGGAGATCTGCAAGCCGTGCTGCGTGTCGGGATTGGTCTGCCAAGGTTGCGGTGTGGAGCTGTCGAGTTTGGCGCCGGATCAGGTCCGAGAAACCACACTTCATGTGGCCACGAATCATGACGTTGGGAGTAATAGGAATGGCGAAATCTGATGAGCCACCTCTCCGATCCGCCACTTCCAGCTCCTGCGTTTCTTTATTTTCTTTTTTTTCCTGTTTTTATTTCAGTACTTTGAATGCCTGTCTTTTGGAAGATTTATGGTCGTTGGTCAAATTTTATTTACCTTCTTTCTTAATTTTTGAACAATTTAATTATGTGACTATTAGTTTTAGTTATTGAATATTGAATACTTAGCAAGTATTATTAAGGAAATAAAATATTTTAGGTACGCATCAAAAAAGACATGTTTTATTACTATTCAATACAAATTTCATGCCTAAAATACAAGTGACTGTTGAAGCAATGATGCTTATTGTTTAACAAAGTCGGCATGCGATACTGTTAATCTCTGGATAAGTTAATTTTAAAACATTTATCGCAAAGAGCGTCGAACTCTTCACTTATTCTAAAATACTCATCCAACGAAATTACTCTTCCGAAAATTAATTGGTTAACAATACTGCTAAAATTTTAGCCTCGTTTTTTGAGGCTTGAAAACTACCTTGCAAACGTTTTGCTTCTGCCTAAACGTAAAGTTATAAAGAATATTCTGGCAACATGAAGGAATGTGTCAAGAATGTTGATTATAATAAATATAAAATTTTGTTCTAGACTTTTGGTAAAAAAGGCTGATTTTTTTTTTTTTGCAGTAGCGTATTAGTCTTATTTCTATAATTTGTTTTCAATTATACAAAAATAAAATAACTCAACTTTTATCACGACGACCCGATACCGAATCCATATAGATCCAAATCTATGATTAAATTTCAAGACCCATCAGGTAAACGGGTACGAGTTAGGATTAATCTTTTTAGAAAAGTACGGACAGGGCCGGCCCAATAAGGGGACAAGCAGTCCATCCGGACCGGGCTCATAATTTTAAGGGCCCAACGTTTTTAAAATATTACTCCGGTATATGTATGGAAGTCTAGCATCCAGCCCAATGTGTCAAAAGCCCATCTCCTTAGCCGCCCCATCTCCGTGAAGAACCGGCAGTGGGCTAGTCGCGGAGACAAACGGCAGAAGCTCCGAACCAGACTGAACCAAATAGGAGAAGAGAGAGTGCCGTGTGCCAGAACACCGCCGGTAGGGAGACGCCGCCGCCGCCGCACCCTCCAGGCATTCCATATTCAGTAACTTTCCAATTTTATAATTTTTTCCTTTCTTTCATAATTTCATTCTTTGGATATAAAATCTATGATAGATTATTAATTTTTAATTCAAAATCCTTGCTAACGGCTATGAAATATGAATGAATTAATGGTTCCATATGTTCTTTTTTTGATTTGGATGAATTGATTTGAATTTACGATATATATTTAAAAAAAACCGAAACTGAAAAATTAAAAAAAAAAACTGAAACGGAAAAACTAAAAAAATAAAAAAATGAGGAATCGATATGAATTTATGATATATATAAAAAACTGAAAACTGAAAAAGGAAAAAAACCAAAAAATTGACGGGTATGGATTTATGATATATGAATTTATTTGCTTGCTTTTCCATATTTGATTTTACTTAGTACTCCGTAGAATTTATGAATTTAGATTTTATTTCAGAAATAATTCAACAGCTATGAGTCCTAAACATCTATCCGGTAGTCAAAAACGTAAAAAGAAAAACGAGATGAAATTTTAGAGAGTATAGACTGCGAAGATGTGATCCACCAATTTGCTCTCAATAATGCAAAGAGAACTTCTCGAATCCTCAGCTAGGTTTTACGGCATGTAATTATAATACTATGATTTTGTCATTTATTTATTTTCTTCTAATAATATTGCATTAATTATCATTTAAATACAATTAGTTTACATACGTTAATTTGTTAGACTATTAGAGATAAGATTTTTAGGGTCTTTTTTTCTGTTTCGGCCCGGGCCATTGGATTCTCAGGACCGACCCTGAGTACGGATATAGAACGTTATAAACCTATTCGAACCCGACCCATTGATAGACTACCTATGTATGAGAGAAGGAGGAAGTAATATAAAACTAATTACTCGGAATGTCATGTATTAGATGCATGGCATGCATGTCATCCTTTAATAATTATTGAATTCAAAATTCTTTTGACACTCATTATTAGTTCTCCTGCTTTCCTTCAGTTTTATTCATTTTGACTTTTTTGACCTTAAATTGAATAAAAGTTATACTTCCTATTAGATATAGACATGAAAATAGTTTTATTAGATTTATTATATTAAATATTTTCAAAATATTATCTTATCTAATTTATATTCAATATATATTATTTAATTATAAGTCTAAAGTTGAAAACAACTAATCAAAAAAATCAAAACTAAGCAAACACTCGGGGATAGAGATAGTATTACATAATATGACACCAGATGAACCTTACAATATCTCATTAGACTCCAAAAACTAAAATTTCTACTCCCTAACACTACCCCACAAAAACCCCTCCACCCCAACCCCATAGAAAACATGAAACACTAGAGAGGGTTGCAAGTAGGAATCACTTCATTAAAATATAACAAAGCATCGTAAGACCATCAAGTCAAACCGACCTGCTCCATAAAAAAATGTCACACACACACTAGAGGAGGTCATAGTGAAGGACAAAGAGAATTTTTAGTAGAGCAAATATCATATCATATCAGATCTAACAAAACATTGTTCACCAGCCCCTCAAATAATCCCCGTGTCATGACAAGACGCTCGACACCCATTTTCAAAAGATCTCTGCTCTTATTATTATTATTGTTAAGAGATTATTATTCTTATTTGGATTTTATAATAATAGTAATTATTATTATTATTATTAACTTAATATAAAAAAAATTCAAAAATGAGTGAGATGATGATGATGAGACTAACAGGAGGGGCGTGTGGTGGTGGTGGTATAGTTGGGGAAGGGGACGCGGCCGGACTCAATGCGGTTGACATCCCTCACCAGGATTTGGTAATGCCTCTTCACATCCTCCTCCGTCTTCCCCCCTCCCACCGCCTTTGCCACGTTGCACCACCGGTCCGGCGTGTTCTTGTCATACACCGCCAGCGCCTCCTCGAACGCCTTGTTCTCTCTTGCACTCCAATACGTCCCGCCGCCGCCGCCAGAACCTCCTTGAGAGCATGTAGAAGTTCTAGTAGCAGCCATATATGTATTTATTTATATGTGATTTGATTTCTTATTTGATTATTATTAATTGGATATATGAATGATTGCAAATGTGAAGGCTATGGCTGCTCCTTTATATACACCTCCAGCCTCCACCTCCATATACGTACTTCCTCTATCACCTAATGAGGCATAGTATAGTATAGTATATTCCTTTCACTTTTTTTTTTTAAAAAAAAATCATACATGCATTTTTTGCACTTTTAAATACTACTTGCTTCTCTTCTCGACACAGAGTTTAAAAAAATGTTGAAAAATAAAAAAGTAAGTTGTTGAAATTTGTTTTTAAAAAAAGAAAAAGATTTTGGCACAGATAATTTTTACTTTAATCCGGAGTATATATTAACAAGGAATTAGACATTAGTTATGCATCAAGAAACAACCTATAATTTTTAGTGAAATTTGCACTGAATAGGACTAAAACATAAGTCGTTTCCCAAAGTAAGATTTAAACTTTTTTATTCCATAAATAGGAGTTAATAATGTCTAGTGAGAAGAATAATGTTCAAGTGATGCTGGACATTTAGTTGAATAATGACTAAGAGATAATGACCAATGGTCCGACATTAGGAAATAAAAATATATGGTCCTATATTGAGAAAGTCATTATGTTTTAGTCCTATTTAAGTAAATTACCCTAATTTTTATAGAGCTCAAGAAAAAAAATTTGTCATTGAGATTTATATATGCAGTAGAAGAAATATTGAGCCACTACGAACATACTTGGTTTAAAAAGAAGAATGCGAAATTTGTTTCTGGAACGAAATAATTGAAGTAAATATACATTATAGAATTTAGAACGGGGTATAGGTATGATCACTGGACTGGGGTCCAATCGATTACTCAGCTTAATTCAAGACACTTAGCTTAGCTTGCAAATGGACTCACCCTGATTTTATTTTGAGTGCCAACACTTAACGGACCACGAGCCGTTGGGATGACCATCCAAACAAATAATCAAGTAACTATAGGCCGTTGGATATGCATTCCACACGGACAATTGTCCTGAGAAAAAAATATAATGGTAAGGCTAGGGTAGATAGATGCAAGATGCATGGGGTGCATGAGTTGTCTCCCTATGAGCCACAAGAGGTTTTATTTGGGAAATCTTTGAGATCATATTTTTTTTTGCTTTGCTTTTCAAATTCTCATCAAGAATCAGTCCCAAATTTCCCTAGCTAAATAAGGACCTCCTCTTAATATAATTCTTCTCCCCAAAATAATGAGATGATTGTGTAAGATTAGCTTAACTGTTACTTATTCATCACAAAGACATTTCTACCACTGGTTCCAAAAAAGAGAATATTCTTTTTACTTTCTAATACAGTAATACAAAAGGAAAAAGAGATTTGTTTCACGAACAATATACAATTCATTTTTGTTGGGTCAAAATTAAATGCTCGGATCGGAGATTTAAAAAAATGAAGAGTTTAATTTGGAATGTTTTAATGCATATATGGATGAGGGATATATTTTTGGTCAAAAAGATTCATGAATAAAAAATTTAATTTTTTTTTAAAATAAAAATCATTTATCGAACCAAAATTTTCTTCCTGTATTGATCGATACCAAATGATAAATTATCTCAATTTTTGTAGACGAAGGGAGTAAGGGTTTGTTCGGAAAGGGAAAAAATGACTTATCGTTTTCCTCATTTTTTGGTATTTGGTAAAAAGATCAAAGGAAAATATGAGAGGAAGTCGTTTTCCGGCCTGGAATTTGACTTCCGGATTTTTTTTACGGAAGTCATTTTCCGGCCTTCAGTTTCTTTCATCGCACGATGAAATAGCTTCGCCGCCACATCGCCTTTGGCCCATTTGCCATAACTCATTTTCTTCCTTTCCAAAGGTACCCTAAGGATACGTTTGGTTCAAGGAATTCGAAAAGAAAAGAAAAGAAAATAATTCTCTCTCCAAAATGGAAGGAATTTGATTTTCTTCCTCTTTACACATTTTGCCTTCTCATTTTTATTTTTATCCACTTTCCTTTTCTTTTCGTCTCTAACTAAACAAAAATATTATTTTCCATCTCAGATTTTTCTTTTTTTTTTCTTCCTCAAATTCCTTGAACGAAATATAGCTTAAAGGAAAACCTAATACTCCGTATTAGAAATTAGAAAGATATCACTCGAAGTAAGGATTAATAGAAATAGCAGACTAATAAAATGAGTTAATATGATGTATTGTGTTTGTGTATCTTTTGGGACAACAAACCAAACAGTGAGATAAAGTCTGCCGTACAATGATTATGTCATGTTTGGAGAGAGAGAATCGAAAATGAAACTGTAGATGATTGACACGTGGAGCTTGGCATTATATGTGGAGTTAGGGGAGGGTACCCCATCCCTTTTATCTCATGCTGTCTTCTTGCAAAGATATATGGAAGCACATTTTGGTGCTTGCCCTTGGTATGCTCAAAATAAGGGACATAGTTAATTATTTATTTCAATTGTTCTTCTCATGTGACTGTCTGACCGATTCTGAGAGAACTTCTGAGAACGAAACTCATCCTTTTCGAAATAATGGACATAGCGTTCGTGTGGGTATGTAGCTTAGGTAGATGATCCTGAGAAAAGGGATCATAACGTTCGTATGGATATGTTCTCATGTGATTATCCGACCAATTTTGAGAAGATTTTTTAGGATGAAACTCATCTTTTATTCGTGTGGGTATGTAGCTTAGGTAGATGATCCTGAGAGAGTTATCTTAAATTTCGAAATTTCAGAATCAGTTTTCGAAAGTGGCAATATAGAGTTTTATGTAATGAGATACTTACTCTTTGTGTGCCCGGACACGCAACGACTTTTTCAAATACCAGACTAAGATTGTATATATCATGATTTGCCTTCTCTTTTTTTTTGCCAGTTGGAGTACAGTAGCGCCCGTGATAAGCGTTCCAGCATAAGTTAAGAAACATAGTTTATTTAGCTGATCAATACGGTAGACGAAAAGATATACAATGTCAAAATCCGATTATGGCCAACACTAATGAATCGAAGGGCAACCGTACATATCAAGGGCAAATCTCACTTCTTATTAATCAATCGTAACTGCGTAGTAGGATTTACCCCTAACACGTGAAATGGGTACGTTCACCGTTCATGCCACGCATGGCCGGCCTTAGCTTCTTCGGGTACGTTGTCAGAAATTGAACTCGGAGATCATTGTCTTGAGACGGTTTCATTGTCATCTAAGTTAGGGCCGGCCCCGGCAGCCAAAGGGCACGTAGGATAGTGTGTGTAGTGCAGTAGTACGTAGTGGACAGAGGAAATCTTCAAATATTCGTTGTGAAGATTGATTCTGTACAAAATGTACTCCACTCCTATCCCTTTTCTAGCGGCCATGGCTCCTCACATATATTATAGATTCTCCCTGCATTATTATTCCTCCTTTCGTCCCAAAAAAAAAAAATTAACACTTCATATAAAATGAAATAAGATTTCAAGTTTTTTTATTTTTTTATTCAAAGATTCCTACAAAAATAAAAAAGAAAATTAATATATTTAAAAATAATATCAAATTACAAATATGGGGTGGTTTTTAGAATTGTAAAGAGCGTAAATCTTTTGGGGACGAGAGAGTATTATTATTACTAATAAGAAGGCTGGAGATAAAACAAAGACGGGTAGGGTTTAAATTCTCATCAAATCTTCAGAATATCTACTCCAACTATACGTACATGCACACATCATTTTGTGCACCTACACTTGTATTCTAGCCATTGGGAACATATATTAATAACGACTCTCCTCTAATATGGTATTATCCAAACATTCCTATTTAGTTAGGTCTCGTCTGACATCAGCGTTAGATTTTGAATTAGTATTCTGAAAAAAATTATTTAAAGGTAACTTTTAGAAGTTTAATTATCTTCAGCGCTTTCAGAATTAACCTATATCATTTAAAATATAATGAAAGTATTCCATATTAAATTTGCCACGAGAATAATATAAATATAGGAATGCCATCTCGCTTTAATTTAAAACTTACCACATAGGCTTGACACATGTCGTTTCAAAGGCTTGACAGCAGTCATCTCTTTAGAGATTGAAGTCTGAAATTTATATATAAAAGATAAACGATTTGTGATTTCGTTTCAATGTTTAATTTTTTGGTACGATTTTAATAGGGTATGGTATTGTACTATTTCGTTTGTAAGTGGAATGATAACGAATAGTTAAACATGATATGGTTTCATTTTAATAATTAAGCGTGATCTGTGACAGATTCGATAGTATTACAAACCGTCACGGATCATGTCCACCCCTATGTACTTCCGCCTCGTTTTTGTATGTCCCTATCATGCGAGATTCCTTCAATTGATGAATTAATAATCGTCACTTCTTCTTCTATATCTTGTATGGAGTGCCTGTCTTCAAGCCGTTGAGGCGTAGCTAAACACTTAGTATGCGGGTACTTCAAGAGAGGAATCTCGAGTTTGAAGCCTGGTGGCTACAAAGGCACAATCATGTAAGGCCTACAGCCTCGATTTGCAAGTATTAGGCACAGAACTTCACCCTTATGCCAGCTGGTTAAGATTATAATTCAATTTACCTCTTCTCATCAACTAATTATCCAACTAGTGTTAAGGAGTCCTCAGAGTCAAGGTTCATCATTTTATATTTGTCTTCAAAATAGAATTGATTGAAGCAAGTTTAGTGTGGTCGTTGAATTTGCTCTTAGTAATAAATTTGAAGGTTAATAAATTGTTTTATACTCTAAAATTAATAACATAGAGCCATCAAATGGGTCAATAGGTCTAGACAAACTTATTAGCTATTGGGTTGTTGGAATGGATCGACAGATATTGACCAATCACTTGGGTGATGCTAATGGTTGGGCCAATCCCAGTCGGCTTGGCCGTTTGGTGAGGTTGGGCTGGAATATTTGTTTGGGTCACTCCAAAAATTACAAATCATTTTAAAGTTCAGATTCGATTAATATAAAGCCCGTTTGGCAACCTTCTAAACAAGTCTTTTTTTTTTGAAGGCACTTCTAAACAAGTCTATTTAACGATACTGTTGAGATTTGGGATTTACAATTTTAATCTCGATTTTTTTTTAAAAAAAAATATTGAAAACGTTAATACTAAATAAAAATGTTGTTCTCAATTTTGTTTTCTAAAATTGAAATGAACTTTGGATTGACTTCAAATAAATTGGATTGAATATTTGCTACTAGGTATAATTTAATTTGAAAAGTAATGGCCTAAATTTATTAAAATTGAATGAGTTGAATTTATCTGAATTGAAATACTTAATTAAGAATTAAGATGAAAAGAATAAGCTCTTGATTAAAATTACTCTATTCATCCCAAAATAAAATTGCAGTTTCCTTTATTGGATATCACAAAATAAAAAGTTATGTTTTCTTACTTTTCAATGAAGAAAAAATGAACATTTTATAAATGGTCCTTTCTAAAAAGCAATACTTTATACTTAGACTGAGTTCTCTTCGGCTGATCTCATCCAGTCTGAATGGATCTGAACTAATCTTAATGAATCTGATCAGAATGGATTTAATTGAAATTCAAATAACTAGAGTAATAATAATTATATTAATAATACTAATAATAATTTATTATTATATATTATTAATAACTAATATGGGTGGATGAGGATACATAAATGAGTATGTGAATTTATTGGTAGGAAGGGCCAAATAGACTTTTACATAAATTTTATTTTTCAAATTAGGGAAGTGGAAAAGAATAGTGGGACGGCCCAAAAACGAAAAGTGGACAAATGCAATGGGAGTGAGGGCGTAATGTTTACAATAATAATTTTTATTATTAATCATTATAATTTTAATTATTAATTAATACTCCCTCATTCCCAAATAATAGTTATTATTATTAATTTTTATTATCATTATTATTAATTATCATTAGTTCATAATAATAATGATTATTATCATTTGAATCATTATTATTAATTGGTATTATAGTTATTATTATGTACGATAATTATATATTATTGTTATTATTAATTATTATTAACTATTAACTATTAATTATTAATTATTAATGTAATTATTATTATTACTTTTAGTTAATAATAATAATGTTTATTTTTTAATAGTTATTATCATTTTTTAAATAATTTTCTGATCTGAATTAATCGAGCTTGATCTGAATTGATCTAAATGAATCTGATCTAATATGATTTTTCTAAAAATAGACAATAAGTAGCGTAAATAATTTGAAGAGAACGAGACCTTAATCGCTACTCATGAAATATTACAAATATAGTTTCCACTTGTTTGATTCCTTTCAACAATTTGTCCTTCGTCACTTGCTCTTAATTATATTTTTTAAAATTATTTTATTTACCAATTCGTGTAGAAAGAAAAAAGTACGGAGTACAAATTACATATTTTAAAACTACATTTAAAATTCTATAAAACATAAATTAAGATTCTGTTTGAAAGTGCACCATTAAGACTCCGTTTGACTTAGCTAAAGCTTTCGACATTGTCTAATGTTTCAAAAAAATCAACAAAAGCTTTGGACATTGTTCTTAAGGAGTTTGTATCATTAAAAAAATTCCTAAGTCGCAAGCACAAATGCACAATTTCCATAGGTAACGAAGTCTCCATCATTAATCCAAAAACACACTTGTAGATACATGCTTAAGAATTAAGAGTAAAATTTCCAAAATGTTATACTCTTCGTTCCTGAGTATTTGTCCATTTTTGACTTTTTCGGTCAAATTTGATAAATTTTGACTTCAAATTAAATAAAAATGATATTAGATATTGATACAAAAGGAGTTTTATTAGATTTATTATATCAAATATTTTCAAAATATTATTTTATTTAAATAAAATACAATATATATGTTATTTAATTATAAGTCAAAGGTTGAAAACAATTGACTGAAAAAAGTCAAAACTTGACAAATACTCAAGAACGGAGGTAGTACTTAATACTCCCTTCATCCCGAATTGTATTCCCACATTGACTTAGCATGTTTGTGTATGAATCGAAAAAAATGTCAAACTGCCAAAAATGCTCATACTTTAATTTGGGAGTAAATTTGTTTGGGTGGTGTTGGGATTCCTCAAGTCCCACACCGGAGGGAGAAGTAAAAATGGACCAAAATATATAGGTTCACCCAACCCCATTAGTATGAGGCCTTTTCGGAGGTGCCCAAAAACAAATCCGTGAGGGCTTGGCCCAGAGCGGACAATATCATACTAATGCGGGGTTGGGGTGAGGGCACGCGCAGTCCCAACATGTGGTATCAGAGCCCAGGTTCTTGCGGGCAGGAGTAGCGGACTGTGCAGTGTGGAAAAATCTCGGTGTGACGGTGTAACTAGGACCAAGACCAAGAAAGAGGATCTGCAGGTGGTGCCTTGTGTCAAAAGTCTTCCCGACGAGATCGAGGAGGTCGGGCGGCACGTCCCGTGAAATTATAGCCATGCGGGCGGGAGTAGCGGACTGTGCAGTGTGGAAAAATCTCGGTGTGACGGTGTAACTAGGACCAAGACCAAGAAAGAGGATCTGCAGGTGGTGCCTTGTGTCAAAAGTCTTCCCGACGAGATCGAGGAGGTCGGGCGGCGCGTCCCGTGAAATTATAGCCACGGCGGTACAAGATGATTTGGTGGATCAAATGGTGTAGCCCAGCGAAGGAAAGATCTGCGGTTCGAGCCTTGCATCGAAAGTCTTCCCGACAGGAGGTCGGGCGGCGTGTCCCACAAAGAGTGTGTGGCGGTGCAAGATGGTTAGCAGATAAAGAAAAAAAGGGATTACCGCTGGAGGGGAGGTCGGAAGTTGTGTGGTCCTTGGATGAGGGGAGGTTTGTTGGGATTCCTCCAAGTCCCACACCGGAGGGAGAAGTAAAAATGGACCAAAATATATAGGTTCACCCAACCCCATTAGTATGAGGCCTTTTGGGAGGTGCCCAAAAACAAATCCGTGAGGGCTTGGCCCAGAGCGGACAATATCATACTAATGCGGGGTTGGGGTGAGGGCACGCGCAGTTCCAACACGTGGGTGGATATTAAAGTGGAAGAGTGTTGTTAACATTTATTCTTTTGTCTTATTTACCTTTGAATTATTCAAAAATTACAAAGGTTCTCCCTGAACTTTAAAAATTGTACAATTATCTTTTGAACTTTTACCAAAAATTTAGAAGTGTGTAATTACACGCTCATCTTGTGCAGGTATAGATTCATCTTAAATCATATATCACTCATGAGTTACAATATGCCGTCTCAAACATTATATATCTTCCCTTATCACACACAATAACACATATTTTTATGACTCGAGATCAACTCTTTTGTACCAATCAAGCCATGTCAAGTGCTCTCGTAACACATAGTCTAATGGACAAGAGATGCCACGTGATAGTCTAATGGAGCTCAACCATCTATCTCTTTCCATCATGCCATTCCATTACACACCACACCATGATGATAGGGCATTGTATAAAAACCACAGATTAATCATATCATAGAAGGGTTAATCTCTTCCTCTTCTGGCTAACCAACCTAGTGTCATGTCAATGTTTCCTTCCATTACATTTCATCACATTCCAAGCTTAATCGTCAAGTAGTATATATACTCAGTAATTTTTTAATTTTAAATTCCTCAAGATTACGGAATACGAAAGTACATTTTTAAGAAATATAAGGGAAAATATGAAATTTGTAATTGATACTCTATACTGATATTGTTTTTACAAAGTATTGTAATCGACATTAATAAATAATGATGTACCACTCCCTTTCTTTGGAAATAAACTTCCTAATTTATTTTTTCTTCATTTTGATGAAATGTTGACTTTAGGATGGAAATGTCAGAAATACCTTTATCATCCCACCATTGCCCTAGCTCCCACTGCTAGAGTGCTAGCACCCACCACCGCCCCATCCTCCCCTATTACCCGCCTCAATGCTGCCTCGATCCCACAGTCAAAAATCACATCATAGTTGCATCTATCTGTACTATTGTTGTCTGCTCTTACCAGTGGCGGAGCCAGATATGTGGTGGAGTGGGGTCAATATAAGGTGTAAATAAAAAATATTTGGTGGAGGGGTCAATATAAAATGTAAATAAAAAAATTATAGGGAATAGTGAATAAGGGTTGAAGAAACTGAGGGGGGATTTGAACTCTGGCTTGCAAAGAATGGATTTGCATGCCTTCCACCACCTCTGCTACCCAATATATATTTTTACACCAATACATATATGCTTTTTTATCCTAAATCAGTGGGTGCAACTGTACCCATTTGACCCTATGTGGCTCCGCCACTGGCTCTTACCAAAATCGTCACAGCCTCATCTCTGCTAAGCATTACCGTCACAATTAGACTTGATCAAAGTACGGGCCAGTGCGGGTCTCGGGCCAGGCTGAGACGCTACATTACAAAAAATTTCTAAGTCCGAGCCTGGCCCGGCTCGTATAGCGGGCCTAACACTTGAAGCTCAAGGCCAGCCTGCGTGGATACTTGCAGGCTTCAGGCTGGGCCGGTTCGGACGACAAACAACAACAACAACCCAGTTGAATCCCACTACATTAGGGTCTGGGTGGTTCGGACGACAAAAAGAAATTAAATAGTTAAAAAAAGTAATTTTTTAAAAAATAAAGTAATGTGTTAATATATTACATGTTTGATATAATAACTATAAAAATGAGTAGATGAAACAACTAATATATAAAATATATTTTGTTTGATAATGTTACTATGTACGGAATAAAGAATTTTATTTATTAGAATACCATTATCAATGTGTGATATGTAGTAAACAATATACAATAATAAAGATATACTACCTCCGTCCCAGAGTATTTGTCTACTTTCATTTTTACACACCATCCAATACACTTTTTTAATCCATTTTATCTTGTAATTTGTATATTAAAAAATTATAGAAATTATATATTAATAATCTATATGTTAAGACAAATCAAACAAGATCACACATGACTATATTTAGGCTTACACATTGAGAGAATTTGATAAGTCAAAGTGCTTAGATGAACAGTTCCAAAAGTCAAAACTGGACGAATACTCCGGGACGGAGGGAGTATTCATTTTTTAAATGTACACATAATTCATTTATTTCTTCATAGAAGTATGAGTGTGTTAAAAATAATTTGGAATATCATTGTTCTTATTATTATTATTAATATTAATATTTTTATTATTATTTTATTATAATTAAACTAATAAAAAATATTGTAATTTATTTGGGCGGGGCTGGGGGCTAGTAAAAAAATATTTTAAACTAATAAAAAATATTGTTATTGTAAACTTGCATTCAATTTATGAAAATAGCATTTTGAAAGTATTGTGGGCAAATATATATCACAACCCTCTCAATATGTTATTTATTTTGACTTTTTGAGTCACATCGGAGGAATTTTGATGCTCAACTAAATAAAAATTACAGAGAACAAAATTAACATAATCGATGATTAAATTTATGGGGAGAGTAGATCTGTGTGTGAAAAAAAATATTACAATTAAAAAATTAGATTAAAAAAATTAAATTTGAGAATAATTGAAAGGTATTGTTAATCAAATATTCCAATCATTTTATACTCATATACTTGGGAGTAATTAATTATGGAAATACTAAATGAAGGAGTGATTGAAAAAGTATGGTAAAATTAGGGTACTCCGAATAACTAGAGTAAAATATGGGAAATGACATGAAATGATAAATGGGAGATTAAATCAAAGAATAAAAAAAGTGGAATATAAATAGTACGGAGTAATATTTGGTGTCATATTATGATTTGCCAAAAAATATAGTGCTGACAGCTGAGGGGCACTTTGGTAAATTTAGGTGTCATATTATCATTTATCAATAGTAATAGCCTATTAAGATTAGGAAATTTTATAAATTAAAAGTAAATGTGAATAGTAAAAGTGTAAGATTTAAATTAACCGGATCTGGAGTATCAAGTTGATAAGTGTATTCATTTCGATTTTTTAAATCCGTAAAAGATTTCTAGAATCAGACGTATATTTCTAGACGTATATTTTATCCGCAGTAAAATCGCTTTCAACGACTATAAAGAAAAAAGAGAGCAAGAATTTCATGAACATGCAAATCATCCATCAAGAACTACTCGGTAACAAACAGACCCCACCACATGTAAATCACACACCACCATCGAAATCGGACAGAATAGTAACAGAATCTCAAAGCGACACCAAAGACGGATTACAGTATACCCCTTTAACATCAGAGCACTACCGCCTAACAGACCAAACGGAGGAACGTTAAAACAATGACCATTGGATGAATTTGGACAGAAGCTCAATTCCTCCAGTTTCCGTCATCACCGCCACCCCTGCTGGAATAGCCGCCGCCGCCACCGTTTCCATAGCCTCTATCACGGCCACCTCCATAGCCTCCGCCGCCTCCCTCACGGCGGCCACCGCCATATCCGCCACCTCCATAGCCTCCTCCGCCACCTCCCTCACGGCGACCTCCGCCATATCCGCCGCCACCACCATAGCCTCCACCACCGCCCTCGCGGCGACCGCCGTAACCTCCACCCCCTCCGCCGCCTCCGCTGCGCGATTGGGCCTCGTTGACGGTGATGTTACGTCCGTCAAGGTCACTGCCGTTCATCTCTTCAATAGCCTGCCTCATGGAGCCCTCGTCCTTGAAGGTGACGAATCCAAATCCTCTAGATCTGCCCGTATCGCGATCATTGATGATCTGGTTCAACAAAAAAACAGAAATGATCGAAATCGGAAACAGCCAGATCTGATAGATCAGGATCAAAATATCAAAAATCATAAACAAAAACGAATTTATATTGATATAGGTATATAAACGCGTGTGCGAAAACACAAAATCGATCGATCTCAACCTCTCTAGAGAAAGAGGAAGATGAACGTACCGTTTAACGAGAAAGTAACAGAGTATCAAATAGTAACAGAGAGATAGACAAGAGTAGATGAATCAAGGCAAGTAACAGAGTAGAAGAACTAGTAACAGAGAGATCATGTCAACAACGCCGGATCGGGTCGAGACGAGATCCGACTGCTGCGCAGAGACTAACAGACCTTCGATTCCACGATCCCATACTTGGAGAAGGCGTCATTGAGGGTGTCTTCGGTGGAGGCCCATGCCAAGCCACCGACGAAACATCTGTACTCCACATCCGCCATTTTTATGATCTGAGAGAGCTGAAGAAAAGGATGGATTAAGCGGTGGAGGAGATGATGGGGATAACGGTGAAGAAAGTGTGTGGTTATATAGCTGGAGGAGAGTAGGTTTAGGGCTGATCACGGGCTCTCCATCGGCGCCCCATTGGGGCGTCTAACTCGGGGGTTGGGTTAGATTTAAACCATGGTTGGGAATTATTAAGGCCATGATTGGCATCCAGATCTGAGTTCCTTCATTCTCTATTTACTCCATTTCTGCATGCTCAATTTGTGTTTTTAGTCAAATTGAATGTATTTTTATCATTAATAAATTTAAACTAATTATAAATGCAATTTTTATTAAATTAAGATCACAATTTATATAGTGTGACTCAAAAAAAATAAGCTAAACAAATATTTTCTTTGTCTCATAAATTATCATATTAGTCTTTTTTATTTGTCTTCCAGAAATCTTTTCATTATCTTTTTTAATATTTAAAATAATACAAATCCACGACTAACTATGTTGAATTTAGTTTTTATTCTTTATCCACCTCATTTAATACATTTTATTCATTTTCATTAAGAATATTTTCGTAAACTTTAGTCTTTTTCCAACTCTTCTTAACAACTACAAAAAATTAAAACACAAAATACATTTTAACTAATAAATTAAATATTATGGAGTACAAATGTTGACTAATTTGCTTATTATAAAAACTGATAGAATATGGGAGACAAAAAACATGCTTGAAGAACTAATTGCATCCACAAGTTATAGGAAAAAACAATTACTTCTTTTTTTAACCGTAAAAAGGTCATTACTTTATATTAAACGAGTCTAAGATAGTATTAGTAGGTCTTTAATTAGGTAAAACTCTATACACCAAAAGGTTATAAAAGTGAAAGTATAAAACTATTCACTTTCAAAAAAAAAACAAATGATTAACAAACACATGTTTATGACATTATTCAAAACCCTTTAAAAACATTATTTAAAGATCAAAATGTCTTTTAATTGCAGTTGTAGTTAATACTCCGTACTTCTCATTTTTTTTATTAGTCATTAAAAAGTTACAAATCAATCTATATATAAATTAAGGTAAATCTATCCCTAATTAATCTAGACGTTACAAATTAAGATGGTTGACAAAATTTAATTTTAATTAATTTAGATATAAATTAAGGTAAATTCAAAGATAACATATATATATAATTTAAAACTAATTTTAAAATTTTACTTTATTCTATTTTATCAACTGATTTATGAAATTAAGAAAATGAATTAATTAACCTTCAACACTAGAATAGTAAAATGTGCAAATTAATTAGGAACAAAGGAAGTACTTTATATGAAAAATTTATTTGTTTCTCTATATTATGTTAATTATTACGATTGAAATATACTTGCCCATTTTTTGGAATTTCCATATTTTGATGATTAATAATAAATTGTATACGTTTTCAAACGGTAGTCATTTTAGTTTTCTTAAATATATAATTTGACAAATCCAAGACTCTTAATAATAAATATTAGTATTAAATTTATATCAGTTTTGAATTTAAAATGATGAATATTGTAATGAAACTGAGAGGCAAGTTTTCAAAATAACATCATTATAGAATTTTCCGTGTGACTAAAAATTAGTGAAATCTTGAGGTGAAAAAAAGTTAGTGAAATGATCTAATGGGCGAAACTGTGGAAGGCATGAACCAAACAGGGAATAAAAGCAGCGGACCACGTCTACCTAACCATGGTTAAACATGGGTCATAATCCGGAAGATATTTTGTTAGTGGGCCCCAAGCGTGATAATGCTTACTCCAGACAATGAGATATTTTAGGGGCCCTCTCTAACCCCAACTCATTGATTGAAGGAGCATTCATTATTCTCTCAATTTAATTTAAAAAAAAATTGTCTAGAATATTTTTAAATTTATGCTATATTCAAAAATTATTTTCCATTTCATTCTAATGCATAATAAACTTAACTTTACAAAAATTAACAAATTTTGGGTTGTGTTAAGCTCTTAACAGTAACTACTTATTTTACGCAACAAAGTAAAAGTTTGAATTATTTTTTATGAATTTTGTTTTGATTTTTTTTAAATTCTCAAAGCAACTTTTTTATTCCATCTTTTCTTCTTTGAAGACTAGTTACATCAGAAAAGTAAAAAAAGATATAAAAAATAACGTGAGACTAATCTTATAGATACTTACATCTTCTTATTTCATTAATTTTGTATGATTTTAATTATTTTTCTTTTTTTCATTATTTTTTATTTGAATTTTAATTTTTTCTGATGTGAGACTAATCTTTCAGAAAAGTAATAAAATGATGGAGGTAGAAGACCATTTAAAAAATTCAAGAGAAATAAAAAACAAAACAAAAACTCAAAAAATTAATCTTAACTTCTATTTTGTTACACAAAACAGGACTCATTAATTAGCCGTTAACAATTTAACGGCGACCCACAACTCACAAGTTTAAGTAAAGTTGCAATTATTATACATCATAATAATTTTTGAAAAACATGTAAAGTTGTGATTATTTTGAATAATTTTTCCTTAATCGAATTTACTTACTTTTAATTTACAAGGATTAAAAAGATGTTAAAAAATAATCCTAATGCATGATATATAATGATAAATTAGTATTTATCAAAAGAGAAAACTATTTTACATTTTAAAACTTTCTTAAAAGATGAGTTAAAGTGATGAAATTATATTCGGACAAATGAAAAAGAATCTTGATAAATAAAATGTGAGACAAAAGAGAAAAATTTAAGCATTTGATCGTACAATTACTTTCTTAAAATTTTAAATAATGCAAAAAACATATATAAAGAAAATGAGGAAATTACATGAAAATCAAGAAAAATAATGTGATTTCTGGGCAAGTTCAACAAAGAGTTCATATTTAAAGTACTACAGAGTAATTATCATTGTGTATGAAATTGTGATGATGTTTATTACTCTCTTCGTTTAAAAAAATGTGACATTACGTAAAACAAAATTTCAAATTTTTAAAATTTATTTTATTTAAAAATGTTATAAAAATTAAAAATAAAACTATTTCAAAATCTCACAAAATAAGATGTGATTTGAATATTTTATGTTATCAAATAATCAATATATATTTAAAAATAAAATAATTCTTGATATATTTGAATAGTAAAGTATGACATTCTTTTTAGAACAATGTAAAATACCTTTCTGGAAATAAAAAGTTAATATAAAACCAGGAGTGAATCTTTTAAAATTAAGAAAAAAGGAAACTAATAATGATTAAAAATCTATGATATATAAAAAAATATTAAATAAAATACCCCTCGTCCCAAATAGATATTTCTATTTCATTTTTTATACCTTTCAAAAAATATTTCTATCCACGTCTATAATATCTAAAATTCACACCATTTATCTTTTATTACAAGTAGAAGTAATTTTGATGATTATAGACATTCGAGTTGAAATAGAAATATTTTATCAGATACAAAAAAAATGAAATATGAATATTTTTAGAGATAAAGGTAATACAATGAAACTAAATTATTGCATCCCTAAATATGAAAAAATAAGGTTCCACCGAGACTTGAACTCGGGTTACTGGATTCAGAGTCCAATGTCCTGACCACTAGACCATGGAACCATTGTTGGTATCTTTTGGAAAAAGCCTTTATTATTACTTCAACAGGCAATTAACTCATCATTCAATACAATTTCAATTAAAGTATATGCATCCCGCATGACAACTAATGCTAACCCAGGTTACCCAGCCATCATAATTGAGTTGTAAAAAAAACAGAGTACTTCGTGAATTTGTGACTCACATGTTTTCGTTTTTTAATTCAAAAGGGAAATTATGCATTATTTATAGACAAATACAAAAAAAAAATATTTTATTATAAAATGGAGTGAATGAAAACAAATTGGTGGTCGCATAGAAAGGAAAGAACTACTTGCCAAGATATTCGTGCTTGCCTGGAATATTAATGGAACCTCTAATACTAACTCAAGTTTGATTTATTACAAGTTCATAAACCTGTATACAAGCTCTTTGAGTTGATCTATGTAATAGATTGAATTCAATTTTTTAATGTGATTCAGCTCAAGAGTTTTATTATTTAATCTGATTATGCTTATCTCATTCTAAATTTTACGGAGTATCATGATATCTAATCTAGGATACTAAAATTCTCAATTGATTGGTTGATTAGCACTGAGCAGCCCGCCGGTGCTGTTAAGGTATCCACAGCATTTGTTAAGTTGTATGTCTAGAAGCTCATTTCTAATAGCCCATTTGTCTTTAGTCCAATTATCTATATGGAAAACGACTTGTAGCCCATATAACCTGATTGTTCATCTGAAAATCTATGCATAACGATTAATGGCTCTTTAGGTGTTGTCACTTTCGATCCTTTCATTTCCTGTGAAAGGGGAGCCTTTTTACATGTAGTCAATCGATTAGATTTAAAATTGTCCGGTTGTTCACTTCAGGAAAAAGTGTTAAAGAGTATCTCATGTCGGAACTTGTAGAGAAAATAAACCCGTATCTAAGCTCTTGAGCTAAAGTTAGTAATATCTCCGTCCCAGAGTATTTGTCCACTTTCATTTTTGCACACCATCCAATGCACTTCTTTAATCCATTTTATCTTGTAATTTGTATGTTAAAAAATTATAGAAATTATATATTAATAATCTATATGTTAAGAAAAATCAAACAAGATCACACATGACTATATTTAGGCTTACACATTGAGAGAATTTGATGAGTCAAAATGCTTATATGAACAGTTCCAAAAGTCAAAACTGGACTAATACTCCGGAATGGAGGGAGTAATAGATTAGATTTAATGTTCTAATGTGGTTCAATCCAAGTGTCTTATTGTCCAATATAAAAGAACTTTTAAAATTGGTTCGTTTAGAAATGAGAAATACCTCAATATGTTACTCTATTAAGTTTGCAATTCAATGAAATGATAACAAACCACTATGTACGAAAAAGTCGATTTACCAATATCCATTCCAAAGATTTTTATATCGATTTTCTCTTTCATCATCACTTGATGCTCAAGCCTCCTTTCAAACCTCATAAAATATATTTTACTCACATCCACCCATTTACAGAACTACGTGGCACCCCATCAACCCTTGTCAAATTCCGCCATAAGAGCACCCACATTGGATGGTGGAGTAAAGGGAGGACTATTCCTCCTTCTCTCTTCCACATCAGATTTTGTGGACCCAGGATCCAACTCTTCCATTTACTCCTCCTTATCTCTTACATCAAAAGGATTACTAAAATATTATTCATTATACTCCTTAAATGATTTTTTATTAAATATTTATGCTATGTACAATTATATGAATTTACAAATTAATGAAAAATATAATTGTACTTCATTTTTTTTATGGTTTTGATAATAAAATTGTAATTCATTAATAAAAGTAAAAAGTTAATTTAATTTATTTTAACAAAAAATATTTAATTTAATTATACTAATTATTCTAAAATATTTAAAAATTATTTGTAGATTAAAATTAAATTAAGATATTTAATTTAATTTAATTTAATTATGCTAAAAAATAAATTAAAATATTTATATTAAGTTTGAACCCATCCTATATGTGAAAATTACGGAGTACCCAAATACGGAGTAATTGTAAAAAAAAATAGTGCTATCCAAATGAACTCATGCCAAGTGGCGTCCCAGGATTTGCCTTTTCATTCCAATTTTTCTCTTCTCCGCGGAGGACTGCTTCTCCGCTTCTCTCTCGAATTTCACGCCGGAGGAGTTCTCCTCCTCCTCTCCTCCATCTGATGTAGTTAGTCCTCCTGGAGGACTTCTTCTTCTCCAGCTTAGTTCTCCGCCTGATGCGGGTGGCCTAATACATGACCTAAGAACATTGAAACCTAATAAAGATTCAATCTGGGTTCTAGAACTGGATTCTAGATTCATAGGTTCCGGTTCAAACACAAGAAAGGTCACAAACCCCAATTTACATAATAATTCAATTACTTTCACCACAGAGATTCAAATGTGGATCCATATCACATCTATTGTATGCACAATAAAAAAAACAAACAGGATAAAATAGTTTAATTAAATTCACTGAGAAAAATGATCATATTCAAATAATGGTTATATCCAATGTAAGCAAGTCACTGATCAAAATCAATCTGCAAGGACTGAGCAGCAATGAAACTAGTTTTTTTGAGAGAAATTCTAGAAATAGATATATGAAATATATGAGAAGATTTATATTCTATCCTACTCTCTCAATCTACTACTCCATCAAACAAGTGAGAACAGATTCAACTGTGGTGAGACAGATGAGAGCCATTTACTCGAGTCCGAGACGGCATATTGGATTTTTCTTGATGAGACTAAGATCCACCTGCAAGAGCAAAAGGGGATAAATGCATGGTAGATTAAAATTTCAAAATGTGGTTGGTTCCCGACCGGTTCTGAATCGGAAACTTCTCCGCCCGTAATCCTTATTATTTGTGGGGGGGGGGGAACCCCCACGGCCCCACAATGGAGCCCCGAGACATAGGGACACCATGGGGGCAAAGTCATGGTACACTAGCTGATATGAATGTAAAGAATTGTACCTTATGGCCAAAGAGTTCTCTAATGTTGTCAATGCCATAAAGTATCATGGTTGGCCTGGGAAAGGACAACAAAAAGAAAGAAGTTTGATTACAGACATATTTTTTAACGATAAAAATGATGATATAAAAAGTACACATTAGGCGTTAAACAATAACAAACCCAACAAAATCCCACAAAAAGTAGGGTCTAGAAGTTGTACTAAGACCATACATTACCCCAACTCGAAAGTAAATAGACTGTTTGTAAGAGACACCTCGCTCAAACACATAAGGCAAGAAACAGAGGATGATATAAAACAGACGATATAGTTTGCAACTTGTTAGAAAAATATTAACCTTTCAAGGGAAAGGCCCCAAGCAATAACCCGGACATCATCTGGAAGCCCCATGGGACGCAGCATTTCGGGCCTAAACATGCCAGAATTTCCAACTTCCACCCATTTCTTGAACCCTTCATGGTAACTGAAGATCATAACGTATCAGAATAACACATCATCAAGCGGTAAATTTTTCATCCAAAGTTAGATTTTTACCCAGTCTAATACCTGAATATTTCCATGCTGGGTTCAGTATATGGATTATAAGCAGGTTTGAACCGAAGCTTGGACATTCCTGCGTGTGAAATATGCAAGAGAATGAAATATTTCCTGATGATAATTAAGAATTACTACAACGTATTTATAGGAGTATAGTTACTCCTAAGTCTCATGACTCAATATAATGAGGTCACAGAGATGACATCATCTATTCACAAAGAAAAGGGATGGCTACGATACCATGTGAACTATGTAGAAAGAACAATTATTTCCGGGTAATAACTAAGTAATACAAAATACTTATAGGACAAGTTGTAATACCCCGTATTAATATGGGAATGAAAAAAAAGGCTCAAAAGGATTGATAGTACTACTTATACCAACAAGATGCATCTTCTTTTTGAGAGCTCATCACCTAGAAACTCCAAAGTTAAGCGTGCTTGACCTGGAGCAATTCTAGGATGGGTGACCCCTTGGGAAGTTTCCTTGGGCGCGCACGAGTGAGGACAAAGTGCGCGGGAAAGACTTGTGTTGGGTTGTGGGGCCAGTCTTACAATCCTATGAGCAGACACTTACGGCTAGGGTGGGGGCCGGGGTGTTACACAAGTGCTACCCCTAAGTCTCTAAATCAATCTAATGACATCACAAAGATGACATCATAAGGATGATGTCATACTTCTGGAATCTTCCTACTTTTACTGATATTCGCCACATTGCTAATAAACAATGTTTGGATGTAAAAGAAGGTGTTCTGGTAAAGGTTACCTAGGCGGGAGAAGAAATCATTAAGAACCCCGAGCAAGTCACCAAGACTGAGACCACGATCACATACTAAACCTGTAAACAAAAAAATGCATTATACAGAGTAATTAACATACGTATGAATGAATGGAATAGACGAAACAATATAAACAGGTATTGAATTTTTGTAATAGTAATGTTATCAATAATTCTGGACCTTCTATCTGATGGAACTCAGCAAGATGTGTGCGGTCAACAGCTTCATTTCTGAATACACGATCAATTGAATAGTATTTCTTGGGAGCAAACGGTTTGTTCTACAAATAAAAGCTCCTCAAATGTTATCAGAAATTACAGATACTTATGAAGTCTGATCTGAAGAAATGTGCAATATGCTTAAAAAATGCGCAATATGCTTAAATTGTTTTCATATCCAAAGAAAAGTCCTAAGGATTAGCATAGAAATTCAGAAATTGATGGTGTGTTTAATGGTAGGGTAGGGGTGGGGATTTTGAAGGGAGGCGAGATTCATTTTTCCTTTTTACTTAATTTATCTTTATTTGCTAGTATAAATAACTACTTCCACCGTCCAACTGGTTTTTTCCATCTTTCATTTTTTGTCTATCCCTAAATACTTTTCATTTTCCTTTTACGAAGAAATTCGTGATCCGTATTTTTCTTCTTCTTTTAAATAAACCTCAACTAGCAGTAGTATGTGCCCATAATAGATTCTTGGCACTTGAAATTCCTAATAGACACTCTTCTAATTTCTTAATCTATGTCCCAACGGCACTTGGAAAATTGCAATGGGACAGACAGTACATGGTTAATCAGATAGTTAAATCATGTATTCCAATACTCAGTATTATTTTCAATTTTCATCTCCATCTTCTTTACACCACCTAAATGTAAGAATAATTAATAAAATAACCCTCCCCTCCGAAATCGTCCAATGAAACAAGCCAATAAGGGAGAATGTATTCATATGCCAAAGATTACAAATAACAGCGAACAGTGAGATTTGAAATCTATAATATCTCAAGGCTTGTTTGGTTGGTGGATACCAGAGGAGAGGGAGGAGTGGTGATATTTCTTTTATTGATTCATTCTTATATTTCGATGGTTGGAAACATTGAAAAGAAAGTGAAGATGGAAATTCATATAGAATCCCATGATTTAACTGAAGATATATTTATTTTCTACTGAATATTACTCTGTAACAAACAAAAAGAGATGCTCCCATCCCCTCCAAAAGCCTCCAATCAAACAAGCCCTAAGAGAGAACAAACCTGTGCCAGCTTATACAGCATTCTCGATGACACAGCAGTAGTATGTGTCCGTAATAGATTCTTGTTTGCTTCGTCTCTTTTCCATTCATATCCATATCTATTAAGGCAGAATATCTTTTAACATGCCATCTGAAGTACGTAGTATAACAATTTTGTGTGGACAATTAACATACTAAATTGCATATTAGTATTAAATTATTAATTATATTACATACCCACGAGATCCATAGCCACCAGATTCATGAACATTCTTAACTAGTTCAACATAATCTTCAGGGAGCTCCCTTGTAGTGGAAGGCACTATATAATCACAATTGAAAGTTGAATATAACTGCCAAATATAAATCAGGTGCAACAACCACAAATAAATTGAAGCCATGCAAACCTTTCAGAAAGAAAGTGTCGTGTGAATCACGAGCAGGGTGTTGTTGCGGTTGGAAAAGGGCATCAAAATTCCAAAAGCTGTTAAAAATCAAAGGAACTTAGTTTGCTTATAGTTGACTTGTTTGAAAGAGCTTTAAATAGAAGGATAAAAACGAAGTATATAAATGTTTTCTTGGAACTTTTTCATCTTACTCGCTTTTCTAAGGTTATACAACATGTACTGCAAACACTACCTGAATCAGGCATATGATGTAGCACGTAAAGAATTAGATGAAATTTTGACATCTGCGTGTAGGAATACACTGATGTAGTAGTATAGAAGTTTGTGATAATTAATTAAGTTGACTAAATGCAAAAGGGATATATACTGCACACTATCATTAACAAAACTAAATGTGACAAAAACATTTACCCTCTACTTTGCAAGAAAATGTACAAGGACCACCTCATGGCCATATTAAAAAATCACTTTGTCCCATAAAAAAGGACCTGTTTCAAAATATATTTTGTCGAGGGAAAGAGTTTGAAAATTACTCAATTGCCCTCATTAAATTCATATGGAGTAAGTTATTCTACTAACTTTCTTTTCCTTCTTTCTCATTTTGCTTTCATCCAAAAGGGATATATACTGCTAAGCATCATTAAAGAAAATAAAAGTGACAAAAGCATTTACCCACTACTTTGCAAGAAAATGTATAAGGACCAACTCATGGCCATTTAAAAAAATTACTTCGTCGCAAAAAAGGGACCAGTTTCAAAATATATTTTTATCCCCCCCCCCCCCCCAAAAAAATCTATTTCATTTATAAAAGCTAGTTTTCAGTGTTTTATGTGAATTTCCCAAAAGAAAAAGGTCCAAGAATCTAAGTAGATGTAGAAGTAACTGATGGAATATTGAATGGGGTAGGGATCACTGGACTGGGTCATAAGACACTTGGTTGAACCACATTAAAAGATTGAATCCAATCTATTACTTAGTTCAACTCAGGAGCTTAAATAACGATTTATCTTCACTTCAAGTTCCGATGTGGGATACTCTTTTACAGTAACAAATTACTAGAGTTGTACCTTACCAAAACTAAAAGTTGTCCTTTGATGAAAAATGAATCTTTTTTCTTTTGCGGGTGAGGGAGTACAAGTTTTGGTCAACGTGTCTCCCTATTCATTAGGTCAGTAATATGAACTAACGCAAAAATGCAATGAAGGTGTACACCTTTTGAAATCACGTGGTACCCAAAACCTGTCTTGCAATTATGAAAAGCCACAGTTTGATTAAAGTACTGGAACTGTGAATCAGCTACATGAGTAAGAACTAAGAATGTTCTTCTATCCACTATATCATTAATGATTTGAGTATGTGAACAAGCAAAAAATAATTACCTGCTCTCAACATAATTGTTTGTTTGCATCTCCTCAAACCTGTGCAATTAGAGAAAAGAAAAAACTTTAAGAAATTCCCAATATCAATTAATAACTTGCATGTGCTACATTTTTACAGACAAGTTGCCTGCAAAAATTCATGCATACACAAAATGTACAGGAGTGTGCATGTGGGAGTGTATGCATCTAGTTGCAGACCATACCCCATATGAAGAAATATCATCTGAATTTGGCGCCGCACCTGCAAGAATATGGCTTATTATTTAATCGCCAATTTTTTACATTAAAATATTGCAAACAGTAGAAGCAATCAAGCAGAGGAGAAAAAAATCAAGGAAAACCTTCAGCAATGGATGAAGATGGCCCCCTTCAACTGGCTGGCCTTTTGCACTGAAGTTGTACTCCTTTAGATTCTTCCAATCACCACTTCAAACAGAAATGCATCACCTCATTTTAGCTGAGAAACTTATTCACTTGCTACTACTATGACTTGGGATTAACCCATTAACTTGTCTCTCAAGATCGTGGCTTGATGATAGCATATTAATTAGGGTTTCATCCTTACAGGTCAGCCTATAAAGAGTATCTCAATACTTTATATGTTGGTTTATATGTTTATATTTATTATATGTGAGATTTATCTCTTAACAACTACAAAGCAAATCAATGAAGTATATATCCATTAAATTGTTGATAAAAAAGAATAGTCCATCAAATTTATCTTAAAGTGAATGTAAAATTAATGACCCAAAATGAGTTAGGCATGGCTTGAGATTTTAAGATCAATACAGTATAAGATAAGATTTCACTATTTCCACAATGACAAGTTCAGAGTCACATAACTGGAAAATGGTAACAAAAGTTTATTAGGATATCTCAAAGTATTTATTTGGGAAGAAATTAGAACTGTTGATTGATGAAAAATTCAGCAAGTTTTCTAGAAGGAAAAGAAAACCATGAGCTAAGAGATGACCAATAGTACCTCAATGCCTTTTAGCCTAAGAAAGAAAAGAAACTTTGAAAGAAACCACCACATTATCACAAACACTGCTACAAGGGTGGTGGCAATGGAAAAATGATTTATTTTGCATCTTCAGTGACTTATACACTCAAGGATTGATTAGCGGGATCAAGACCAACTATAAAATACTAAGTTGAACACAGTGCAGGAAGGCATCCAGGTTAAAGACAACCAGCTACCTATGTAGGTTCTCCCGAGTGAGGTCAGTAGCTTCTTTTATCCTTTTGGGAGCATATTTAGGACCCTTCCTTGCCGAGTAGCCTTTCCAAGTCCTAAAATGAGAAGCGAATATGATATAAAATCAATAAACAAGACATACATATACAAAAAAATATCTTAACATGAGAAAGATACATGGAAAAAATATAGAAAACAACTAGTAATTACTGTAAGACAATCAGTTTTCTTCGTTTAAGAGCATCAATATCTTTTGGATCTAGAGTCTGCAATGGACATGGAAATTCAATTAGAGCAGACCCATAAGAAGAATAATATATATATACAGAGACAGAAAACAATGAACATAAGGACAAGTGGGATAGGGCTTGGTGGGCAACTTAAAGTTGCAATCAAATCTTAGCAAGTAGAAACTCTGAAAAACACTAGGAATGAAGACTACATTGTTTGAAATGAACCATTATGGTGGGACCTTAAAAATGAAGAATGGTGTAATTTAAGCAAGGTTTTCTTTTACATGTGTTTAAACACATGGTCAGTCACTATTCACTACATCAAGATAAACCTTTGAAGTAATATTTCTTATTATGAAGAACACAAAATAATCTGTAACTGGGCATTATGGAATGAAAAAATGAACTGTTAGCGACAGCTGTGTGTTGTGAATCCAATCACGTCTTCCATGACAAGGAATATGCAAGCACATCGACTGTCATAAATGAGTTCCAACTTATTGTCACAAAAGATGAATAAACAACCCCCAGATATGTTAGCAAAGAGGGTTCCTGCCTCCTGGAGCTAATTTAATAATTTACTACTGGTTGATTGGTAACCTCTTTGTACCGTTATTGGAATCTGAATTCAATTTAATTAATTAAAAAAATCCTTAAATGTAGTTATGTACTAACGTGGCACTATCACCTTTCTCACTATGAAATAGAAATAGAATGAAGCCTGTAGAAATTTATAGTTTGAAATTATTACCTCATCATTCTGAATTTGCATAAGAAAACCCTTGACGGTGTCAGTAACATCTTGTACCTACATAGATAGAAATACAGAGAATATATTTACAAGGTATGCATCAGGTAACTGCTAATCTCTTCATTTAACATTGTTTGTCGTAATTATTATTTAGTGGTCAACCTAATCCTTCCTTCACTTATTCTCGTTTAATCTTTGAATTAGATTTGGTATTTAATAACCTTTTGTCTAGTATCTAAATTTAAATTTAATTACTATATTAAAATTAAATAGTCTATGGAAAGTCATTGTAAATATTGGGGAAGAGGGCGAAAGACTGAAAGACATCAATTACTTGCTCATTTACTCATCCGTTTCAATGACAAACAGCATTAGTGGCTATGTGCTGAAAAAGAACACAAACCATGGACCAATCAGCAGACATGCCATGCAACATTTCTATCAGTGGACTACCCAAAGACCCTGAACTATAAGAAAAGATAACCCCTAAAACACAAAATTATATAGTAGCATTTGAATTGGGCATCATACCTTCCTTGACACATGGGTCTTTCCCTTTTCCACCCACTTGTTCTTCATCGCCTGTGGCCAACCGACTTTATATGTTGCAGGGTCCATTTTTTTCTGCATTTAACACATTTTCTCATATAAAAAAGAATCCAACTTCATAATCATAGAGAAAATTAAATAAAAACTACTTGTGTCACCTGCAACTCTTCTTGCGTTATACCCTCCAAGGGTATAGCCGAAAGAAGTTGCACTTCAGGTGACCCAGCAGCAGCATATATTCTTCCCTCTTCAGTAAGCACCCATTTCTCTCTCTTGATATCCTGCACGGTTTCCCAAAAAGGATATATCTCCTTCATACTTAACTGAAAAACTATGGGATGAAAGGTCGAAACCAAAAGCTAAAGAAATATGGTGTGAGCCTCATGCAAGGCATTCCCAATTTCCCATAAATGTAACATTAGGCATAGACAGTTTTTTTGGTCAGATGAACCCTTTTCCCATCCATCGAAGTAGTAGATGGATGTCACTAGAAAAATACAAACAACAACAAAACCATTAAAATCCCTCAGGGTTTCTAGGGGTGGATGTAGTCATGTAGGCAAACCTTACCCCTACCTGGAGAGTAGAGAGGTTGTAACTCAAAACATAGTGTTTGTAATTTGTATTATGCATAAACTAGTACACGATGACCTCAAACATCCCTGATGACATGACCTCAGAAAGGAGTTCTTGGAGACACTGTATTAGGGTTAAAGAGTCCTTGTATGGATTGCATGTGTGGGTCGTTGGATGTGGGCCTTTTAGCCTGCTGTTGTTTTGATCTTGTTGGTTAGTTGTTGGTGGACTCTGCTTGTTTTGTTTTCTTGCTTGCTTGTGTGCTTTCTTACTATGTTCTTTTTAACAATACTCAAACTATTTTTCCATGTGAGGCTGTTTACATTATGCCCCACTTTCCCAGGCCCTACTTCTTAGTAGGATATAATGGGTTTATTTGATTTGGTTTGGTTTATTGTTTATAAAGTTGAGATCCTCATATATACACAAGAATTGAAAAGAAATGATCACCTGTGCAATGACAAATCCAAATCCATTGAGGCTTTTGATAGCATTGACTATCTCGTCATGACTGATTCCTTTTTCCTGAGAGAACTTGCCAGAGTCCAATATCTCTTCGTTTTTCTCCAGAAAACCTAGTATAGCATCCTCAGCCATCTAATTTATTTACCTTGTACGTGTCTAAGAGCAGACCAGTAGCTTAGATCAAACGTTATGTGGCCAATACTGAGAGACAAAAGATAAAAGTGAATCCAAAATTTAGCATTCCCTTTTAAAAATGGACTTTTTAGAAAAAGGCCAGTATCTAAATGAAAAGAGCATCAGAGTGACTTACGAGAGTTTAACAATTAACATCATCGCAAACTAATATAAGTGCGGTAAAATATATTTCTGAAGACCTAGAGAATAGAGATAACCTAATTTTAATTTTTGCAAACCTCAAAAAATTTTGAACCCATCCTATAGTGTATAACTCCAAAATGATAACTGCTACGAGTATATAATTTTGACAAAGAATAATAAGGAAAGCATAACAGAGTGTCGATACATTCATAGATCATATGTACAGAAGGCAGTAATATGCGGAACGGATGAAAACCGAAATAACCGACCAAAACCAACCGACATTGGGGCAAACCGATATAACCGAATGGTTGCGGTCAGTTTTTAAAAAACCGAAAGTCACAAAAAATAATTTTGATTACTAAAAGGCAATTTGGGGGCTGGGGAGGTCACCTGCAAGTCTACAATTGCAGATTTAACACTCCAATTGGAGATTTTAACTCTTAAACTGCTCCAATTGCCAATTGCTTCAATTTAGTAAGACTTGAAAGAGAAATTCTCCAATTGCTCAAATTGCAGATTTAACGCACCTACTAACTTTAACACTCCAATTGCAGCTTTAAAGTAAGTTTAAACTGCTAAACTAGAATCCTATTTTTGAAATGCTTAAATCATTGAACAACAGATTCGTGTTCTAGGATAAACATAAGAAATTTGCGGACCAAATCATCGAGAATGAAATGATTGCATTCTAATCTTTCTACCAATTTGCGGAACTGGAGCTTGGGGGTCGGCTTCCGGCGGTGCGTCTGGCGGCGGCGTATCTGAGTCCTGTCTTCTTCAGTTCGTCGGTTCTTCCGTCAGTTCCGTCGTGCCTCAGTCCCTGCCTTTAGGTTCTTTTGTGCGTCTCTCCAGTAGTCCAGTAACTAAGATCTGCATATAATATACGGAGTATATAATACGAGACACTATACATTTTGTTTGATCATTAAACTTTACTCATTTTGTTTTCTCATTTTTACTAATTATTTCGTAAAATAATATAGTCTTATCACCTTTAATTTTATAAAATTTTTCATGTAGTTTATTATTATATAAATTTTATTTTTTAATTTTTACTTCGATAATCAATTAAATTGAATTATAAATAAAATCGATCAAGCCTCGTAATGCGTAATGTAAATATCTTAAATGGACGGAAGGAGTATTAAAAAACAAATTGGGCCCCTTAATTTTTTGGGCCCGACCCGGACGGACTGTTTGTCTCCCTATTGGGCCGGCCATATATATATATATATATATATATATATATATATATATATATACACACACACACACACACATTTATTTATTTAAAAATAATTTAGAAATTCTAGAGAAAAAGGAGGTGATATAGCTATACAAAATATTATTTTATCAAATAAGTAAAAAAAATAGCTTAAAAAAAGTAAACAAAATTTGATCATGTGAACTGTGAAGAAACAATGTAAATTGGGACAAAAGGATTAAAATTTAGGATGATACTCCCTCCGTCCTAAAACTTTCTTCCCAGAGCATTATTCCAACTTCACGGGAATTTATGTTTATTTGTGTTTTTTCATGACCTATATGATAAAATAAAATATTCTTGTCACAACTTGTTTTGTTGAACTTTTGATGTAGTTTTTAAATATGTAAGTTTTATTTTTTATTTCTATACCAATATTTGAATAAAATAGATTGAAAAAACTTAGGATTTTTCTTCGTTTTGCGCAACGGGAAGAAAGATATAGGAATAATAGGACGTAGGGAGTATTTTTTTAGAAAAATTCGATCATAAACCTAAAGCCTTTCCATGTGAACATTCTCACTCAAATTTTTATTTATTTATTTATTTTTATTAAAAAATATTTATCTCAGTAATAAACAAATACTTATTTGATGTATATGAAGGTCCAATATGAACCAAGTCCATGCAACAATTTGCTTTCCCTCATATTCTATGAGAAACCATTTTTGTTGAAAATACTTAATTTTCGTGTTCAATAAAGTTTTGTATTCATGTAAAAGCTGACTACATTTCAAATGCTCCATTGCTCCCTAATCTTGGTTTCAAAAAAAAAAAACTCAAATGCTCCCAAACACAATTTTTCACAAAAGAGCTTGTAATGCTATTTTATATTTTTATCCTCCCACAATTATGTTTTTTAAAAATATCCAAAATTAAATTGTTATTCGCACAAATTATTTTTTCTATCATATAGATGGTGTAAGGATAATCTAGCCTGATATGTTTGTCCATTTTGTCTTTTCAAATCATCATTAAACAGAGAATCAAATCTGAGTTTCTTCAAAACTGATTAGGTTCTAATATTGTTGTTAGGTACCAAATATAAACATTCAGCACCTAGTTATAAACCCCTCTTTTAAATTTTAAAGGTGTAGGCATACAATGAACTAGGAGTACAAATGAGTTCATAATATGTCGAAGACAAAGAGCATTATTGCCACAAAGAGCAATAAGAGAAGAAGATAGCAGAACAGAGGAAGGACAAACAAACAAATCCCTTTATTTGATATCACAAATGCTCATTTGGCCAAGTGAGAATCAGAGTTTGCCTGGTTTGAAGCAAGCGCCAAGAGGATCAACGGTAGAGACTTTCAGATCTTAGGTTCTCTGCAATCTCAGTTTCCCAGCGATCACCATTCTCGAGGAGCTTCTCCTTGTCGTAAAGAAGTTCCTAAAAAAACAATGAAACAACATGTGTGGGTCGTCATTTGCTGCTTAACGAATGTGACATGTAAGAAGAAGAAAAAACTGTCTTTGCAAAAGAATTCTTCTTCTTATGGGCATCTCATCATTCTTGGAAACAACCTCTCTAATTCCGAGAAGGGGTTAATTAACCCTTAAACATCTCATCATACAGGCTCCTCATACCCTAATTTTACTTTTTGTGGGATTTTACTGGTTTGTTTGTTGTTGTATGGCACCTCATCATTACAAACACGATTGAAGAAGATCTACCTTCATGGAACATTTTTTGGTGTTTTCAGAGTAAGTGTGTGTTTTTGTAAAATATGGGTTGCACCTATAAGCCTTATGAAAATTCCCCACTAAGCATTTTCCAGGTTCCAAACAGGCCCCTGAGGAAAAGAAATTGAACCAACCTCATGAGTCTCAGTGGCAAATTCGAAGTTGGGCCCTTCAACAATGGCATCAACCGGGCATGCCTCCTGGCAAAATCCACAGTAGATGCATTTCGTCATGTCAATATCATACCTGTCATATCCAATTCAAACGTGAGATAACCATTGCACTAGAGAGAGAGAGAGAGAGAGAGAAAATGAGATAGGAAAGCATACCTGGTGGTTCGGCGACTTCCATCTTCTCGCTCCTCAGCCTCAATGGTGATAGCCTGAGCTGGGCAAATCTGAGAAAGCCACATCAATCAATTGCACAACATGAGTTTAAGGGCAAAGACAAGTTATAATAATAAAAGTATGTTGTAATATCGCTTAACATAACACTTACTGCTTCACAGAGCTTGCAGGCAATACAACGTTCCTCTCCTGTTGGATAACGTCTGAGGGCATGTTCTCCACGAAAACGGGGGCTTAGAGGACCCTTCTCAAATGGATAGTTGATCTGCATGTTTCACATACTTATTACTAGATGATTCTCTCTATAGAGCTTTAAACTGGGTGAAACCACTCCTGGTTTAATGGTAGGACCAGTCAACTTCTTTCAAATAAATATGGGATCTTAATATTGTTATTTTCTTGTTTTATTGTGCTTTGATAATTTGATATGAAGTGTAATAAAATGTTATCGTGATTGATGGTTCTTTTAAATAAATATGGGATATATTTGATCTGTATCCTGTTTTTCATATAGATAACACACAGTCCCCCTGTCCCGAAAAGAATTTCTTGTTCACTATTCACACTGTCGGACTTTAAACACTTTCTTTGTCTATTTTCATTATTCATTTAATAAAATAATATAGTCTTGTCAATCTAGTTTTGTAGAACTTTTGATGTAGTTTTAAAATATTACGTATACATTTTATTTTTAAATTTTGCCTCAATTTTCAAATAAATTGAAATGAAAATAACTTTGGTCAAACATCGTAATCAGCAATAGAAAATTCTTTTCGAAGTGGAGGGAGTACATGAAATTGTATTAATTTACTCCCAACGGTGTTTAAACTTTAATCTACTTATTAGTATAATATTCTCGTACTTAGATATGCTTTGTCTCATAATATCTGACTAAACTAAACACAAAAACCCACAAGTGTGGCACGCCGCACGTATGGTGATTTCTATACAGCCTATCTAGCCGAACCGCAGACAAAAAGTAAGTGCTTATGAACAAAAAGTAAACAAATAAAGCAAAATATAACATTGAGTTACAGATACATTTTTATCAAACAGTGACTTACAGTGACATTCTTATCAAAGAAGTACTTGAGTGTTAGCATCATACCCCGGACCATTTCAGTCAGAAATAGTGTATTGATGCTCCTCTCAAAAACTGCATTTAGTTGAAAAGGATGATGAATTCATAATAATTTCATACAAAGGATTATCGAAGAAAAGCAAGTTAAAGTAAGCTGTGGTAGAGAGGATTCTACCAGAATTCCAATCTTTAGACAGATCTCTTGCAAGCTTCTCTCTCTCTATGTCATCTACAACACACAAATATCAATAATTGTTAGCAATGCATCTAAGCCATGCATACTGAATTAATAAACATTTATCCCAAATGGAAAGGTAAAGTGTAAGACTGTAAGTAACATATGGCCTTCATTTTTATTAGTTAGCTTTAAGTGGAAATGTAAAGAACTCAAGGTTAACCAATTAAGAGCGCAGCAAAAACTATTACCAATAGAAAATGGATTCTTTGTAGCAAACGATCGTGTGGCATGCATGGATCCATAATGGTTAGAGCCTTGTAATGCTTGTCCTGCAAGAACCTATACTCACCAATAGACAAATTAAAGAAATATAAATCAATGTTCTGGAAATGTATAAGTGATACTGAGTACAACATAGCAGCCTACAAAGTTGTCTAGCAACTAAAGCACATTCAAATTCACGCAAAGGGTACCGTGAAAACTGAGAAATAACTCATAAAACCCTTATGGAGCAACCCTAGGAAAACACTATTCAATCCTTCTTTTCACAGACCATCCTATTTTTTTACCTTTTTTAAATCCATATTTCCACTCCTTTTTTTACTTCAAATAGCAAACAAACACTATCTAATTTTCTTACCCTGTAGCCTGGCACAATGGAAAATGATTGTGAATGCCAAGAAGACGTCGTGAGTTCCAGACCCTACTTCCACAATAGATGGGAATATGAGATCCCTCTGGGACTACTGTGTGGTGCCGTGACATGGGCTCGGGAAAGGGGTTTCAAAAGTAGTTAACATCTATACTTGTCCGGATTAGTCTTGTGTGGGGGGTGGGGAGGGGAGGGGTGGGGGATACTGGGTACGAAGCAAAAGAACACACCTTTTTATCTCCAAGTGCACAAGTACTAAAATCAGAGCTTTTATCCTATCTTGTAAACCAACTAGTTGAACAATCAAAACGCAATGCCACAAACTGGCCCATATCCATAGGTCTTATTACAAATCCATCCCTGGGAAAACATAAATTTCTAGCCTGATTCTAGCAACTTTATTAAGCACCCCAATTTTGTATAACACAAATGAAGAACAAGAACCCCAGCATAATCCCAACTCCCATGGTGTGTAGGGGGTCAAACGTAAGCAACCTTACTCTTGTAAAAAAACAGAGAGGCTATTTCCGTTAGACGCATGATGCATTGTTGCATTTACTTCGCAAAACTTCATAGGACGTAAGCAGCAAGGGAAATAGTTAGATGTGTCATTTTGATCTAGTCCATTATTTACCTTAACCTAGAACATGATTAACATGACTCCTTACTTTCCATACCACAAATCATCAAAGCAAAATACCCAATTGAATTATTAAGTTCGGCCTGCTAATCTAAGACTTCATTCAAACAATCTGAAAAGGGATGAATTAAAACCGCCGGAAAATTCATGTCTAGAAAGAAATTATGGCCTTTTTAGAGGTTCTCAGAAACGGGGAAAAGGCAGAAAAAAGTGTAAAACACGATTCACAGTCATAGAAGTGCAAAAAGTGCAGATTAGGGAGAAAGGAGACATGAAGGAGAGCTTACAAGCTGACGAGAACGAAGGGATTGCATCGATTTACGAGCTAAGATGAAGGCCATCGGTGCTCCGGCGACGTAAAGATGCTCAATTCTCAGGTGGAGCGGAGGAGATCGGAAAAGGAGTGTGGAAAATGTAAGCAAGCAATTCGGGTGGTTGAAATGAGTCGGTTCGGGTCATGAAATATTTTCGGAAGAAAAAATCCAACCCAAACTAATTGCACTGTTTTAATTTAGTTTTTTTTGAAGGACATTTTAATTTCGTTTATTTCAATAGAATTGTAAAATATACTTATTAAGAATAGAATTTGATAAAATTAAAAATTATATCAGTAAAAAAATCTATAGAATGATACTCTAGAGGTAGAGGGTGAAATAAGAAAAATTAGTCAGAGCATGACTCACTGTAGTGACCCCGAACGCGAAGGGAGGCATAACGAATGGGGTTGGACTATGATTATGTATGTGGCCAGCGTACACGCCAAGGAGAGAGTTGTTACTTCAACGGATTTGTGGACGTTTTTTTGTGAGACCACAGGTGTTCTGGACCTGCCCTTGGCGAAATCTAACTATTCCTGATCGGCCGATTTGGGGATTAAGGCCGAAGGTCTCCCAAGAGGCGGTGGGGTTTAATTTAAACATATGTCCTCAAGGTCACCACAGCTCCGCACTGCTTGTAGCCGTTTATTCATTAATTTTTTAAATTTTTCATAAAACAGTTGTTATGCACTTATGCCTAAAAACAAATATTCATAAATTGCTTAGAGTATAGAGGCTACCTCATCCAAATAATTCCCCTTCATATTCTATAGGAAAAAATCAGTTGGGAAGAAAAAATACATGATTATCATCTTTTGGAGATACAACTTTTATATTTGTGCGTTGCGTTGAAGCTATGGTAACAACTATTGTGGCCAATGTTAACGAGAACTCAACCTGAGAGAGGAGGCATCTGAAAAAGATCAACCAAAATCGCAAGGCTGCAAACAAGTGTCTTGTTGATGATTACTTTTGTGATAATTTTGTTTATAATGACAAGCAATTTAAACATCGTTTACGGATGAGTTGCAATTTGTTCAATTCAACTGTCAACAACCTGGAGGAGCATTTTAAATATTCTCGACAGTGCCTAGATGCTATGAGGGTTCATATCACTTCCGAAGTACATAAGCGCTATTCGGTAACTTGTGTACGATACAAGTAATGCATGAGATAAATATTTGAAGATGTCGAACAAAGTTTCTAGAGAGTCTCTACAAATTTTGTAAAGTTTTTTTTAACTCTTGTTGTTACGTAAATGGTACGTTATTATATTAATATCTCATACTTAACATATATCTACACTACATACTTTTATTCAAAGACATCATTAATCTATACGGCCATTGATATTTACGAATCCGACATGGAGTGACATTCAACGAATTTCATTCCGTGCATGCAATTGTACATGATTTTCTCGAGATGTTCGAAAGTATTGATTGTACACATTGGGAGTGAGAAAACCGCCTAATGTAATGGCTTGGCGAGGGTCACATCAACGAGGTGATCACCCAATCCAACGTAAATGCTTGAAGGCGTTGCATCTCATGATCTTTGGATATGACATGCATACTTTGGCATTGTCGGATTTTGCAAGGATATAAACATCTTATATTGCAGAGTATTACTTATAATTTTAGAAAAAATGTTTTGCTGTTTATAGAGTTTTTTGAGATAAATACTTATAGAGTATATATGTGAGGTTTATTTAATTGCCTTTTTTGTAATTAAATACGGAGTATAGTATAATTGAACGTGGCAATGGGTTGATATGAGCATTGCAAAATGAGTCAAATCCAATATTTGCATTTATGAACTGAGTAAAAATAAATATATAAAAGAGAAAGTACTACTCCGTAAAAAAATAAAACGAATTAAATTATAAAATTCATACAGAATACTTAATATTTCTACTCATAAATACATAATATTATTATCAAAATGCTAGAAACTCGCCAGGTTTGATGCCAAGAGTTTGCACACACACATATACAATGGACTACCTATGCATCACAGACAATGGCTGTCTCTAGTGAAACATTTGGTCTCACATTCTTAGTATCAAACATTGTGGGTTTCTAGTCTGACTTGCTTTCAACCATGCTAGGGCTACACAAGAAGTGTACCCTAAGTTATACCCCAAAGGATTGCACCGACATTTTAAAAGTTCACACTGACACAAAATGCTAGTTCAATCAAAAAAAATTGCATTGACATTTTGTGTCAGTGTAAACTATCACACTAGCATCACACTAGCACAAAATGTTAGTGCATGCCTTCGTGGTACAAATGGTGTACAATTTTTGGTGTACATTAGTACATATAGCTTAAATGCTATAGAATAACTGAAGTTTATGTACAGAATTAGGCAGGGGAATCGATGTGATACGCGTTAGCTAGTCTTACCAACCGTATCTTTCTGGTTTTGGGATCTGTTTGCTTGGCGGAACCAGGTGGTAAATGCGTTGATCAAGTGAGGGCAATCTTCCACGTTCCGAGTTGAAAAGCTGAGACATTTCTGCAACAAATCCTGGGCATCAGGAAGCGGAAGTGTTGATATTATCTTCAAGAATGTTTCTTCCAGCTCGGAATAAATTGTTTTGTGGGTGGGCATCGGAGGTGAAACATTGCCTTTGCACACAATGAGCACTGGGAGCCAATCGTTCACAAGCTTCATTCTAACCTGTTGCTCGCAAACGTCGCGATAATTTATCAGCCTATATATACAGACAAATCTGCTCTTTGTGAAGAAGAAAAAAATACGCTGCGCTACTCTTGTAACCACAATTTTTTTTCAACCAAACAAACTTTTGGAGAATAAGCAATGTGGTTTTTTAAAAAGTCACAGCAATACCAAAATGACCATATAATATACAAACATTTAAACATACAATTACAATGCACAGAACAAGACTGCTTCCCTTAAAGAAAGATAGCCCAGGATGTACTTAAAGTGGTTCATATGCCATGTTCTAAATCTGTAATGGAAATCAACTCATATAAACACCCATTTCAATCAACTCATGCAAATAAGCATTATAAACAATGCCCGGAATACAAACTAATAGTCAGTGGTTTGCCTGAAGGATACATTCCNCTTTAACAGAGGCTACATGTGATAGAACAAAATTGCAGGAAATGAAACGAACCATTGAAAGATCAACAAAAAATAAATGAAGCCACCTCGAGAAAGTTAAAACTACCATGTTCTTCTAATTATGGGATAGCCAAGTGAGAAAAAATTTAAGTAGTGAACTTCTTTATAGGAAGGGGAGGGAGAAATCTTCAGTCATGTGACCACCTTATCAACTTGAGAAAGTTCAAACTACAATTGTTTGGATATGAAGCTCTCTATTTATTGTGTATATAGAAAGAAGAATTAGCAAACTTCCTTACTTCCCACATCCTAATAAAAAGTTCATAGAAGATCTAGAGGTTCTCATTAAGAAAGGGAAATTGTGTGATTGAGACTAACTTTCCAGTTAAAAAGGAATGAAAAAAAGGATCATCTTACAGTTGTTTCATGAAAAGGAACACAATGTTCTTCTGATTGCGGGATAGCCAACTGAGAAAAAATTAATGTAGTGAAGTTCATGATGGGAAGGGGAGGGAGAAATCTTCAGTCATGTGCACACCTTATCAAATGCAAGCACATTCATTTTACAGAGCCAGTAATGCCAAAGCCTTTTTTCTGTTAACTTGATATCTCATGGTATAAGTTGAAATAATATAATGAAAAGCAAGTTTCGAAGAGGAACCTGTCTATTGGCCAGGATGGTCCCAGCTGCAACAGCATTAGCAAGCTTGCAAGTGCACCGGAGCACAACTGCAGGAAACCCTGGAACAATGTTCCTCCAAGCATCATCACGGAATGCTCTTTGCAAATCAGCAGTGAATGAAGACTGATTGCTCCACTCCTTCACAGCCGAATCGGCCACCCTCAATTCAATCATCCTCTCAATCAACCACAGTAGATGCCTCCCGTTCGTCATAGCAGTGTGCAAATTCAGCTTCTGAATGGCCTCTGTCTCATCTTGATCGCCTCTAAAGGCTGGACTCGAGTACTCCTCCAGCGACTCTTTCATGACCTTCAAGCTTGCCTCAAACACGCGATCAAGAACCCTCCTAGCCAGCTCCTTGGAAGAGAAGTCCCTCAAAAGCTTGGCAACAAAAGCCTTTGCGCTAGCCATGTTTGTGTGGTTATGAATTGCAGAGAGAATCAATCCATGAAGCATGTCCTCGGATGAATCATGCTTCATAGGTGCAACCCTAACAAGGAGTTCTTTTGATTCTTCAATCCCCAAGTCCCCTATTAATGGAATTAGATTAAATATTCTCTGCTCTTCCTCTTCCGTCCATGGAACGGCCTCAATGAACCTTACACAAGCCTTAATACACTCATCAAATATCAATTTCAGAGCTACATCCAGCATTGAAAGAGCTTTAGAAACGCAATCTATGGCTTCTGAATAGTCATCTGTGTATAGAAGTTGAAGAACAGTAACGTGATCGTCAATTGATCCAGGCATAGGAACGCCCAGATTAAGCCGGATAATCTTCGATGGGCTTCCAGAATCAGCAGCGTCGTTTGACTCGTTTAGCCAGCGCTCTGACAAAAGAGTCGCGAAGTACTTGGAACGGCGGAGCACATCGGAGTGAAGATAGATCTGGACATCAGGCTGGTCGACAGAATCAACGGCTGAGATCGAGCCGGCGTCATCGTCAACGAACGGCCAATCAGCAAATAGCCTGAGGACTACGTCAGCAGAGGCCGGATCGTTGAATGAACCCGGTAAAGATTTCGGAATATGAGAGTGAGAAGGGGTACGTCGAAGAGAAGGTGTTCTTTGAGAACATTCAGATATGGTTCCATCGGGACGGGAGGAGTCGATTGCTGCGACGGTGGAAGGACGGCCGCTGATACCGACCCGATGTCTCTTCTTTGATGCAGCACCGCCGGTAGCGGCGGCGCCACCGCCGCCTTTCATCATTTTCCTGTACAGAAGCCGGTAACTGGTTCGTATGCTATTATTCCCGGCAACCTGTTTTCGATTGACTTGTTTTTGGGGGGAGGCGTATTTGCTGAACCGTGCTAGGCCGGCCTGTTCATGGTACCGAACCGGCCCTCTACCAGATAGCTCAATCCATAATTCCAAGGCATGGGCTAAGTTTTGGGAAGCTAAATGCTACTCCGTATTTTAGCTTCCAATAGTGATTTACATGATTTTTTTCTACAGAATCGGGTAACTCCTTCTGGTGTTACTATTCCCTACAATCTTATCTTCAATTGACAAGAAAAAAGATGAGCCTCATCTCGAGCCCTCTCAGACGTGGTCGAACGATTAGTAAGAAGAAGTAAATCGGATGTTGATCGTAGATTGATATCAAAGAATAGAGCATGCACTTGGTATTTGCAAAGAACTATGTCTCGCATAGTTGCCTCCCAGAACAATTGTCAGAAATCAAATTCAGATCTTACTACCTTGATACTCATTATCTTGTTATTTGCGCAACGCCCACTCACACCTTGTTTTTTATTGACTTGTCTTTGGGAGGAGGCATATTTGCTCAACCGTGCTAGGCCGGCCTGTTGAGGGTACCAAACCGGCCCTCTACCCGATAGCTCAATCCATCAATTATAAGGCTCCGTTTTGGAATTTATACTATGAAATTAAAATTTTGAGACAATAATTTCAATTCTGCAATTTGATAATAAAAAAAATATGCAAATTTGGAATTGGTAGTTGCAAAAATAAATTGAAATTAGAGAATTCAAATCAATTTCATAGAGTTTCACATTTTAATTCAATTTTTATTTCGTCAACTCCGTGTACCAAACGGACACTAATAATAAATCTCTCCATTTTTTTTGAAAATGGAGAGCATGAGGTCTAGTGTTTTAGGCACAATTGGAACCTTGGCGGCAATGAGGTTCAAACACAAAAGCCGGTCAATAGGCAAAGGACTACTACACTTTTTGTTAAAGAAGGTGGTGGGAAATAGAGAGGAGATGATGGCCATTGGTACCAAATTGAGAGGGCTAAGCTAAGCAAAGGAGGTCAATATTTTATTCTCTTGGTTGGGAAATAAATTTTACATTTTTTTTCAATTTTAGATATCTCAAAATTAATTTTATAATTTTCTTATTTTCCCACAAGAAAATTTAATAAGCGATAGAGGAAATAATATTTAAATATATAAATTCCAAAAAAATATTAATTTTGAAATTCATTTAAATTAATATATAAATAAAAATATAATACTCGGCAATAAACAAAAAAATAAGTAGAGAGTATTTTGATTATTTTCTACTCGAACAAGCGTAGCATAGGCTTGCCCTCGTTTGTGTTAGAAAAGGGGTAGATTTCGATCTCGTCTGTTACTCGAACGGTGAAAAAGATTACCAGTAACTTCATAATTTACCTTCTTCCTCATATAAAGAAGATGCTGAAGAACAGAAGAAGACGAAAACAATAATTTACCTTCTTCCTCCTCCATACACTTTTTACTTTCCATAGCCAAACTCCGACCAAACTCTACTCGCCGCCAACGGTTAAATATCTTCATTCCCCGATCCCACAGATTTCACCATTTTCTTTTCCATTAAAGATTACCCATTTCTTATCAATTCCTTCTTCTGTCAATTACTCCGTAAAATTTAAAACTTGAAATTCTTTGTTCCCATATCAAAGAACTATGGCTTCTTTTTCTTCTCATCTCAAGAAGCCTTCAATTATATTCATTCTTTTCTTTGTCCTGCAATTTATCACTTCTGCAAGTAAGTTTCCAAAAGAAGAAAGAAAAAGAAAGAAAAAGATTTCGTCTTTATCAGGAAATAATTAATTTTTTTTATAATTAAGTTTCGTGTTTGTGCATCAGGGCCGGAATCTTTCATCGGCGTCAACTACGGAACGGTGGCGGACAACTTGCCGCCGGTGACAGAGACGGCGAGGCTGGTCAAGTCGACCATCATTCAGAAGGTGAGGCTGTACGGCGCCGACCCGGGTATCATCAAGGCGCTGGCGAACACCGGCATCGGAATTGTGGTCGGAGCCGCCAACGGCGACATCCCGGCGCTTGCATCCGACCCGGACTTTGCGGGTCAATGGGTCAATAGTAATGTATTGGCTTATCCGGGGAGTGAGATCATCGTCGTCAGCGTGGGTAATGAGGTCATGAGGTCAGTGGATCAGAATATTATCTCCAGTCTCTTGCCTGCTATGCAGAATGTCCAAAATGCCCTCAATGCAGCAGGTAGCTTTGTTGATTTTTGCAGCTCTGAAAATATTGTAGTCAATGGAAAATGAGTTTTATTTGGAGGAAAATAATTTTTGTTTTCTTCAGAGACATTTGCACAATTTTCCCACTCACTTAGCACCTTTTATTATGTTATAACAATAAAAATTATTCTGTAGTTTTCTTCACTTTTCAAACTTTGAACAGAAATGAATTTATTTTTCAGAAATCGTTTTCCAGGAGTAATTTTTCAACTTTTCCAAACGGATCCTTAGTTAATTCTTTTTTGGGGCTTTATTGATGAAGATTTAACAAGTACGGGTAGTTTTTGAATATATAAATTCTAAATGTCAATTATCATGTATATTTCATAAACAGGGAAAAGAAATACAAATGGCAAAATTGGAAGGAGATATTAAAAAAAAAGTCCATTTCAGTCATCTTATAAGGTGTCTTATAGGTTTGCCAGTTTGTAAATAAGGCACCTTAGCATGAAAAAGAGAAAGGGAAATAGGAAAATGTTTCAATGAAAAAAAATCCATTTTCTTTGTATTTCCCTATATGATGACTTACTTACACTATGTTTTGGTTCAAGGAATTTGGAAGGGAAAAGAAAAAAAATGAAGGGGAAAGCAGTTTTTCTTCTTTGGTTAGAGAGAAAAAGAAAGAAAAAGTGGAAGGAAAAGAAAATGAGAAGACAAAATGCACCAAGTGGAAGGAAAACCAATTTCCTCTCATTTTGGTGAGGAAAATGAGAGAAAACCATTTTCTTTTCTTTTTCTTCAAAATTCCTTGAACCAAACATAGTGTTAGTGTTCATGACTGGTAGAAGCAGCAAGCATATAGTCTTGTTTGCAAGTAATCAATAATGACATGACTTTCCCTCAAAGAAAAGTTGGATTGATTTTTGTACCAAAGACATTATTTTTTTTCCTTCTTTCAGGAATTGGCAAGAAAGTGAAGGTGTCGACGGTGCACGCAATGGAAGTGTTGAGCCAGTCGGACCCACCCTCGTCGGGGGCATTTAAGTCATCCGACACAATGAAATCATGGCTGCAGTTCTTCCAAGACAATGGTTGCCCTTTCATGATCAACCCCTACCCTTACTTTGCATACCAGGGCGATCAAAGGCCCGAAACATTGGCCTTCTGTCTCTTCCAAAACAATGCAGGACGAGTCGACACGTACACCAACAAAAAATATATGAATATGTTTGATGCTCAGGTGAGAGCCTCTAATTATTGGCTTTTTGGTGAGCGGAGCAGGATTGATATGATATGAGTTTTGATTTTTGAAATTTGAAAAAAAAATGATATGCGTCCTGAAATCTGAAATGTAAGTGTTTGGAGAAATTTGAAACTTGATACAATGGGGGTCGAGAGATGCTCCCTTTGTCCCAAAAAAAATCGTCTGTCTTTGATTTTTTGGGGAATTTACCTAAATAGGACTAAAACATAATGACTTTCTCAATATAGGACCATATGTTTTTACTTCTCAATGTAAGACCATTGGTCGTTATCCATTAGTCATTATTCAAGTAAATATCCACCATCACTGGACATTATCCCTCTTACTAGACATTATTAAGTCTTGTTTAGGGAATAATAAATGAGAAGAGAGAATATTTTTTCAAGGAGATCACTGACTTATGTTTTAGTCCTATTTAGTATAAATTTTTCTTGATTTTTCAAGGAGATCAAGAAATTAATGAGAAGAGAGAAACTTTTTTGGCCACGCATTCTTTTCCTTAAAAGGAAAACGAAGATTATTTTGGAACGGACGAAAAATAAAAAAAAAGAAATATTATTTTGGGAGTATATCAAAGCCTATATCTCTCAATTGAGACATCAAAAAAAACCCAAACTCTATTTAGGCTTCACCCAACAAAAGAATCCCATATGCATGCAGGTGGATGCAGTATATTCAGCCTTGAATGCCATGGGATTCAAGGAGGTTGAGATTGTAGTTGCAGAAACCGGCTGGCCTTCCAAAGGTGAAGCCAATGAAGCAGGCGCCACTGTGGAAAATGCAATGGCGTATAACGGCAACTTGATAAGTCATCTCAGGTCTAAGGTTGGGACCCCACTGATGCCCGGGAAACCCGTCGACACGTACATCTTTTCCCTCTACGACGAGGACTTGAAGCCCGGTGCGCTCTCTGAAAAGTCTTTTGGGTTGTTCCAACTGAATTGTTCTTCGGCCTATGAAGTTGGCCTCTTTTTGAACACTTCTCATGTAAGTTCTTCATTGAAGATTCCTTTCCATCTTTGATGGCATTTTGTGTTTTGGGATTTTTGTTGTTGCTTTGTTTTTTTTCTTCATTAATGTTAAAAACACATAGAACTCAAATAGTACCGAAACGAAACCTTTGGTTTTGATGGTATGTTTTCTTTTTCTTGATGAATTGTCTGCTGTGTAGACTTCGGCGCCTTCTCCAGTGACACCACCGATGACACCGGCTCCAACAAATCCCCCTCCTATCTCAGGAGTAACACCTGCAGCGACAACTCCTCCTACTATTCCAGTGGTAACACCCGCAGCAACTGTGGCAAATCCTGTGGCTAATCCACTCTCACCAGCTTATCAAGCAGGTCGGTTTGATTTACTGCATACAATTTACTTGAAAATCCTTTGAATTAGTGCGTTGTTATCTAATCTATCTCATCAAATGTTTAGGGCAAAGCGTTGGAACGGGAATGTCTTGTAGACCTTCCCACTCACTCCAAATCATCCTTGTAAGTGTATATAGAGAATAGTTCTCTCTTCTCTCTTTTTTTTTTGTTAATTCTTGAATCCCGTTATTCCCTCCGTAGTGTGTGTGTATTCCCGTTTGACTTTTCTTCGTCAAACTGCATAAACGCTGACTATGAAACTCGGAGAAGTTACATCGAGATACTATGATATAAGATACTCGGTAGATCTATGCATAGATACATAGTTGTTAATGGTGAGAGTGTTGTCTTAAAGACTCTAACACTATGTTTGGCTCAAGGATTTTGGAAGGAAAAGAAAAGAAAATGATTTTCTCTCATTTTCCTCACCAAAATGGAAGGAATTTGATTTTCCCTCCACTTGGTACATTTTGCATCCTCATTTTTTTTTCTTCCACTTTTCCTTTCTTTTCACCATTTTTTGGCTTTGGGGTGTGACGGAATAAATCAAAATGGATCTCTAAACTGTCTGCGCTTCTTTAATTAATGAAGTAACAGTTAGTCAAGCAATGCAACTTTTGACGTTGAGCCGGGGGTCTCTTTGGAAACAGCCTCTCTACTTTCGAGTAGGGGTAAGGTCTGCGTACACACACCCTCCCCAGACCCTACTCTTGTGGGATTTAACTGGGTTGTTGTTGTTGTTTTCCTTTCTTTTCCCCTCTAACCAAACAAGGAAAATGGTTTTCCATTTCATTTTCTTTTCTTTTCCCTTTCAAATTCTTTGAACCAAACATAGTGTAAAGGGTCAAACTGGAAGAAAGATTTAGGGCGGATGGAGTATTTACTTTTCCAAATGATAATGGTGAAATTTGCACTAAATAGTACAAAAATATGTCTTTTCTCAATGCAGTACTTAAACTTTTTTTATTTCCCAAATAATACTTGAATAAATTGGTAAGGGTTTAAAAATAATTGTCTAATAATAATAATAATTGCATCTGTTTGTACACTGTGTTTGTGTTGTTGCAGGTTATAATGGGTGCATTTATGATGATGATAATGGCACATGAGGGAGAAGACAGATACTTTAAGTTGCTATAGATGTACTTACCAATTATTGTGGGGTTGTTGAACATTTGTGTATTATAGTACTATATTATAGAACAAAACCATTCTGCTTTGCTTTTTTTTTTTCTTAAGGAGTAAAACATAGCCATTTTTCCGAGTACCAAACATAGCCACTGAATGTTATATGTTGCGGAAACGCGCAAAGGAAAGACACGACACGAGGAGATGTTTTATGAATGGTTGGCATGTGTCCGGAAGGTTTTCGTGGAGTTTCCGGAACATTCATGCCCACCATGGCTCAAATATAAGAGATTTGAAATATGCAAGTAATGCAACTGTATCTTCTTTCTCATTTTCTGTATTTTTGTCATCTTATAGTGTCCCATGGAGTGTCCAAAACGTTTGTCTGCTTTCTTCTCCTTTCACTTTTTTAAAAGACATTTCACTATGTAATGCATTAGCACCATGTCATCATCTACTTCAAGTTCTAGAAATTACCCTCCCTCTATTTTCATTTTTTGTTGTATCTTAAATACTCCCTTCGTTCCGTAATAATATTCTACAATGTCCCAAAATAGAACTCCACTCTTCACATTAGATAAACCACATAATTTCACTTTCTTTAATCTTCATACCCAATTAATTGTGAAACATTATTGTGGGACAGAAAAAGTATATTTACAATTCTCTTATTTTCTTTTTAGAAAAGGAAGACATGAGTACATGAAAATGTAAAGTTCCTCTCCCAACACAAATAGGCAAAAAAGTGTTTTTTATCACAAAAGGGATAGAAGCAAATTATTTCAGGACAGACCGGAAAAAAAACAGACAATTTAAATTGAGAGAAGAGAGTACTAACGTCGTTGAATATTCGTCCACGTCGATTTTTTTTCAATCAAAATGTACGAATTTTAAGAAAAGGGAAAATAGACAAGTATGGCAATACAAGAAAAGACAAGAATCAGAAAACAATCGAACTCCGTATATCTTTTTTTGGTACTAATTATTATCATCGTATTCTGTTCTCAAATTACAACATAGAATAATAAGTGCCCAAATTACGCAAATGTCAGCCACTTTGAGATACAAATGTGTATAATTTAATAACGCACTCAGACATCTCTACATCCAAAATCTTTCAGACAAAAGGGGGAAAAAATCATCCATTTCTTTCTTCAAAAGAGGGAGGGGGGGGGGAGCAAGAGTACACAGAATATTAATAAGGGTGTCGCAGGCGAAGCCCATTTTAACCTTCTTCACATTGTAGCTCGAAAGATCAACCGCTTGCAATAATTTCATGGATTGCGGAGCTGACAGATGCATCATCAGATCTAACGGCCACTTTCATGGCAACCTCTTTCTGTGCGTCGATTCCGAATGCCAACCGAACGAGCACCTTCACGTTGCCTATGTAGACGCCAGACAGTAAGCAAGAGTGCGACCTTGAATTGTTTGGCACCACTTCCGTTCCCTGAAGAAAAAAAAAACAAATATGCCCAAGCTCATCTCTAGTAAAATGTGTTGCATGAAGGGAAATATACCCTCCGTCCCAAAGAGAAATTATCATTCCATTTAGAGGAAGAAATGAGTGGTTGACAATAATTCTCTCATATGCATAAGCCTCAACCATACAATTTTACTTTTTCTCTTACTCCGTGAAAAAACAAAGAAACAAGAACTTCTTTTAGGGGCGGAGGGAGTAGCACCAAACATGTGCATGCCCAATTATACCGAGCGAAAGTAGGGTGTGAAGAGGGGTGAGATGTAAGTAAGTGGTACATCTGACATATAAGGGGTAGAGAGGAGGTTTCCGTGAAGAGAGCTCCTCACATTTGTTTGTTTGAGTTGAGATGTAAGAAAAAGGAATTGCAGGAGTGGATTACTTTATACAACAAGTACATGTTGCGTGCTTCGAGATGGTTTATTTATGTGCGCTTTTCAGTATAAAAGAGAAAATAATTATTTGAGATGGTTTTATGTGTTTTCAATAGAGTAAATATTTACCATTGGAGATAGTTTTATAATGTGGGTCTCATAACTTGTTGTTACTCCTACAAAGACCCAAACATAGTAGGAGTACTCCAGAATTATTTGTTTTAAAATTCATAACGCATCATTTCCTTCTCTTCTTCTGTTCCCTCTCATATACCAAATATATAATGCTTATAATCTACTCCATTTCACAACTCTCTCTCTCTCTCTCCTCTGTGTGAGGAAGAGGCACCTTTAGATGCCATGAATATACAACAGAAATACTGCTAATTTCTAGAAACAAATCCCGTTTCAAAATAACACAAAGAAGGAAGAGTAGGGGGCACTGACCTCGCAAGGTTGCATACCAAGGAGATTAATGACAGCATTAACAGCCTCAGCCAAGCTTTCTCTACGACCAAGACCGTATTCATCCACAAGCTCACTATCTGGGCTCAAACTTTCCCATGCATTCCTAAAATTGGAGACCCCAACTTTAAGCATATAGTCCGCAGCAACCACCTCAAGGTCCTCTAGTTGGTATTCATCTTCCACCCCATCATCCTCAGCTTCACCAGTAGTTGGGTCGACCTAGTTATTGTTAAAAAAAGAAGTGTCAACAACCAATTCTAAGGATAGGAATACATTTATGAACCTATTTGGGATGACTTCTGTTATAAAAGCACTTTTAAGAAGTGTTTTCTTAAATAGTTAAATAAGCACACAAAATGATTTTTTTGAATTAATTGCCCGTTTTTTTTAATCCAAACATTTTCCTATAAAAAAATACTTATTGTTGAAAATCCCAAACATACACTAAATCTACATATTAGGGATATTGTCAAGGGTGGGTCATGTGCTGAGTTTCTCCCCATGTGTCCTTGACGTTAAAGGTGACATAGATTATGCTGTTTCTACCCCCACCCCCCCCCCCAACCGTGTTGCACCCAATACTTTATATGCAAAGCAACTTCACTAGTTTCAAACATCCTATCATGAATTGAAAAGGAAAAAAAATCAGAACTGGTTTCACCTCTTTAACAATGAACCTCAATGTGTTTGAGAATTTCCCTAATACAGGCACTCCTTCAGGTTTCTCAAATGCTACAAATGTCTGTCCTGGTGTATCATATGGAAGGGACCTGAGGGGTTTAGCAGCTACTTCCGAAAACTCCTCAGCTTCAGAAGCATCAACGATAACAGTGACCTGGCAACACAAATCAAGATTTTAGAGCACGCTGGTAGCAAAGTATGATGTCAAACTATTTAAAAAATCATATTATTATTACATTCTCCAACAACTGCTCAGGAATTGTGTTAATGCAATTGTACTGAAATACAATGTGGCTGTCAAATATGTGTTTCACTGCATTGACTGAATATTCCGTCTCAGCTTCTGTAAGTTCCACAGGTGCAGATGACTGACAAAACAAAAAATAGATCTCACATACTCGGCAATTAATTTACAAAAATAAGCACTAATATTAATTAAAAATGCAAAGAAAATGATCTCAGTGCAACCTTAAAAAGCTTCCCGTAGCTTGAAAACTCTGGTATGGATGAAAGTAATTTTTCATATACATCAATAGTTGATGTGGGACCGGCAGGAGGAGCAGCTAAACCAGTGGCCTTTTTGCTCTGTGATTTCTTCTCTGCAATGGGTTGAGATTTAACCTCCTTGGGAACACAGTTGATATCAAATGGCTCTTCGGAGGGAACCTGCATCAGTTTCAAGCAAATAAGAGCGAGTATGGCCTATTGACAAGTAAATAAAGTGTAAAGTACAAGCACGGACAAATACTCACATAGTTCTTCAAACTTGTTCCTAAATTTTCGATGGGGACATCAAGTGGCCCAAATAAGAACTTCTTCACCTCTTCATCAGTTTCAACAACTGCACCATCACCTCCTAGGGTATTCAAGTAGAGAGTTGCCCTATCACGAACCTACATGCAGAGAAAGTCCTAATCAGATCCCTCAAGGGCAGGACAACAGTATAAGAGGTAGATGGCCATATGATCAATAATCAATTAAGGCATTCCATGATAAATTATGCAGAGTATTATCTGTTTGATCAATTAAGGTGTTTGGTGATAAATTATACGATCAATTACAGTATGTGGATCTTTGGATGATTATCTTCCCATTGAAGAGTTAAACAGTACAGTATCTGCCATCTGGTAACAAGAGCAAACCTTTATATTGTATAATATATTATTGCAATCAATGCAATCAGTATAAACATGGTGGAGAAATCATCTGGATTTGAGATAGAGAAAAATGATTAAATATGTAAGACACTTACCTCATCATCATTATCAAATAGACACCGCTTCAACAGAACAAAGATGCGAGGCTGCAACAAAATTGGGTGAACATTTTAGCCACTGTAAATCTTAAAATTACTAACAAAAAGAGAACTAGGCAAATCATACCTTCAATGAGTCAATTATAGCTCCAAACTTTGCTAAAGTACTGACAGCACAGGCCCGAACTGTTGCATTTTCAAGTATGACCCGATTATAAATGTATCTAATGTATTTACTAGGATCGGAAGTTTTTGGTCCTTCATTTCCAAGAAAGTGTAGTATCTGGAAACACATAGTTTACCAATAAGTGTCATAAAACCATTTGAAAAGACACTGTAAGATGCATCAAAAGCAATACAAGATTGTGCAATACTAAAATGAGAAACCCCTTTCCTCAAGAACATATGATAAAACCCAACCTGAGTGGAAAGATAAGTAAATTCACAATCCTCAATGAATTCACATAAGTGAAGGAGCCCACTTTCTTTGGCATCAGGAATATCTCTTATGAGGATCACAATTGAATCAACTATAGCTTTCTTGTACTCAAATCCACCTTCTTCCCTCAAAATGTTGCTCAAGAAATTCATCCTATTGGTATCAGATGAGAAGTTAACATAAGTATTTAGTTAAGTAGAAGAGTGGCAGAACCATGTAATGAGTATTGAGCATACCAAAGGTATAGTCAATTTGATATGCAAGTTCTAGATGATTTCAGAACCACTTACAGAGATCTGTACTTGAGGGGGAACTTCAAACACAATGACCTGATGGCTTCCACCACAACAATTTTAAACTCATCAGCTATGTCAGACATGAAATTAGTAATTTGCTTCATCAAACGATCAATGCTAGATTCATTGCCAGTTTTGAGGAGAGTTGTGATTGCAAGAGTTGCGATGCTTCTGTTTTGATCAGAGATCAAGCTCTCCATGTCAATGTTACAGTTTGTCACGGCCATTGGGTGTGTCATTGCCACCTATAGAAGTAAACATGCAACAGGGATAGTAAAAACTATTGCTCAACCTGCAGCGAAATACTAACATTACAAGAACAGAATATGATAAGGTGTGACCTTATTCAAAGTGCGAACAGCAGCAAATCGAAGAACTGGCTTCGAAGAGCTTAAGAAGAGCTGTAGAACAGTAATTGCTGGAGTTAATTCACGACTTGTGACGCCACTCAACTCTGTAATTGCTCTGGCAGCTTCTAAAATAACCATCTCAGATTTGTGGCGGAGACACCCCTCTAAGTAGTCATAAAATGGTCGGTCCCCTGTTTGGTTAACTCCAGATTCCCTTATGACCTGAACCGTGGATGTGAAAATTGCATTGATAGCATATCAATATAAAAGAAACACGCTATAAAAAAATCATTGATGTGCATGAAGATTCACAGATAATTTTGGAACCTGGCTAGCGTAGCGAATCAAAAGACATTGAGCCAATGGTGAGCGAACAGTCCCTCTTGTCAAGCTACTAACTAGTTTGTTAACAGCTAGGCGGTCATTTTGCCTTATCTGTAATTGATGAAATTGTGATTTCTTAATGTGTGTCACATCATATGGAAACCATCTCAAAGAAAGAGTTAGCCAACCTGGTGGAGCAAAGCAAGCGCGTGAAACTGGACAAGTGCAGCCCTTGATTGAATTGCTTCTTGTACCTCATTGCTCCATCTTTTCACAATTTCTGGATTTGTCTGCAAAAGAAACCAATAATCATAATAATAAGACTATTTCAGTATGAGTACCACCACAGATCAAGTGAGAAGGTTTCCTCATCTGATGTTTCTACCTGAAGCAAATGAATTCCACTAACAAGGGCAGCACTGGCAACCACAGGATTTTTGTCAACGATGGCTTGCTTCAAGTATCTCTCTATTTGAGTGAGAAGGGTTCCATCCGTGATTCGACAAAGGACACGGATGGCATTTGCCCGATACATATCAGTTCTACTGTTCATGTCCTTCATCAGTGAGCTTGTGACTATGATAACCTTTAATGCCAGAAGAACACCATGTCATCTCCTTCTTAAAGAGATGATAAAACTATGCTGAAAAAAATCCAAGTTTGCATCTAACCTCATCAGCCGATGGAGAAAGCTCCTTAATAATCAAATAAACCATTCTCCGGAGAGCAATATCTTTTGATTGAAAGAGCTTTGTCACAGAAAAAAACACTTCTGTAGCTTCAACCTATAGATTAATTTCAACATTAAAAAATGAACATAAAATACTCTGCATTAACTCATTGACACATTTTCAGCATAAATTAATACGAGTAACCTTGAGCAACAAGAATTTACACGAATAGTTAATAGTTTTGCTACAGCATCAATCAAATTGTTTTTATGAAAAAAATAAATAAAGTGTGAGGCTATAAAGTATTATTGTGCCTATTTATTTTAAAGTGAAAAGCACACTGAAGTAAGATAGGATTATTTAATAATTAAAAGTATAAATGGGTATATTTAGTTGATACCTATGTAGTTACAGTCTAACGGAGAGTTGGAAAAAACAGGTATGATTGAAAATTTAAATTTAGTCATCCATTTATAAGTCCATATGCTGAGAGGAGGAGTAGTCATGTAGTAATAAGAAACAAAAATAATAATTCGATCATCAAAACATCAACAATTGGATTAATGCACGCATTTTTTTCATTTTCCATCCTGTATGATGTATCGATGAACATTTCAAAAACTGACCTTTGTGAATGTTTCGCCTTGGTTCAGAAGATACAGAAGCTTTGTAATGACCTAAAAAGCAGACAAAATGACCAAAAGTAGAATTTTAAATAATCAATGCAGGGAAGCTGAAAAGAATACACTGAAAGAAAATTAACAACATGATACCTGCGAGCATCTTCTTGCATCCAACTGAGGATCATTGAACACTCTGGCTTCCTGTAGGACTCCACCCTTATCAATCCCCAGAAATGGGGAGTAATCCACTGCATAATAGTGAAAATAGACCACATCATTGCAAGAAAAGACAGCCCATCCAACAACAAAGTTCTTAATCCTAATTTAGAATCCACATCACATAGATCTAGACTACATGCAGCATCCCACTCCATAAGATTGCGCCAACAAAACAAACATTCGATCCACATCCCGTGATTCCATTAACAACTCCCAATAAACACAAAATCATAAGCAGACTTGTAACAGCTTATCTCCTACCAACCGAATCCACATTGCTGAGAAATAACCGTAATTGACTAAAATACGCATAGCTTCAATTCGATTCAGGACGCACAGATATGGTATAATGCAGATCTATTGAGATTGAAACATAGATTAATTGAACCGCGATATGATCCATCGGAAATGAAAACTCCAAACAAACAGAATTGGAACACAGTTCAAATAATGGGCTGATGCGTGTTTTGAGAAAAAAACATCACAGTAGAAGAGTGAGTTTGAGAGACTATACTTTCTTCATCGCGATCGTCGTCCTTCTTCACCGCAGGCTGAGCCATTCTGAGTCGCGGGGGGAAGTGCTTGAGATGTCGATGCTCTCTCTAATGGAAGAAACTCTGAGATCTCATCTATATACTATACACACTCTGCACGAACGGAGGGATGAATTGACGGGGTAAAAACGTGACATCGGGGTTCGGTGGAAATTAACTCAGAATTAACTCAGAATTGTTGCACAAATACGGATAAAATTCAATAATTCATCATTTTTACCACAAGTATGCCTAAACTTTATTTTCTCTAAAAAAAATCTAAAATTTGAAGAGAATTTACAATAGTATCTAGATCTGATTTCCAAATTACTATTATGCCCCGTTTGGCACACAGAATTCAAACTATGGAATTGGAATTGAGGACTTCAATTCCAATTCTCGTGTTTGGTATCACAAAAATTATGTGTATTTGGAATTGGTAGTGCAAAAATTGAATTGAAATTGGTGAATTCAATTCTATGGAATTGAATCCCATGGAATTTTAATTCCAATTCAATTCCAATTCCATCAATTCCATGTACCAAACTGACCCTTAAATCATTTTGGGCATAATTATAATTTTATGAGGAGGGAGTAACCAAAAGATCAATTGATGAGTATAATTTTAGAAGACGGTTCACTATGATATTGGAGTCTCATGTTATATATGGGATGACCTGGAGATATTACGATTTTTCATTTGATTATGACATTTTTTGTATTATATCATTGCATAAATAAATAAAAAGATATATACACATATATATGGGATAACGAGACGGAACGGAAAAATATTTATGTGTCTCGGTCTTGTCCCATATCGAAATGGTTCGGAATGGATTCAGGATAAAACTTTGTCATCTCTAACAAAATGGGACATTATAGAGATAAGACCGAGATATTTTGGGTTGGGACAATGGTTTCGGGGTTCTTACCCATCCCTTCTCTAAAACATATACAATATTTTTGAATATCTTGTCATTTCTCCATTTCGATATCCATCAAACTACATTCAGAAATATAGTTGGTCAATCCTCCCCCATCAAGTATGTTGTTTTGCCCTTAAATATTCACAAGGATCCATTTTGAAAATTCAACGTGTTAGTTGGCTCAAAAACATGTCTATCAATAAAATAGAACCAGACATATTCTGCCATGAGACGACATACATTGAATGACATGGTTTACTGTCTTGTCCAGGTCATGACATTGTATGTAATCTTTGGAGAAAGACAAATGACACTTGTTTCATTAGTTCGCCACAACTTCTTCGAGAGTTTATCTTGTAATTTAAGATACCAAGCTAAAATTGACATATGCAAACAAAACTGAAAAATACACAAGGATTTTAATACCAGTAAAGGTCATTTTCTTCTTTAGTCGACTAAGGGAGCATTATAGACTTTCTCTCGCAAGTCACAAGTTATGCGTGGAAGGATGGCTTCAAAAGTCACTCAATTCCAACCCATGTCTCATTGCCTATCGTCCGCAATTGTAACATATCTTCGATCTTTGTCCAAAACATCGGTAAATAAAGATTAGAGGGAAGCATCCCAACGAACTTTATTTTTTTCATCATTATTTATCTGAATATTAAATACACAGTGATTCGTGATCACTAGCTTACAAAGACACTTTCATTGTCATTACCTTTTTGAAGTATTTATGATACTTAATTTGCAAAATTGATCACATCTATCTCTAAGTCAGAACCGCTCTGTATTAAAGATTGAGATCCAAATGTAATCTCGTAGTCCAACAAGAGAGTGACCCAAAGTTTATCCATCCTTTTAACGGCCCAAAGAGTTAGTGCAACCTCACGTCCCACCCACCCTTGGTCTCGCCCCCAAACTCCTACTCCGTAGTCCGTATTTGACTTCCACGAGCTTCCCCTTCCGGCTCTGGTCTCCTTCCTTCCCATTCCTCGTTGCTTACAATCTTCCGTAGCCGCACAGGAACTCCGAATCCGACCCTAACTGCGCCGTTCGCCGTTCGACAGCCACCAACGAGGCAGCTACTTCGTCTGACCACCAGTGAGTTCAAATTAATTGCAATTGCTTACCTTTTAGATTTGAGACTTTGTTTTTGCGTTTCGTTTGAGTACTTTTCTAATGGATTAATTGTTATTTTTTCTTCACTACATAATTGATTCAATTCATAGTTTCAATTGTGTAAACTTGTAAATGTAAAATGTGTAAAGATTTTTTTTTCTTCTTAAATTAGGAATTACAACCCAAATATATTTAAAGAAGCAACCAAGATTTAAAGAACCTGAGTCCAGTGGAGGTGGTATAAATTTTAGTATTGGGAATTCACTAATCACATATTCTCAATGAAAAGGGACATGAAGAGAGTACTGGTTTTGAATCTTTGGAAATTGACCCGGATTAAAAAAGAAAATATCCAAGTTCCATCTAAACGCTCTGTTTTTGAATACTTTATAGGTGTTGTTCGTGTACAAGAGATTACCTCATTATCCCTTAAAAAATTGCTCGTGTCTAAATTGTCCCATTATGGATTATGTATATTACTATATCAAGTTATGCATGGAATAATATGCACGAAATATTTGGTGGGTTGAAAACATTGATTGAAAGTGAAGATCTTTATGCTTAAAATGTTCATTGTCTTGCTCATCAACTTCAATTGTCTCTTGTTGCTTCTTCGAGAGCACTTGTTTAGGTTAATTGGTTACCTCTCCATGTTGGTCGTTTTATTACTTATTAATGGAATTCTGTTGCATAATAAACAATAAGATATCCTTCGAGAGAAACAAACATCACACTTTGTCATATCACACAATATGCATTTCTGTGCAAGGTTAAGATGTGTTGAGTTGGTGAGTAGTTTGGGAGGAGTAAAAGGGTGATAGTAACCAAAATAGGGGGGGGGGGGAAATAAGAAGAGTATATTGTTATTAATGCATGAAATCAGAATCTAGTCTCACAAAATTATAAAGATGAAGATTAATCTTTGTTCGATGATAAGCAAGTATCTTGGATTCATCTGACTAATAAAGCCAAAACCACTAAGCCCACATTAATAGGCCCATGCAGTTCTACATTGTATAGGTCATGTTTACATTTGGAAAGAAATAAAGCCATGAATAGCAATGTTTTGATCACGGGGATGAAGAAGAGTTGCTGATTTGGTGAAAAGATTGTCTTTTTAAACCATTCATTTCTCTTCATTTATTGTTTTCAAATAACTTATTCAAGTGAATTTGAAAATGCAACCAAAAGCTGAAATTACAATCTCTGTATATGGCATAATAATTTCTGGAGTTAATTATTGAAATCTTTGTATATATTCCATCCATATCTAAAAGGACTTCTTCCTTTCCTTTTTCAGCTATCCCAAAAAGTTTTGTTTCGGTTCAGAAAAAGAAATGATTGGTTCACACCATTTCTTTCTCTTATGCATAAACTTCTACCGTACAACTTCACTTTTTCTTAAACCCCATGAAAAAGCAAACAAAAATTTGGTTAAGGGACGGAGGGAGTATAAAGGATATTAACATGGCATAGTACATTGATGGCTATTTGTCTTTTCTACAGAAAAAATATATTTTTTGGTATCTGTTTCATTTTCACAAAGTTCCTTGACGACTTTCATTCATGATCATTCAGGTAGGTTCTTTTTTGATGGACAATGTAGTCGATTCCTTAAACAGCAGTTACCTAGAGTTTGTTGCGGCTGCAGCCAATGTGCTTGAATCGAAGGAAATCTCTGGCGGTCAGAAGACCGCATTGACTGATGCTGCTTTGGAAAAATTCAAACAACGTTGGGAGTTGTTCAAAGTTGCATGTGATCAAGCAGAGGAATTCGTGGAGTCGGTGAAGCAAAGAATTGGGTCTGAGTGTTTGGTGGATGAGGCGACTGGCTCTCTTTCTGGGCAGCCTGCCACTACGGGCGGTGTGCAGCCCATCAGTGCGGTTCGGTTGGAGCAGATGAGTAAAGCTGTCAGATGGTTAGTGATTGAGCTTCAACATGGTTCTGGGTCAGCTGGCACATCATCACAACCCCACCCTTCTGCTCCATTTGATGCCCGGTTTTCTGAAGATACAGCTCAATAGGTGAGTTTTACTATAGTTTGTGTGCATTCTTTATGTTGATCTGAATTCTTTTATGGCTGCTGCTCGAATCGCAACCTATTATTGCTATAGTGCTATAGTGTAACACGGTATTTTTTTTTCCCGAAATGATAATTTAAGAATATAACACTTACATTTATTTTAATATTTTATTTTATTTTTTATTTTTTCAAAATACAACAACCACTCATCCAGTAAAATCCCACAAAAAAATAAGTTCTGGGGATGGCGTGTGTGTATGTTAAACTTACTCCTACTCCCTGGGTAGATAGGCTGTTTCCAGGATTGCCCAATTTCACTACAATTTTTACAACTTTAAACCCATTTCAGCCAAAGTTTACGCTTGGCAAAGAGGATTGCCCAATTTAACCATTTTACGTACAAATCCATCCCAATTTAACCACAATACTTCAAATCCATTCCTTGAACATCTTTGCAGGTGATTGCAGGTTGACTGTAGGCATGATGGCACCACCTATGGGTTGACGCCGCTACACAATTGTGTATCTTTATTGTGAAATATTGCAGCAACAGCGACAATAGGAAGCCCAAGATGTATTTAGTCCAATATTTATCCGAATTGTGTTCCGTTCTTAATAGACGCATTCAGTGTAATATAGTATGAATTAAAAATTGTGTTTTTGTATGTGTATTGTGACTTGTGATATATTTCATGTATCTTTATATTAACAGAATGCAATTTGTATGCACAAACAAGATTCTTTATTCTCGTTAATGACATGCGTTGTGTCTGGGTGCAAGTTTTTAAGATTTTTGCAAGAACAAAGTTTTTATGTGTTCTTGTTGTTGGGCATAGCCACATAGGTTTGGGGTACATGAACCATGTAAGGGTACCCTATAGCTCACCCCACTTTTCACTATAGCATTGTTCTTTTTTGGTAGTAGAACATGCCCTTAACTTATGCTTTGTATATTTGTGGAGAGAATATATAAAAGTGCAATGTTGGAGATGACTAATTGTTGGTTTTGCAGATTAACTTTTATGCATTCAAATCTTTTCTTTGTTCAAAGCTTTTATTGATTCTACAATTACTGATTGAAACATGCGAAAAATGATTGAGATTGGCATTTGCCAAAGTGAGAAGCGGAATGAATCAAAATCAAAGTGAACCTAATGCGGCCCATGAGTTTTGAAACACAAGGGAAAACTTTGGAAAGTGAAAAACTTTGGGGTGAAAAATAAGATACTCCATGATGGACAAGTTGTCTAAGGCTTGTCTTGTTCTCCTAATTTGATTGGTTCTGATTTGATTGAAATAAGTTATGTTTACATATGATTTGTCTAATCTGATATGATTTCAGTAAGAATAAGTAATACATAATACTCCCTCCGTCCGCCTAAGATGTTCTCATTTTGACTTTTGGTGGTTTTTAAGGAGAGTTGAAAAAAGGTGAAAGTTTACCATAATACCCTTAATGAAAAATAGGTGGAGTGTATTAAATGAAGTGGGTGAGGTGTAATAAATAAAATAAGTGGGGGTAGTTGTGGTATTTTACTTGTTAAAAAATGAAATGAAAAGATCTATTGTGGACAAAGAAAAATGGCTATTGGGAAGATCTATGGTGGACAGAGGGAGTAAATAATAAGAAAATGTTGAGGAGAATAAGCTCTAACTAGCCTACACATGGTAGGAGCTCTTCATAGTTCAAGATTTTCATAATAGAAATAGGCACTATCCTCGTGGAGCTGATTTTCATAAGATCTTAGCCCAATTTATTTTTCAAAAAAAAAGGGTTGAACCTTATCCTTGAGGCCCCTTTAGACCCAGTCGAACAGTCAATGAGAAGAAGTAAATCGGATTTTAATCGCAGATTGGCGACAGAGAGTAGAGCATGCACCTGGTACTTGTATAGGCCTTATGCTTAGCATAATTGTTTTCCAACATAATTGTCAGAAATTGAACTCGGATCTTCCCTTTGACACTCCATGCTGTTACCAATTGCGCAACGGCCATCGGCCCAATTTATTTTTCAAAGAATGGGACAAGACAGGGCTAGGTTGTTAAAAATAATACTCGGTAATTCAAATTAGCTTTAATTGGCTTGTTTTAAATAATTCGGTTGTTACAGTAGTTTATAAGTCATATTTTAATTAAATCATCCCAATATTGATTTAAATCATTTGTTTTAAATCATAAAATTAAATCATAAATTTCAAATCACTTTAATACAGTAACTTGTATTATATAAAATTCTAGTTCCTTCGTCCCTAAATAAATTATACTTTATGCAAAATAAAGTAAAATTTTAAGTTTTTTCAATTCATTTTATTTAAATATTTATATAAAAATAAAATATAAATATATATATCTAAAGAAATCAAAATTTTTACAAAATGGATGAAGAGACAACTTAAATCGAATCACTTCTCTAAGTAAGCAGCTCATAAGCTCCCATGAATAAATAATGAAGTCATTTCTGCTTTCGTTTTGATAAGGGGAGCACTAACATGGCAGGTAATTTCCTCTTTTTTTGAATTTGGCATAACGAAAAAGATTGAACTTTGAGTTCTGAGTTCCATCAGAATGTCTGCAAATTTGTTCTTGGCGGAATCCGCCGACCCGAACAAGTCACAGTTTTGTTTCCTCTTCTTCTTCTGGAAATCACACCCACTTAGGGAAATATAGAAATTTGTTGGTCATTTAATCAGATGAATATAGCTATATATTTTTTGCACCAGATTTTATAGTGTGAGAATGAATAGTTTTACATCTGGTAATCTCTGTGAGTTCAACTCACAATTTTTTTAAAACTTTTTTTGATTTTTTTTAGAAAATGGTTTTTCAGTAACTATGTTAGAAGGTATCTGATATGATTGATTGTTCATTGTTGAGTTATATAAAAAAACTGATGAAACTAATGAGTCATGCACTTCAAACCTCCTTAAAAGCAGCAACTAATCATGTGATTTTTTTTGCTCATAGCTTTTGTGTTTTGGCTCACTCTCTATAAATTGTCTTGATTGTAGTTAATTCTGGTGGAAATAGTTTGTTACCTCCTGATTTACCTTTTTTTCTTATTAGTAAGAATGGTTCTCGCAGCAGAAACACCGAGGATTGATTTTGATCTTGTAATTATGGTGATTCATTGGCTTGAGTCCATGTCAGAAGGAGAACCTCTCATTAGCTTGTTTGTTTTATGTTGTTGAATAGGTTCAAGGCTCTGTTTTTTTGACATTTTGAAGTCATTTTGCAGGATAATGAGTTTGGGAGAGAAGGTGCAGAAGTTCTTAAGGCGGACTTCTTTGGTAAGTCATTGTGATTACTTCTCTTGGAACATGAGTCAACCAGAAGCTGTTCGATAAAATGCCTAAAAGAGGCATTTGGAATAAGGAATTTGCTCTTTTGTTTTGGGAGTATAAATGGCAAAGAATTCATTTTTCTGTGGGCATAGATGAAATGATTTACTGGCCCCCTTTTTCATTTTTGTTTCGTTTCGAATTGGATACTTGCCAACATCAATTGGACTTCATAATGTCCCTCTATCTGATCTCCTAATTTGAGTCAAATGTTTTGTAGGGTGGAAATCTTGGACTTCGTTTTCTGTGGCTTACTATACACTTTTTCATTAGTATATGGTACTTCATGTTGGGAACAGTTCATGCCCTTGAGAGTGTTCTTATATCAAGCGGCATTTTAAAAAGTTACAAAGCCTTAAACGTCAGCAAAATCCGACACTTGGCGATTGTCATTGACAGTGAAGAAGCCCGGGAAACTTCAAAAATCCTTGAACTTTTAGGGTTTCTTGCAAATATTGGTGTGAAAAGCATCTCCCTCTATGATAGTGAAGGTATGGAACTATGGATCTTTGTCAAGACAGAGTTGCATCCATATTCATGTGCTTCTTGATTAATTTTGAGACTTAAGGGCCCAATCGATAGTTATTTGACTGAAATGGCTGTATTTTCTTTATTTGCAAAAAATGTGTTTGGTAAATCTATTTCGTTCGAATAAGTCAAAACTCAAAAGCCACTTATTGTGTTGAGTAAGCAGATTATAGCTACGGAATGGAGCCTATATCTTCATGTCCCTTCTTTCTTGTTGTAGGAGTGCTTAAAGAGGCCAAGGAAGCCATCAAGCATGAACTGAACCGGACAAAATTCTCTCAGGTCAAGCTCTTCAGTTAGCAATATTAGACTACTAGTGGTGTAACAGGTTCACAGTTTTTAGTTTCATATAGTGTGTAGGATATGAACTGGCATTAACTGTGGGTTTGCTTCAAGAGAGGGGAGGGTAGAAATTCTAATATTACATCATTTGGAATTTGGATAGAGTTTTGGGGATGAATTTGAATACTAGCTTGCTTGGTAGAGGGGAAGAGGGCAATGAAAATAATGATATTTTGACAATATTGCCCTTATCTTATTCATTAATTGAAATTATTAAACATACTGTTTTTTACAAAACATATTTGGTATATGCTTATTAAGTTTCACCCAGAATGCTTATTTTGAAGCTTAAATCATGTGATTGAGATTTATTCCATTGAGAGAAAATGTGAAGTTCTTGAGTCTTTCCTGAATAGGAAACGTGAACCTTATTTTGGAATGACAGCTGAAGTGACATAGTATTGGACCATGCAATTGCAGGGAAATTCTTTGCCCATTCCACTTCTACAAAAATATATGAATCTAGAATTCCTCTCATTAGTTGATGGAAAAGAAGCGTTGGTCAAAGCAGCTAATTACCTCTTTGTCAAGCATTATTCTGGCACAAAACTGGGGAAGCACACTTTTACTGAGTCAGACATGAGTGATGCATTGAGAGCTATTGGTCTGTTGCGTTTCCCTTAAATTCCTTCGAATGCACACAATTCTCACTCGTCTTCTTCTTTTTATCTGTTTGGATTAATGCCGCCTTTGTTCTGGTATACATTTTTTGGCTTATCAGCTTATTTTTTTTTGCCAAACACTAACTTATCTTATCCCGTTGGCAGAATTGGATTACGGTGAAAAATAGTACATGTGTTACTTTTTTGTTGGCTGAAATGGATGAAACTAAAGAATGTCATGGTTTTTTGGCACCTGCTTTGGGTATCACAATATGACTCTTGGCACTACGATGCTCTGTTGGACCCCAAAGTAGTTCCTACCTCCTAAGTCCTAATCCTCGCCCCCTACCCCTAGATAGCTGATATGCATACCGGCAATCCAAATGGAGGTTTGTGGCTGGGGTTAGGGGGTAGGAACTACTTCGGGTACAACGGAGCAGAATAGGACGTTCAAATGACGAGTGTCTTGTTATGACTCTGGGGGTGGGTGTCAAAAGGTCCCGCCTCATTATAGAATATGACATTTCTACCGTCATTTCTATGTACAACAACAACAACAACCCAGTTAAATCCCACAAGAGTAGGGTCTGGGGAGGGTGTGTGTACGCAGACCTTGCCCCTACTCGAAAGTAGAGAGGCTGTTTCCAAAGAGACCCCCGGCTCAACGTCGAAAGTTGCATTGCTTGACTAACTGCTACCGTCATTTCTATGTACGGAGTCTTATTTTGTTTATTATATTTAAGAAATGTATTCTAAATCTTCTTTAGATAATTTAGCAGGTTCAGCCACACACTCATCAATTTGCATGTTTAGCAATTTTAGGTATTACCAAACAGGCTCTGAATGTGCTTTGTTTTCTTGGTTTTTACAGGTTGTGGGGGACCAGATCCCGATCTCTTACTAGTTTATGCTCCTGCAAGATGCCACCTGGGTTTCCCACCATGGCGACTACGGTACACAGAGATTGTGTGAGTCCTTTTATGGTTCTGTCCTTTTTTTCACTTATACAAAATGTACATTATTAGGATTTGTTAGTACGTACTTCATACTATATATGGGAGAAAAAACCCGAAGGTTCTATTTGGAACCAGGAAAATGTTAGAGAAAGAAAATAGGGAGGAAAATTGTTGAGGATATAATTCTGCATTTAGCACCCAACCTAAAATGACTAATTCGGAGTATAAAAGAATATGAGTTACTTCTCCCATCTCCACTTTGTTTTTGGTTTGGAATCTCATAATTCTACATGATATCAGAGTCAAGACTTGTGAGTTTGAAAAAGAAGCTCGGGTCTATTCGAGCAGACAAAAAAGGTCTCAAGTTACATTTATAGGGGGTGTTGAGGATATAATCTCACATCGAACAACCATGCTAAAAAATACTAATTTATATGAGTACGAGTTACTTCTGTCACCATCATTTTATTTTGGGTTGGAATATCATAATTCTACCAAAAATGTGAGTGAAATTTGGAAAGAAAGATTTTGTAACACGCATTTCTTTTCTCTACCATTTTCAAGCTTCCAAACATAGCCTAAAAGAAAATAAAGTAGCTGATGTTAGTTTCTTAAGAACACTTGCATCACTATAGATTCTTGTAACTAGAATTTGAAACTTGTATTGTTGCAGACACATGGGACCATTGAAGTCCATGAAGTTCGGATCCCTCGTGAAGGCGATTTATAAGTTCACCATGATTCACCAGAATTACGGTATGATACACTCACTAGATGAATTTATAGTTCGGTGTTTGTTGCTTTAGATGCACTCCTCATCACTACAATAATAACAACAATAACACTCATACTTGTTACGTTAGATGCACTCCTTGTTACTACATTATAAAGAATTAATAATGAGACGAAATAATAAAAATACCGTCATCTTAGATATCTTCCCACCATATATGTCCAAGATCTTTGTGCCTTAGCTTGTACTTTATGTCGGTGCATTTTCACCTTAGTCGTAGCTTATGCATGTGTGCTTTTTGTGCTTTGGGTCTAATTGCTTGTGCCACCATGTGCGCCTTTTGTCTATGTGTTCTTACTTTGTTCATACATACTTTGTCTATGCTTCTTGTTTGGGTCTGAAATCTATTGAAAACAACTTTATACTCCCCCGGTCCCAAAAAAGACTCCCCATTTCCTTTTCAAGACGTCCCAAAAAAAGACTTCTCTTACCATTTTTGGCAAATTTTGTGTGGCCCAGCATCTTTCTTTTTCCTCTGCATCATTTTCAACCACACAATTTCACTTTTAAACTTCGTACCAAACTCAGTTAGGATGCTTTGGAGGGAGTATTTACGAGTAGGGGTAAGGTTTGCATGCACATGATCTATCGAGACCCTACTTTTTTTGTGAAATTTTACTTGGTTTGTTGTTGTATATATGTCCAAGACACAAAACTATGTGATCAACCACACAACTTCACTAGTTTTTTCTAACAACATGTGTTCTAAATACAACAACTTGGTGGTTAAAATCTTTGTGCTTATTTCAGGCAAATGAAACATTACAAGATGGATCCGACCCCAAGCATTCCCTTTCTGTATTAATACTGAGTATTCACAGGATGATGGACCATAGTTTATTTAAAAAAAATCCCTATGGGGTTTCATTAATTTTTTTTATTTTGTATGGAAATCCTAGAATAGAATTTTTGCATCATGAGAATGACTACATATACTCCCTATTTTAGTATTTTTTATAATATTCCTAAATAAAAAAGACTTGTTTTAACTCGTCCATATTATTACTATTAAGATTAAGATTATTACGGAGTATTATTATTATTATTATTATTATTATTATTATTATTATTATAATAATTATGAAACAAGCAAACTGGGATTCATTATTAGTTCATGTACAATTGATTTACAACTTTTACCATACAAGTGTATTGTTTATAATTACTTGACCTTTTTACCCCTACGCTATAATATATGCACGTAGTATAACAAAATCATCTCCATTACTTTGTATAGTCTTACATAGAGGTGGCAATCGGATCAACCGGATCGGTTTCAGGTTGGATTTTTTCGGTTCGGATATCTTTCGGTTATATGTTATAATCGGTTCGGATCGGTTCGGATCGGTTAAATTTTGGTTCGGATTTGATTTCGGTTCTATACATTTTTCGGTTCGGTTCGGTTTTGAGTCGGTTCAGATACGGTTCGGTTACAAATCGGTTCGGATAGAATTCGGTTCGGATACAATTTGAGTCGGATATATTTCGGTTTCGGGTCTAGTTCGGTTCAGATATATTTCGGTTTCGGATCAAATATATTTTGGATATATACTATTTTCTAATTTTCCTCTTTTGACTTTTTAGTCATATTTTACAAAGTTGGACTACAAATTATGAAAGCATATATATTTAATTATGATATAAATTTAATATAATTAAATTGATTTTAAAATTTAGTTTTGAAATATAAAATTTTCTCACATCTACTAATATACTTATGTATATAAATGAAAGGATAAAAGATAAATTCAAATAGTCTTATGTTCCATTTGAATAGAATTTGGTAAAAATTGAGTAAAATTGGATGAAATTAAGTGAATTTTATTCATTTGAGTGCAAAATTTGTAAATTGTTGAGTACATTTGGTTGAAAATAGAGAAAATTAAATTTAATAGAGTCAAATATAATTAATTTTACACCTAAATGTAATGGTATAGATCAAATTTGAAAATGATAACAGTAAAGGCTACCGCTAGAGAGTCTTTTCAAAATGCTAACACTAATATTTAATTTTATTAACTAATATTGAGTGAATTGGTTTGAAACTAATCAAATTAACTCTCAAATCAATAAAATTTATTGTAATGAGATGAAATTAGGATAAAATCTAATTATTCCATACAATTCATCATATATATATATTCCTTTCGTCCCAAAAAGAATATCACACTTTACTATTTAAAAATTACGGAAATTTTATTTATTTGTGCGTTATCATTTATATGTATAACTTATCTTTAATTTCTACATATAATAAATTTAAGGCATAAAAATTTGTACTTTTTTCAAGAAGATAATCCATTTTATGAGGGAATGAGCAAGTAATGTAACTAGTTCAAATGGTAAAATAAAAGTAAAAATTTAAAAATATAATATGCTTATTGAAAGGTAAACATAGTTCTGAATTTATCGATTTTAGTTCTAATCGAGTTCGGATATTATCGGTTTGAGATCTAATCGGTTTCGGATTTTATCGGTTTCGGGTATTACCGGGTCCGGATCTAACCGGTTTCGGGTTTAATCGGTTCGGATATTATCGGTTTCGGATCTAATCGGTTTCGGATTTAAATCGGATATGAATTATTTAGTTTGGTTTCGGTTCGGTTCGGATCATTTCGGGTTTTCGATTATAGATCGGATCTTCATTTTTCGGATCATTCCGGTTTCGGTTTCGTATATTTCGGTTCGGGTAATCGGTTCCGGTTCTGTTTTGCCAGGTCTAGTCTTACACATCACATAATATATAATGTGTAAAACACGGGACGGTTCAAATGACATTGTCATAGCATGACCCGAGGTGTCGATTTCCCCATAGGTAGTCACCCGCTGCCTGTCAAACACAACCACTATTCCAAATCTCTTTCAAATGTTTTAATTTTAATAGCATTATCATTTCTTCTAGATTTTAAAACTCACATTACATTATAATATTATACTCCATCAGTTTAATTTAAATCGTATGTTTTAGTTTACGATGTTTGACTGAAATTATTTTCAAATCATTTTATATGAAAAATGTTGTAAAACTAAAACAATAAAAGTTGCGTATTTAAAAATTACAACAAAAAGTCTACAAAACTAGTAGTGACATGATTATATTATTTTATCAAATTACTAACGAAATAAAGAAAGAAAGTGAATAAAATTTGACCATAGTAATAGTAAACAGATAATTTAATTTGGGATGAGGGAATATCAATCATAAATAACTCGCGTGAGCTCTAAAAAGATTGAATCTTAATTTTTCTTGATATGTGAATTCTCAAATTTCGAACGTTTTGATATACCTCCATTGAAATTGTCACAACTTGCGACCACCCACATCACTAACCTATCACTAGCGTTGTGGGGCAACAACCACTATCAAGACTGTTATGAATATATTCTAATTTTTCGTCAAAGAACATTTAAAACATCAAAATATATTTTACCGATATTAAAACACATTCTATTACTCCCTCCGTCCGGAAATATTCTTCCCATTTTCCTTTTCGGTCCGTCCGAAAATATTCTTCCCATTTCCTTTTTTAGTATACTTTTATGGCTAAATATCAATAATACCCTTCTATTTTATCACAAATCTATTTTTTTAGTACTTTTTTAATAATAAAAGGAGATTTAAAAATTTATAGTATATGAATTTTTGAAAATTTTACATTTTTTTTACTATTCTTTAATAAGCGTGCCAAGTCAACACGGGAAGAACATTTCCGGACGGAGGGAGTACAAAAGTGTCCAGCACTATTTCACTCCCCCACCCCCCACCCCCACAACCCCACTCCAAATATGTACTCATAATACGGCCCGGTTTCAGTGGCCACAGAAGTCACTATCCTAGTGTCCTGATTCAGACACCTACGATGCTCCATTCGCAAAATTAATGATTTCCACCCCTCCTAACCCCCTGCCCACTCTCGATCCTAACTCATTCCCTCACCTACGTCAATTGCACTCCGCAGTTTTAGTCGACTCTGAGGTCAAAACTTTAGACTTTAAAGTCAACCATAATTGCGGGGTGCAATTGATGTAGGTGAGGGATAAGTTGGGGTTGGAACTGGGCAGAGGGGTTAGGAGAAGTAAAAATCGTCAATTTTACAAACGGAGCATCGCAGGGAGACAGTTTCAGTGCCCACTAAACCCAGCCGCTCATAATAAATTAATACCCTTACGCCCGCATGGGCAGCTCAGTTGGTCAAGAACGTGAAATCTTGGACCGGTGACCAGGGATCGAGTTCCACATGCGACAGTATGGGAGCTATCCGAAAATCCTATAAAGGGTGAGGAGGCTCCTTGTGCGCGGTGGGCACGGGTCTAGCAGTATTGACCGACCGAGTCACCATGATTTATCTCCTCGACCATCCCTGTCGGGCCAGGGGGTGTGAGCGCTTGGGGGTGGGCGATTCCATCTTTTGGAACGATAAATTAATAACCTTGATTTATGTGGAAGTGACAATTGGCTTTAAAATGTAGACATACAAAGTTCCCCTAATTTAGGAGGTGTGTATGGCCCGGGACGCAAACTCCATAAAACTTTCATTCTTCCTTCAAACTTATCCCCCCATGCAACAACACCACATTTGCTTCTTCTCTCTTTCTTCCCCCAACCCTCCCTGCCCTTCTCCTGAAGGTACCCTTCGTCTCCCTTCTTCAATTTCTCCTTTTTCTCGCATTTCTAGCTCGCATTGAGGCATGTTTGTGCATTACATTGTTCGATTTTTGCTTGATTTTGATTGATTTTTCATGAACTTTGTTTCCCCTTTTTGCTGTTCTTAATGTGCAGAGGTCACTTTTTGGGAGATCGGCAGGGGTGCTCGGAGCAGATTGTTGTTTTTTAAGCGGATAGCAGGCGAAGACATCGGATAGAATGTCTTCGCCTATTGAATCGCCGCCTTCCCCTGATTCGTCCGATTCTTCTCCGCCACCTCCTTCACCACCGTCGAATTCATCTCCGCCTCCGCCTCCGCCATCACCAGGGACAAATTCACCTCCGCCGCCTCCTCCATCGCCATCGGCGAAATCATCTCCGCCGCCGACTCCAGATTCAAACCAGAGCTCACCGCCTCCCAGCAACAGCTCGCCACCTCCGCCTGATTCGTCGAATCCGAACCCTCCGCCTCCACCGCCGCACTCACCGCTTCCTCCGGCGGCGAAGCACAAATCGAGTTCGTCGTCCTCACATCGTTCGTCGTCGGACAATGGGATATCGGACAGCCAGAAAGCGATGATTGCGGGAGTTGCAGCAGGAGCGGGGCTTTTGCTTCTAATTCTGATCGTCTTCCTGATTTCTTGCTGTTGTCGACGGAGAAAGCGAAGGCCGCGCGGTCAAATACATTACTACAGCAATGATCATGAAGGAGGAGGTAAGGATACAATATGGTCTGCACCTATAATTTCTTACCCCATACACGACATTTTTTAATTTTTCAAAAATAAATGTGTATTTTTTTCTGAAATTTAATTTTTAATTTATTTTTATGTATTAAAAAATGATATTACCAATGAAATGAACATTATGAAATTGTTGAACATCAATTTTATACTTTTCATTATTATAATGTATAAGTAAAGACAATCTTACATTGATATAAGATTATGACATTAATTCAATTAGAGCATGTACGGTATAGTCGGTACTCCAATTACAAAATTTATTGTTTTTACCTTATATTTTCATGACTGATTTTATGAAAACCTATGGCTCCGCTTGATACATGAAAGTCACATACTATGAAATTGAAATTGGAGATTGCAATTTCAATTCTATTGTTTAATAATATAAAAAATACATGAATTTGGAATTAGATTTTAATTTCAATTTTTTACATCAATTACTGCACAATGATGTGGATTGATAACACAAAAATACGTGAATGTAAATTTGAAATCATAATACAATTCTATATACAATTTTATGATATCAAACAAGGAGGATTGGAATTATAATATAATTCTCGAATTATACCAAACAAAATACTCCTTATTTGATTT